CATTCTTGCTCGCGAATTATTCAACCAAACTACGCATCGCCATCTGACGCATGCAAATCGCATGCTAATCACATTACGTGTCTTCTCCGACTGCTTGTATTTATTGTTTAAAATATTTCGTGTCTGGAATTTGGGATTTTTAATTTTCATTGCGATAAGATAGGATTTAATAATAAATTGAAATTAAATTCTTGTAGTTCTAAATGTGTGCGTAATTGATTGTTGATTAACGACGCCCCGAAAAGTATTTCGACGACCAGGTTTCTAATTGCACAACGAGCGAGTGACGACGACTTGAGGAAATATGTTAATAACGTAAGTTGCTTTTTGATTTTATTGAATCAGGTTTTTAGAAGGTAAAATTTTTGATTTTTGTTAAGCGTTTTGATGCGAAACTTTATACGGTAGTTTTGCGACGTCATAACTTATGTATTAAATGAGGTAGGATATTGATTGATATATCATTGGAAAGAGAATTTAAAGGAGAATAACTTGGGTAAATTGAGAAATTTTTGGATTTTTAGTTTTTTGTTACGAGAGAAAATGTAAAGTTTTGTTATTTTAACATGAATAAAGTTTATAGTTTTATAACTTTTAAACTAATTGAGATAGAGCGGCCATCTTGGTTTTATTTATAGCTTATTTTAATAGTTATAAAAAAGTATTAGGATGTTATTACGTAAAAGTTGTTAGTTTTCTGTGAAAATCAGAAAAACTAACAAAAATGCATTTAAAAAAATTGAAAAATTGTTGTTTTTATCAATTAACTTTAAAGCCCTGTAATTATTTAACTAAAAACGCTAGAATAATTATTTAAACATTATTAGATAGCATATTTAATAACAATGAATCCTACCAAAGGAAAATTTGATACGACTCTTAGTTTTTATATAAAACACAAAAAACCAACACACTACATCCATACACTTCTCGCGGAATGGAAAAATTTACTTTTACGGAATAATTCTCGACGTATTCTTATTATTTTCATTTTTCTCACAACTCATAAGTCTGTACGAAACACTTCCTCGCATTCTTTGTTTCCTACTTTTATCGCTTCCTACGCTTCGTATTTTTATATATTCATTGCGTTACCAATAACAATCAATGCAATCGAACAATGCATTTATATTTAATTAATAATTACAAAATAATAATTAGCGATAAAGCAGGAAATAACGAAATGCATTTCCTTCCTAATTACTGCCGCGTTAATTGCGCCAATAGTTAAAAACATTTTTTCGTACAAATTGATGCTAAACGTTTGGTTTTTTTGCGCTGTCGCTGGTGAAATAACACGTTTTTGACTCTCGCGCACGCATTTCCAGCCTTGGACTTTGTCGTTCATCACAATTTGCAATATAAATCAATTTTAATTTCAACGTTTTAACGTTTCCACTTTATGTCACCATGGTGCAGGAAAATGCACAACGCTTAAAAACGCTTCAATACTTTGGTCATTCGTAATTGCGATTCTATATAATGAGCAATTACGATATGAACGTGTGTAATTATTGTGCGGAGAAATTTTTTCCACCAGACAATGTCGATGCGTTTAATCAAAACTGTAAAAATGTAAATGGCGTTTTAATTCGTGTGCACTCAACGCCACAACTGGTTTCTTCGATTAACAACGAAAATATTTGACATTTGATTGTTATTCAAGCGGAAATTGATTCGACAATCAGTGAAGACGTCATTTATGTAATACGATGTGAAATCGACGCGAGGAAGTTTTTAACTTTGACCTCTAGATGACTCTCTATTCTTCGCCTGCAATTGAATTGTGTCTAATTGCGAATTTATTGTGCATATTGTGGCTTTCAACGCAACAAGTCGAAGTTGGAAGTCAAGTAAAGTGATTACTTTCACTTGCACGCGCGTCGCTGCAGCCACGATGAAAACGAAAACACAAAATTTAATAACGCGTCAAATGTCAAAACAGACAAGATGGCCGCCGCGCACGTCAACCCGAACCTAACCTAACTTTCATTATGAAACGATGCATTTCTTCACCATTTCTTCATAAATTCACAACGCGTGATTTCGTATTTCTTTCATTATATAATCAAATTTCGACAGGTTTTTCTTTCGTTGTTTTTACACCATGTGAATTACGTGTCTAACCTATATCTCTCAGGTATAAATAAGTAGACTTAACGTAATCAATTTGTTTTACTCGTGGTTGAATTGCGAATCATATATGGGTCATGATGGTAATTTGTGTGCAGCTCGACAACAAATAAGTTAATTCATCAATTTGCGAGCGGCGCACATCGAATCGCATGACATGCTAATCACAATCACGAATGTTTAAGCCACAGAATTATTTTTTGTATTATAACGTTAGAGTTGTAAGTATTGAAGTATTTTATGTTCCTTTGTGGATGTGAAACGAAAAACCAGTTGAATTTTTTTGTTTCGTGAGTGTGTGATGCGTGTGACGGTGAAAAGACAGGTATTTGTATGACTTACGTCAATGGCGGCTGCGCACAAGTAGAACTCGCATCTCTACGTCTTAAATTAATAAATAAACACATTCAAGTATAACAACTCTTCAAGTTGACATTTTGTGATATTTTATCTGCCTATGCAACCAAACTAACATGTTTAATGTTTAATATTAATTATTATGACTTAAGAATAATGTGATTTACGTCATCGGATGTAATTCATACCAAACGCATAAAAAAACGTTTTTATGATGGTTTTATTACTTTTAAAAGTTAATGGATTATGATTTCTGTTTGGTTAATCAGAGGTCATGGTGCTCTCGTGTTTCTTGCCTACCTGAGTCACTTAAATTAAGTCTAGCTCACATGCGCATTGAAAAAAATAAGTAGGTACTCAGTAAAAACGTAGAGAAGGAAGTGGAAGATTACTAAGTAGAGAAAAAACGGTCCAAAAACGAAAAAAAGAGTACAGTTCGACCTTCACAATCAAGATTGTATTTTAATGACGTGCGCAGACGCTGTAAATAAAATAAAAATAGTTGTCTGTACTTAATATTAACTCTTTACTCGTACAAGCCACGGGGGCAATGTTTCTTTGAGGGCTGAGACACGATATTTATGATAATTGCTGTGCGTATCAGAAACTTGTTTCTCGACCCTCAAAGTGTAGACGCATAAAGTAACTTGGATGTAGATTACCAATAGTGTTGTATTAATGTATCTTTGGTTGCCTATGTATTAGATTAATTTACTTTGTCGTGTATTGCTGAACTTCTTATGTCACACTTTTCGATTTATGTAACGCTCGACGGTGTAAATGTAAAATGTTACTGGCACAGTCGGAAAGTGCGTCGAGCACATAATAAAATACTTTTTGTTCGAGCGCGAGCGAAGAAAGGCGAAAAAAATACGCGAGGAAGAAGAAACTCGAACGATAATCAGAGGATGCAATAAAGTTGCGATTGCGTCACGCATACAAATAAACCGCAACCAAATACACACACTCAATATTAGTATTACTTTGAAATTTTGTTTTCTTTTAAAGGAAAAGTACAGCGATGATTATAAATTTAATGAGAATTAACTAGAGCGCTACGAAAGCGAATGGTTAATAATTTTGATAAATACCTCTAAGTGTTTATTAAATTTTTAATTTAAAAATACCAATGAATATTCATGTCGAGTGGTAGTCTGCCTTGGCGCTGAGGCTGAACATGAAGTTGAAGACTTTGAACTCGAGGATTTTAAAAAACCTACTTTTGCATGCGATCTACGCGTGCAAAACATAAACTTGAACACATTTTTAACCTTCAAATTGAAATTGTGTCAAAAACATGCAAATGGAACAAGTGCATTTGACATCTTTCAAACTTAACCTCTAAAAGCACTTATATTAGGTTATGTTTTGTGATTGTTTCATTTTCAATAAGTGAATGTTCATCACTTTCAATAAAACGTATGATTCATATTCGATAGGAATTATTACAAAACGAAGTCAAATATAAATTGAGAACGTGACAGGAAAACGCATCGAGTTACATTCGTAACAAGTCAACAATGTGTGCAGTCTCGTTCTCAGTCTTAAATATTAATTAGATTGCATAGAGTATAATATGTTAATTAGTACGTAGTGACTAGTGAATTGCGCACCAATAAACGTTGAAACAAAGCACATTTTGACAAGGTTAACTTCTGTTAAGATAAATTAAATTAAATTGGATAATAAATAATTTTGTTCGAGTAAAGTACAAGAAAAACATCATTTTTGCATTTTTAATTAAATAATTAATTAAATTACAAGCAGAAGTTCAAAAAATTTATAAATCAATAACTGTCAGGGCAATCAAATACTCTTTGTAATTAGGCACCCTGTAGTCGGAATACACGATGTGTATCTTCATAATTTATTAATTCATTTCTCATTTAGGTCGCTTCCACTTTCGATCGTTTTCCTAACTAACTCAGTTCATAATATTCAGTTAAACAGAAATGTTGTAAAGAATTTATCTAGTTTAGAATTAATGTGTAACTGTAAGTGATATCAAGGTCAGTCTAAAACAATTGAAAACAAAATGGTGCTTGCATTGCGATGAAATTCAAAATGGCGATCACGTATTCACACTCGAAGGTTTTTTTTCGTGTGTTTTGTTTTAATATTTCGATGTAATCGTTTTAGTTCTTGATGTGATACTGATTGCACACGTGATTTTGCACAATTGCACGCGCGATGCACAAAAGTAACGACAGCGTCCGCGTCAAGGCCGTTTCGACATCAAGACTTTCATTTTTACGTCGATTACCATTATTTCGTGCGCCGTAGTTTATAAATTCCTAGTTTAATGTTTCATGTTACTAATTTTTATATTAATATTATTGATAATTAACTTTTTTTAATGTTTTTATTAAACCAGCTTGGGTTTCACTTCGAGATGATGTGAGGTTTCGTAAAGTAAAAGTGGAAATTTTCCTACCACTGACATAATATGTGTGCCGATCATCTTCGATGATGCAACGCGTTTAAAACTTTCTTTCCTTTGTTTGTTGCAGCGACAATTCGGCGATGAGCGAGCGCGTGGAGCCTGTAACACCAGGCCCGGATTTAGTCGATGTGGATGTGCAAGCACCACCGCCTACAGGCGGCCATCTTCCTCCGCCATTGAACACGCAGCAGTCGACGATATGGACGCGCAAATCGCAGGCGGTGTGCGTTCGACACGCGTACAAACATTATGGATCCAACAAGAATCCGAATCATGTTCTCAGCGATTTGAATATGACAGTTCAAAAGGGCACAATGTAAATTATTATAATTTTTTTAAATCAAACAAAAAATTAAATTTTTTTAAATTTAGTTATGGATTGTTGGGTGCTTCCGGATGCGGTAAAACCACACTCCTTTCATGTATCGTCGGTCGAAGACGACTGAACGAAGGTGAGATCTGGGTCCTCGGAGGTCGACCAGGTACTAAAGGTTCAGGTGTGCCTGGTAAACGAGTCGGGTACATGCCGCAAGAAATTGCTCTCTACGGAGAATTTACCATCAAGGAGACCATGATGTACTTCGGATGGATCTTTGGTATGAAGACTGAGGAGATCAACGAACGACTGCAGTTCCTGCTCAATTTCCTTGACCTTCCCAGTCAGAATCGCATGGTGAAGAACCTCAGGTACCATTTTAAACATAAAACCTTTTTTTAAACTTTTAACATTTAATTTTCTTGTAGTGGAGGTCAACAACGTCGTGTATCTTTCGCTGTGGCACTTATGCACGACCCGGAACTGCTGATTCTCGACGAGCCGACTGTTGGAGTGGATCCTTTGTTGCGACAGAGCATCTGGAATCATCTGGTGCAGATTACCAAAGATGGTAACAAGACCGTCATTATTACCACGCATTATATCGAGGAAGCACGACAAGCACACACTGTAAGATCTATTTATATTTTTATAATAAAAAAAAACATGTGGTGATAACCGCCAATTTGTTGTTTTAGATTGGTTTGATGCGCAGCGGTAAACTTCTCGCTGAAGAATCACCTCAACGTTTGTTGAGCATCTACAACTGCTCATCACTTGAAGATGTTTTCTTGAAGTTGTCACGTAAACAAGGACAAGTCACCGCAGCAGTTCCAGAGAATACCAATATCAGTACCAATATGAACATGGCGCTCAACTGGGATAAAAAGAATGAATCTGTTTGCGTTACTGATGAGAGTGGTGTTGTTGGATTGAACTTCCACCAGAGCAAAGAAGTGCTTATACATGAAAGTCAAAATGGACATTTAGATGTAAGTCTTCTAACAATTATCTCTAATAAATTTAATTTTTTTGTGTTTATTTATTAGAAAATTGGTAAAGGAGGACCAAAAGACGATTCGCCAATGTGTGACGATTGCAGCTGCTCGGATATAACATCCGTGGGTAAAATCAAAGCCCTTCTGCAGAAAAACTTCCTGCGGATGTGGCGTAACGTCGGCGTGATGTTGTTCATCTTTGCGCTGCCCGTGATGCAAGTGATACTCTTCTGTTTGGCCATTGGACGCGACCCCACCGGACTCAAGCTGGCCATCGTCAACCACGAAGCAAACTACACGAATATGACCTACCAGGGCTGCATGTATGAAACCGGGTGTAAATTCTCGAATCTCAGCTGTCGATATCTAGATAATTTGAAAAACACAACCATTGTCAAAGAGTATTATCCTGATCCGGAATCAGCTATAAATGCTGTTAGAACGGGGAATGCTTGGGGTGCATTGTATTTTACTGAGAACTTTACTGATGCTTTGGTTGCAAGAATGGCGCTGGCGAAGGATGCTGATGAGGAAACATTGGATCAGAGTGAAGTGCGAGTTTGGCTTGATATGTCAAGTAAGTTTTTGTGGTTTAGAAAGTGTTTAAGAATGGTTTTAATGAATTTTTTATAGATCAACAAATTGGAATCATTCTTCAAAGAGATTTGCAGTTGTCTTATCAGGACTTTGCTAAGAATCTGTTGAAGGAGTGTGAACAGAACACTGCGATCGCCGATGTACCAATCAGCTTCAAAGAACCCATTTATGGAAGCTCCAAACCATCTTTTACTGATTTTGTTGCTCCTGGTGTTATTTTAACGTATGTTAAACTGTTTTACTCAAAAACATCAAAATAATAATGAAATATTATGTTTTTAGGATTGTTTTCTTCTTGGCTGTCGCTCTGACATCCTCAGCTCTAATCGTGGAACGCATGGAAGGATTATTAGATAGATCCTGGGTCGCTGGAGTCTCCCCAGGTGAAATCCTCTTCTCCCACGTCGTGACCCAATTCGTAGTGATGTGTGGCCAAACCGCCTTGGTGTTAATCTTCATGATCCTTGTCTTTGGAGTGCAATGCAAAGGTGACATCGGTTGGGTCATCTGCCTTACCATCCTCCAAGGTCTCTGCGGAATGTGTTTCGGTTTTGTTATCTCCGCCGTTTGTGAATTGGAGCGTAATGCTATTCAATTAGCTCTGGGTAGTTTCTACCCAACGCTACTGTTGAGTGGTGTCATCTGGCCCATTGAAGGTATGCCAACGGTGCTGCGCGCTGTTGCTACCTTCCTGCCATTAACAATGGCTACCACTGCGTTACGAGCAATGCTAACGCGTGGTTGGGAAATCGTCGAGAAGGATGTTTACATGGGTTTCGTCGCCACGATCACATGGATCGTCCTCTTCTTGTCAATCAGCTTCCTCGTGCTCAAGTTCAAGCGCGGGTGAATGCGGCATTTAACTTATATAGCCTTATATTAATTACTTAAATTAAAGCGAGAAGCGAAACGTACGCAAATGGCGACCGAGCCGCACACAAATTCGGAATTGGGGAATTAAAAGAGATAGCTTTCAATGGAAAAAAATTAAAATGAAGATTCAAGGATGTTGTAAAAGCGTTTCGAAACAATTCTTGTTATTATACAACGAAATGAAACATTTAGTCATTAAATGTCAATATTTTCTTGTTTCTTGACTGTTACCGTAATATTTATCTGATAGAAATTGTTCTTTCGCTTTGTCTCTGTCACAACATTTACTACTTAACGCACTACTTGATTGTTGTCTTTTTCTTTGCCTCTCTCTCTGTACCTTAATAACATTTGGGTTTTGTTTATTTTTTTAATATTGTGTGTGTGTGTGGTTTTCTACTAATTCACGAGTGTGTTGCTTTTGTATAGAATGTGTGCGTGTGGATTCAGACGTAATATCGATCGAGTGCTCAATAATTGTTTAGTTAATTGTAATTTTCTTATTATTTCTGTTGTTAAACAAGATTAGATGTATCTTAGGTGACGAGGAGGTGTGATGAATGTGAATATTATCATATATGATGTGTATATTACAAAATTTAATTGATTGTGAATTTTTTAATTCGAAATAAATTGAATATTTTAAACAAATTCATAAATCTGTCATTTTATGCACTTTGTCAGTGTCAAAAAACATCATCTTTTTATTTTTTAATCCTTTTTAAAAGTTACAACGTCTCAAACTCCTCCATCTACATCCCAACCCACATCTTCTGCAGATGAGTCTTCTGATGAGGTCACAATGCCAAATTCCATTGATAAAACTGATCCGGATTACTTAATATCTCCAGATGTGGGTGATGATAACGCTATATTTGTCCGTAATGGTTTTAAGCACTATGGATCAAAAAGAAGCGAATTGATGTCTTGGCTAACTTTAACATGACTGTTCGGCGTGGTACCATGTAAGATCCGCCATTTTGGACCGTTATTTTGATGTGTTGTGTTAATGAGAATCATAATTACACAGTTATGGTTTGTTAGGCCCTTCTGGAGCTGGCAAAACATCACTTTTATCTTGTCTGGTCGGGCGTAAGCAGTTAAACGCCGGGGACATTTTGGTGTTCGGAGGGCGGCCTGGTACAAAAAATTGTCCGGTACCAGGAAGGAGTGTGGGATACATGCCACAGGAGCTGGCCCTTTATGGAGAGTTTAATATGAATGATATGATGTTCTATTTTGGGTGGATTTATTGTATGACAAGAAGGGAGATTGAGAATCGGAGTAGGTTTTTAATGGAGTTGTTGGAGTTGAAGAGCAAATATAGGAAAATTAAGAATTTGAGGTGTTTATGAGGTATATTTAAATGTGATTTATGTAATAATTTGTTTTGTGTAAGTGGTGGTCAACAACGAAGGGTTTCGTTAGCTGTGGCGTTAATGCACAGTCCTGAGTTGCTTATCCTTGATGAGCCTACTGTGGGGTTGATCCTGTATTGAGACAAACTATATGGAAGCATCTTGTTGATTTGGTTGCTGCTGGACGAACGACTGTTATAATTACCACGCATTATATAGAGGAAGCACGGCAAGCACATACTGTAAGTATTTTACTGATAAAATTATATATTTTTAAATTTATTTTTGCTCGAAGAACAGGGTCGGACTTATTTGTTAAAAAATTTTTGGTCGAAAGACAGGGCCGAACTTTTGGGTTAAAATGTTTTTAGTGCGAATTTAAATTTTTTGTTAAAATTGTCAATAGGGCCTAAACTGTGAGTGCTATTGGAAAATTGTTCTTAAATAAATTAATTAGAATTCAATAAGCTATCCGAATCCGCAATCAGATTTGAAAAATTCCAACTTTTAAATTCTAACATAAAAAAGAGAAAAGTTTTGCCTTTTTTATGACGAAATCTTTTTGGAGTGTTTTCGACCTCAAAAAAAATTGAAATTTTTTTATTGCAGAATATTAAAGAAAACGTTATTTTAAACACTTTATCTTAGTAAATTTTTGTTCTATGATGCATTGTTTAGATAATAATCACCATATTAAAAATCGTTTTCGTGCGAAGTAAAAATTTTTGTTAAAATTGCCAATAGGGCCTAAACGGTGAGTGCCATTGGAAAATTGTTCTGAAATAACTTAATTAGAATTCAATAAGCTATCCAAATCCGGAATCAGATTTAAAAAATTCCAATTTTTAATTCTGCATAAAAAAATGAAAAAGTTTTGCCTTTTTTATGACGAAATCTTTTCACGGTTTATGTTTTTTATAGCAGAAATTTAAAAGTTGGAATTTTGAAATTTTTTCTTCTGATTATGATAAAACAGAACATTACAAATCATTTATTTTAGTAAATTTTTCTTCTGCGACCCTTATTTAAGGCCCTATTGACAAATTATGTTACACAACTGAAATACTGATTATTATCAAAATAATCAGTCTGATAACAAAATGTCACTAAGATAAAGTAATCAGAATCACATTTACTTTAATCTTTTGCAATAAAAAGTTTAAATTTTTGGTTTTTATTTTTTACATATAAAATGATGGAGAAAACTGAAAATCCAGTTTATCGCGCTTTTCTTGCAAACGATTAAAGTTAAAGAAAAACGGTTTGCTGATATGTATATAGGGTATAATTATACATCATCTAGCACTTAAAAACTTTCAATTTTCTACCCTTATGTAATAAGTGAAAATGGTCAATAACTCGAAAACTAATTAAGATATCTGAACAAAAACAAGTTTATTGGATTCTAGGCATCATTACGCAACAGATTACAAAGTTTGAAGAAAATCAGAGTTGTAGTTCTTTTTGGCTTGTTTCGATTTTCACCACTCATTTTGAAAATTTTAGAGATATTGAAAAACTGACTGGATATCTTTCATCACATTGCAATTCTGTATCGAATGGCGTTTTCCATTTTCTCCTAGCTCAAAATTGATTTTTTAAGCCACAAAATACTTAAGTGTAACCTCTTGATACTTTTCGGGTGATTTTTGGTCGACATCATAGAATCAAAAAACTAAATCTGCCATTTTATAGATCCTTATCATGGCATGAAGAAAGTACAAAAAGTTTTTCTGTAACTTTTATATTTTCCGAGAAAATCGCATCTGAAAATTGCTTTTCACTCCGTCCAAATTAAAAATTTTAAAAGTTTATCAGATGTTGAATTGTTTACTGAGCGTAATGCTGCTTTCCGTTTTTGTTTATCTCCATTAGTTCCTGAGATAATCGGTAATTAAGTGTTGCAGGAAGAACATGCTTCACTTAAATTCCTTTACAGAGTAATCTGAAAGTACTAATGACCAGGATGTTGTACCAATAAGGGTACTAAAAGGCTCTCTATCTAAGGATGTAATTAGTTTTGGAATTAGTTTTAGAATAACTAGTCATTAAAATGTCAGGCGCCTCCGCCAAATTTTTATTAATCATAATCATTTTTACAAAAATATTAAAATATTACAGTTTTTATTATAGATTATTAAAGAAAACAACATCATTGATAAATTATTTAAATACATATTTGAAATTGGTCAACAAATTTAAAAGTTATACATTAAAAACAATTTAAATGCAATAAAGGCTAAACTCAAATGGTAGGGCATAAAATTAAAAATTAGAATTTTTTTTGTGAGAAAAAAAAGAAGAGATTTTAATTTTTTATGACAAAATATTTTCGTCAATGTTTCGACAAAAAAATTGTACTCGAAAATATTCGACCCCGAAAATATTAGGCTTCAAAAATATTCGGACCCGAAAATATTAGGCCCCAAAAATATTCAGCCTCGAAAATATTTGGTAATTTTAACCCAAAAGTTCGCCTCTGTCTTTCGACCGAAATTTTTTTTAACAATTAAGTCCGACCCTGTCTTTCGAGCAAAAATAAAATTTTCAGCCTGTTTTTAAAATAACAAAATTAATTTTTAAATTCAAGTTTGACTGCATTTTCATAGGAAATTAATTTAAAGGTTACTTTGACCCTGTTTTTCGACCAAATTAAGAAAAATGACGCTGAAAATAGCAATTTTTGATGCTCATTTTAGGGCATTTTCCAAAGGTTTAAAGGGTTAAAATTAAACTCAAATTATAGAAGAACTCTTAAACTATCATATGACATAGAGAAACTTAAAATATCTTCATTGGTGTAGAAGATACAGGGCGTTTTCCACAGCATGTTTTGAAAATTTGAGAAAAATGACAACTTTTAGAGGGCATTTTAGGGCACTTCCCAAGGTTTTAAAGAGTCAAACGTAAATTCATATTAAAGAGGGTTTCTTGAGCTATCCAGTGACGTTGAGAGACTTGAAATCCGTTAACTGGTTTAGGAGATACAGAGTGTTTTCCGCAGCAAGTTTTGAAAATTTTAGAAAAGAAAGCAAGTTTTAATGGGCACTTTAGGACACTTGCCATGGGTTTAAAGGGCCAAACGTAAATTCATATTAAAGAGGGTTTCTTGAGCTATTCATTGACGTTGAGAGACTTAAAATCCCTTGACTGGTTTAGGAGATACAGAGTGTTTTCTACAGCATGTTTTGAATATTTAAGAAAAGAGGCAAGTTTTAATGGGCATTTTAGGGCACTTCCCATGGGTTTACAGGGCCAAACGTAAACTCATATTAAAAAGGGTTTCTTGAAATATCAAATGACGTTGAGAAACTTAAAATCCCTTAATTGGTTTGTGAGATACAGAGTGTTTTCCACAGCAAGTTTTGAAAATTTAAGAATATAGGCAATTTTTGATGGGTATTTTTCGGCACTTCCCAAGGGTTTAAAGGGTCAAACATACATTCATATTAAAGAGGGTTTCTTGAACTATCCAATGACGTTGAGAAACTTAAAATCCCTTAATTGGTTTAGGAGATACAGAGTGTTTTCCATAGCAAATTATTACAATTTGAGATAAATGCATCATTCGGTGGTCATTTTAGGGCACTATCCAAGGGTTTAAAGGATCGGGAAAGGATGCATCGTTTTATATCTTATTATTCCTCTTACATAACAATGCATGACAAATAATAATCTTACTGACACTAATCCTAAACATAAACAATCCAATATTAACTTATTTCAAAACAAAATGTTATAACCCCAGATTGGCTTGATGAGGAGAGGAAGACTTCTAGCAGAAGATTCCCCGACAATCTTCTAAAAATCTACAACTCATCTTCTTTGGAAGCTGTCTTCTTACAGTTGGCTTACGACCAAGCGCCCAACACGGAGAGCGATCTTGTTCCCATTAAACAAAAACCTATTATGTCCTCCAAACACCACCCCGTAAGTCCTGTAAAACAAATAAACATCGCCCAATTAACCAATTTCATCACCTAGAAAAAACAAACCTAAAAAGTCGCAAGAACCGGCTTAAAATACTCGAAAATCAAATGCGAGCCCTAGTTTTCAAGAACTTCCTCACCTTGTGGCGCAACCCCGGCATCCTCCTCTTCTTTTTAGCACTTCCCGTAGTGCAAGTAATCTTATTCTGCACAGCAATTGGCGGAGAACCATCAAACCTTCCCCTGGCAATCGTCAATGACGAAATCAAAAACCTAACAATCACAAATGAATGCAATTTTCAACCTGGTTGCATATTTAAAAATTTAAGTTGTCGCTACTTACACCATATGGACGCCACCATGTTAGGCATTATATATTTTGAAACCAAAAGAAGCTTTAAAAAGTGTACAAAATGGCGACGCTTGGGGCATTGTACACTTTCACGAAAAATTCTCTTCAGCAACAATGATGAGACAACTCATGCCTAATGAAGACAACATAAAACAAAGCACTATTCTTATCAATCTAGACATGTCAGATCAACAAATTAATTATATGATTCAACGGGATTTGATTCAGACGTACATGGAATTTGGAAAAGCGCTTTTATTGGATTGTAAGAAAGATCCAAGAATAATGGATTTACCGATTGCTATCAAGGAACCGATTTACGGAACGGACAAACCTTCTTTTAAAGATTTTGCAGCGCCAGGGATTATTTTAACGTAAATATTAACTTAAATACTTATATTTGGTTATAATTTTGATTTTTCTAGAATAATTTTCTTTTTATCCGTGGGACAAACCGCTATATCTTTGATAAGTGAACAAATTGAAGGCATGCTAGACCGGACTCTCGTCGCAGGTAACCGAAACAAATTTTTATTTATTTATTTATTTTAAAAGTTAATATTCTCTTACCTTAGGAGTTTCCCCAACGCAGATCTTAGCTGGGCATGTCCTATGCCAATTCATAATAATGTGTCTGCAAGTCTTCCTCGTCTTGTTCTTCACCCTGCAAGTATTTGACATACGATGTGAGGGTTCCATAATCTGGATCGTGATCCTCACCATGTTGGTGGGGGTATGTGGGATGTGCTATGGATACGTTATTTCTGCAGCTTGTGACGTGGAGCGTACTGCAATTGAAATTGCTTTGGGGAGTTTTTACCCGTGTATAATTCTGAGCGGGGTGATATGGCCCGTTGAAGGAATGCATTACATTTTAAGGGTCATAGCATACTGCACTCCTTTGACTCTGGCAATTGGTAGTATCAGAGCTGAGATGAGTAGGGGTTGGGGTATCTCTATGTATGCGGTGTATATGGGTTATGTTGTGCCTTTTGTGTGGATTGTAATATTTTTGGTGATTGTGGGACTTATTTTGAGGTTTAAGAAACGATGAAGAGATGTAACTTGGTTGTATGAGTCTTGGACAAATTATAAGTTTTGATGGGGGTTTTAGGGTATTTCCCAAGGGTTTAGAAGATTGGTAGTAGATGCAAATTATAGAAGGTCTCTTTACCTACGGAATGACGAAGGGAAACATCAAATCCCTTGATTGCTATAGGAGATACAGAGTGTTTTATACTAAAATAACAAAAATCGAAGATAAATTCCCCCATTTTTCAAAGGCAATAGCATTTTTCACTCCTCTGACTCTAGAAATTACTACTCCCAACAAAAAATATTGACCTCGTGGAGTTGCATACCTTATAAATTTAAATTTCGCGCCAAAATGGTTCGCGCATCTGCGTAGTACGAGCACTGGGATTCGGGTGCGTCTGACATTGCCGCACAATTTACGGTACACTTTATTATTCTCCGCAAGTACCCACATACTTACGCGGTACTGGATTGTTGCGATCGTGGCCACGGCGATAGTGCACAGCGTATCAAATCATACGCTTCGCATTGCTCATCAAAGGTGGGAGGCGTTCGTACATACATTCATCATCCGCATCGATTGCGCCTCTCGCAACCACCAGTGACGAGCAGTAAAAAGTGAAAACACGACCAAAGGATTAGTCACCTTTATTGGGCCAATACTAATCAGTGCTGCTCCATAAACAAACACCTACCTTAGAGGTTCCCCAAGTGTCACACAACGTAAGTAATCCCAGTACAATAGACATCACTTGACCTGGAAAAGAAAAAACATTTATTATTAACCAATTCTTTTGTTTTAGTTCAACCATGGCAAAGAAACCATCAGTACAACCAGCCCTGCACAAAGTGATAATGGTGGGCAGTGGTGGTGTGGGCAAATCAGCCCTTACTCTACAATTTATGTATGATGAATTTGTTGAGGACTATGAACCAACCAAGGCAGATTCCTATCGGAAAAAGATCCTCCTTGATGGAGAAGATGTACAAATTGATATTCTAGATACAGCAGGTCAGGAGGACTATGCTGCTATAAGGGACAATTACTTTCGAAGTGGTGAAGGTTTTCTGTGCATATTCTCCATCACAGAGGATGAAAGCTTCCAAGCCACTCAGGAATTCAGGGAACAAATTTTACGCGTGAAAAATGACGAGAATATCCCTTTCTTATTGGTCGGAAACAAATGTGATTTGGAGGATAAGAGGAAAGTGACTTTCCAGGACGCCAGCGAGCGCGCAAAGCAATGGGGCGTCACCTATGTAGAAACCTCGGCTAAGACACGGGAACATGTGGACAAGGTAACAAAATCCGCTTTTGTTATAATATCTCTTAGAATGAATGTGGGTGTATACATTCATATCTTAATACAATGGAGTTTCCCGTAATGGTTCCCGCAATTAGGCGCCGAAATTTTACGCCTCGTTTCACTCCGCAGCGTGCACAACACATACATACACTATGTTTTTACTGTTTGGTACTTATACCGCAACTCAAACATTGTCTATTTTGTTCTAGGTGTTCTTTGACTTGATGCGTGAGATCCGAGCGCGAAAAGTCGAAGAGAACAAGATGAACAACGGCAAGGGCAAGGATAAGAGCAAGAAGAAGAAGCTCAAGTGCGTCATTTTATAATTCCGCTTGTGTGGGGGGCTAAGAGAAGGACAATCCTGCAAAAAAAATCTCGTTCATATACTTTTACTGCTGTATAAGTCGGTGCCGTCTGTCGATCATCGTTTATTGTTTGTTCGGCGCTTGCAATTTGGTGTTCATCTAAGTTTCTATCACCTATCTGTCTGTCTGCTTCTAGATATGTTCTCTAAGCGTGTAAATATTTCTCACAAACGAGCGCCTAGTGTTATAATAACGAGTATAATCAGATAAGACTAAGTCATAATCGATATTTTTACCTGTAATCATAAAACTAACACTTAAAAACAACAGCGGAGAAGAGGAACTCACTATTAGTGGATGCAATTGTACACTTTTATAATTTTATATATGCGCTCATCAAACGTGTTTTTGATACACTCACGTATCAGAGGATAGGAATACTCTTACGTTTCGATTCCTAAGTATATAAGAGAGACATTTATTTATGTAAAATGTCAATGTTTGCGTTCTGTTTCTTGTCCACACTTTACTTTGCATTACGTTTGATTTACTACTCATCTATTTTCAGGTTTTTATGTTTTGAGTGTTGATCAATCAACATCACACAACCACGGGCAACACACGGAGACTAACGCTGCGCAGATGAATTAGTTCAAAGTAAGATTTACGGACAAAGAACGAACAGAATTGATGTATATTTATATTATTCCATTATTATTCTATTATACGATAATATAAAACGTTTGCTTTTATTGTTTCACGGTGAATTTCGCCTCGAAACAACTCTTACCCGCTGCATTTCCATGATTTAATTCGGTTTTCATGAATGTCTCGCCGGAAAATCCGGATTTTTGACTGTCTGCTGGGATTTCCATTGATTTTGCTTCATTTGCACATATTCTACCCTAGTATTTTATAATTTGATATTATTTTTAGGTTATGTTGTGTTAGCTTGTTATATTTACTGCTTTTGTGGACATTGTAAACCCAACATGTCGGAAAACCTTCCCATGACTTTTTTTTCGTTTGTGAGGTCTTTACACAAGTCAGTTTTGATCGGCATTGTCATTCCATTAAATTTCACCTCAGCTTTTCCCTAATAATCAAATAAAATCATTCAAATAACTTCCAGAAGTGTTAAAATTCAAAATGGCTGACCTTAGCTTCCGTATAACCTCTTTCAATCATCACACAACCTTTCAAACGAATTCTACAGTTGTTATCCAACCTCACAGACAAATTCTCCGGTTTCATATTACTCGCCGATGAACATTCTCGAATATAATTCACTTTAAACGCGTCTTTGTTCTAAAAACATTATTTTTTCAAAGAAAATAAAAAGTATTACACCAAAATAATATTTACGCAAGCGCCTGTGACATATGCAACCAAACACATCAATAATACACTATTGCCAAACATGATTACGACGCAACTGCATAAAATGCAAATTTCCAAGCATTTATAATGCATTTTAGCAATAAAAATAGAGAATTTAATGACCCACATATAATTTCCGGTGTCAATCAATGATAAACACATAAATTTTCATGATTACATGCACTTCATGCACTTGAAAGTCATTATCCACTTTTGTTTGCGAGCTTTGCGCTTCGAAACTCTCGCCAATTCGCGTTTCATATAAGCTTTCAACTCTTCAAAGCGCTGGTGTTTCAAACAATCGATATTATCCACGGTTTCATTGTTGATGCTCATCATTTCCGATGGTTTTGCATTGATATTATCTTCATCATTATTTAAATTGTCTATTGCAATGACACTATTACCAGCGTTTTCATCATTCTTAAATATTTATAAATATTTATTTGAATTTTTATATTTTTATTAAAATTAATTACCTGCCCGGTAATATCTTCATCAGTTACATCCGGTATTAGAACACCATACCGTTTCAAACAATACTCGTCAAACGCTTTGTTTAATTCCTTCTGAAGTTTACTTCGATAGTCAATATTCACTTGCATATCAGCTTGCAGCGTGAGTAATTTTTCTTTTTGTTCAATTAATTGCCTAGTGGCTTTGTTTAATAATTGCGTGCAATCCTCTTGAAAGTCATGCAGATCTTGACTGATATGAAGAGTTGTATCAATGTCTCTTATCATAATCGCCTTTAATTATAATAAAAATTAAAACTAAACCGCGAAAAGTTAATTTTTAAATATTTTACATGTGATAAATCATTTTTTCGTTGATTTGCGATGTTTTTCAACTCTTCCAACACAACAACTTCTTTATTATAATCTTTAGTCATCGTATCAAGATCCGTATCAAGCGATTTTAAAGTAGTATGAGTCTCTGTATATTTTCCGTTATTATCAACTTTAAATTTACTCCATGCAACCGAAAACGTCGGAATCTCTTCCGGAACTCGGATGACAGCAGTGCTAGACCCTGTTGAAACCCGCTTCTTTTTACCTATTTTCGACGTTGTTTTACTCTTAATCGAATGAACACTTTGAGCTTTGAGAATCTGTGATTTACTTTTGACATCGAACGTAGCCTTCGACGTAATGATCTTCTTCAATGTCTTTTTCGCGTGATTACTGCGTTTACTCTCTTGGCTAACAACACTTGCAATCGAATGCATACGTTTTGAATTTTTTGATATTACAGTCATCCCGTCATACCCTTTGTTAGACACCGAACGTATTTTAAAATCAGAACCGTCCATTTTCGAAAATTTCGGATATGATTTCCTAGGTTCCAAAGCAGATTTATAAAACGCTTTGATCACTTGCATCATTACAACCGTGTCTGTGGTGCTCAATAAAACAAGTTCACTTTTATCGTTTGATTCTAAATATTCCTTTGCTAAGCGTTTGATATAATCCAGACGTTCGCTGGATAAATCGTAAGTCATGTCTTCGTTACAAAGCATCGCATTTAGATCCATTTCTTTTCGCAGGGCTTCAAGTTGTTCAGTGACAACTTTATACTGTTCATTGACAGTATCCTCATAGAATCTGTTTAGTTTCTTGGGGACCATTCCTTTAAACGCGCATCCTAATCGGAGCATTGATGTACAGATTTTTAAATCTTCGCGTTGTATTCGTACATGAGTTATTATACGGATTAAACTGTTTGAGTTTAATGTATTGCGCAGGTAATGTATAATTATACAAATGCGTTGTTTTAATTCGGCGGTTTTTGAGAAATTCTCGTTGATTACGAGCACGAGTTGTTCGATTTGTGACTTTGCGAGGTTTCCGTTGCCAACTTCATATCCGGTTTTGTGTAAACATGAATTATTTCCGATTGTGTCAATGCCAGCGAGATCCACAACATGCAACTTTAATTTTCTCTTAAAATCTAATTAAATTTAATATAATTTAATATCTTACAGTTCCTTCTGATACAGCCTTAGTTCTTCCTTTAGAATAAATCAAAAATGTTACAATTGTGTTACCCATATTTGATTTATACTGTTCCCGAGTGTTTGCATTAGTTTGCCGCATGGTTTTTCGGGCTTCCGCTTTGAAAATTAACTTTAAACCGTCATACAATGATTTCACCTTAATCGCTTTGATATTATTGTAAGTATTCATATCGTAGATAGTGTCATCATCACTCAATAAATCCATCATGTAATTCCGATTGGTTTCGACGTATCGCATCTTGATACTGATTTTGTATCTGTCGTCGAGTTTTTGTTTACTGTCGAAAAGTGTCTCGAGGACTCTTGGTAATATTCCTCTATCCTAATATTTATTTTAAAATATTTAAGTAAAATTTAACCTAGTTTAATGTTTATTAACCTAACCTCAAATGTACTTTCTAGACCAGTTGTTGTGACTGTTTTGCCACTTCCCGTTTGTCCATAGGACATAATTATACCGTTGTAACCATAAAGAAGTCTATAAACATTTTTTAATGTAAAAGGAATTTTAAAATTGCTTTGTTTTAATTTTACCGGTCAAAAAATCCATTATCAGCTACAGTATTGAATATTTTTTCTTGTGATGCATTGTAAAATATACCGTTTGTTTTAAAGACGAGGTAATTGGGTATGCGGCCTTCATTGCTCTTTGCGAAATCTTGCCAACTACGAACGTAGATAGTTTTTTCGTCGTCGAGAACACGAAAATTCTCCATGCTGCAATTTAATTCGGGTAAAATACGCACGTAAACCTCCACATTCGACGCGGTTGGATTAATATTCGACATTATTTTATATTCTATAAATTATTTTACTTAAATGAATTGAAAAATGTCAATAAAGTCAGTTTGACAGAAAATAATTTTGTTTTTTAACTCAAACACGCAAAGTTTCAAGGTTATTTGATTATTTCCTGTGGGTTTTATCTTTTAATTAATCATAAATTCAATTAGTTTTTATATAAAGCAACTGAATTTTACCGAATTGTTTGCAAAAATGTTGAAAGAAACCAGAGAAAACGTTGTTTTCCTCATTTTTACGTTTGTAATCATAAAATATCGCATTGTAAATGGAGAATGTGTAATTGTTTATTAAATATTGTAAGAATATTTTAATGAAACATTTTTTCAGTCGCCAGATATGCTACAATTCATTTATCTGAAAGATTGTGCACCTGAGACTCTAATTGGACAACACAACTATTCAGTTTACATGGATCGCGACTGCAGTATAAGATTTAACGGATGTTTCAAGATTCGAAAGTTTGCAAATGAATCCAAGGGAAAAGTTGAGACAAAATTTGGAAGAATGACAATACCAATAAAAAGCGACTTTTGTTTAGACGCGACTAAACCCAGAAAAATCACTGGGAAAGTTCTACAGGCTGTGGAATTAATATGTCCCTATCAACCAGTAATTAAATAAATATTAAGATATACTTAAAATTATTTACAAAATTATTTATAGGGTCTACTATGTCCAAAAGGATCAATTAATCTAGCAAAAGAAATTTCACAAATGGGCATCAAAGGAGAATTTACCGAACGAGTAGAATTAAGTCATGAAAATGGCGAAATAACGTGCTTTGAACTAAAAGCTGTATTAACTTAAGTCAATAAATAAATCATTTAAAAAAAAACTCATGTGTTGTGCGGATTGCATACATTAAATTAAAGTAAATTTTGAATTTCGCGCGGTGTCAAGGGTATGAAGCGGAACGCGTGATGCGTGCGCATGCTAAGCCCTCCCGGGAGAAAAGGAAGTCAACCATTTTCTCTTCCCAGCGACCGGTGCCGAAGCACATGTGCGTTCGCGACAAATCGACGTAAATTTTTGGTAAATAATCAACAAATTCACCACCCACAAGTACGACATCATCACAATAATCATCCATTTGCAGTGCTTTAGGTTTCACCAATCACACCAAACAACAAACACAATGAATTCAGAAAAACTGAAGAAATTGCAAGCGCAGGTCCGCATCGGCGGTAAGGGAACCCCCAGGCGCAAGAAGAAGGTAAGCAAATTATATTTAACATTACATAACTGTAAATAATTATAAATGAATTAAAAATATCTTATACTAATGTGTAAATTTGTTTGGTTAGGTCGTACACTCGACCCAGGCGACAGATGAGAAAAAACTGCAGTCATCGCTGAAGAAGCTCTCAGTAAACACGATCCCCGGCATCGAGGAGGTCAACATGATCAAAGACGACGGGTCCGTGATACACTTCAACAATCCCAAGACGCAGGCGTCGCTCGCAGCGAACACATTCGCCATCACCGGCCACGGTGAGAACAAACAAATCACCGAAATGCTCCCCGGTATTCTCAACCAACTTGGACCGGAGGGTATCAACCAATTGAAGAGGATAGCAAGCTCTGTACAGGGCATGGAGAAGATGGTGCCCGAGGATGAGGAAGGTGTCCCCGACCTGATCGGTAACTTCGACGAGGCTTCCAAGCAGGAAGTCGCCAAGAAGGAAACGCCAGCGGCTGCTGCGCCGCCGGCGGACAAGAAGGAATAGAAGGGAGCGCGCCTGGATGGAAAACAACTAATTGCTTTACGTTTTCGATTTTCTTCAACTGTTTGCATTACTTTTGAAACCAAACACACCTAGCTGTTAAGTGATAGCTGAAAAGGAGGGCTCAGAGACGGGGAACCGCTACATTATTAATTCTACTGCTAAAACATCTACATCTTGTTTAGTCTTGTATAGAATATTGAATATTTGAATATTATAGGATACTGATTTGGATGCAAATACACAAATATTCTGATAAAATAACACGCGCATATAAAAACAATTTCGGTGTTGCGGACATTTATATTCTAAGTGTGTGTAATGGCGGCGGCCATTTTTACCAAAACTAACTAATTTGTCAGATTTTTTGGGATTTTTACCCATGACTTGAATAAATGTACAAAGAATCTGATAATGTCTCTTGGTAATTTGCAATAAAAATTGAAACTTTCTAAGTATCACAAAATTCTTATTCAGAGGGAATATTTCAATCAAATTCTCTTATTTTAAGATTTAAACCTTTCCATTTATACATTGATGTATATTTGGTTGCCTATATCACGGTATACTTTATACTCATTTTCTTTAACTCCCACTGTATACTTGCTTGCCTATCAATCAAAAAGGGCGAAATTAAACTTCGCGCGAATGAAAATTCGTTAACTCTTGCACCTCTGTTCTTCCCTCGCTCTTTTTCTATTGACTTACGCTCTTTGAATTTCGCAAATCACGTTGCAGTCGCGTTTGAATGTGAGGTGCAGCAGGAAGCGTTCTACGAAAAATTCAGATTTTTACTCTCAAGATGGAAAATGTGAAGTTAATCAGCATTGAGCTGACGAATTTCAAATCGTTCGGGCATCTACAGCTCGCCGATATGGAAAAATCATCGCTGTTTGCCATTGTCGGCATGAACGGCACCGGCAAATCGAACATCATCGACGCGTTTCTCTACGTCCTTGGCGAAAATCGAGCGCATAATCTGCGGATTCGTCGCTATGTTGATTTGATTCGCGTTAATGCAGCGTCAGCAGAAGGAAGCACGCCAGCTGCTAAGAGGTATTGTAAATATTTTGCGAGTTTATCAATTGTTTCAGCTGTTTTCAAGCTGCGCGCAAAAACACGCAACACGTGCTTTGAAAAAAGTGAAAAGCACGTTTTTTCGGCGGACATTTTGATTTTAACTAGTTCCTGTTCACCCTGATCATGAAAAATCATGATTAATTAAAATTTTAAGAATAAATTCATTTTTTATATTTTTTAAATGTTTTAGTTGTGTTGTTAAACTTAAACTACGAAAAGGCACAGATACGTTGCTGTTTGAACGCTCTACCAACTCGGATGGATTAAGCACTTACAAAATGGACGGCATGGTAAATATCCACCATTAATATTAATTTTAAAAATTAATTTACCGTAAAATATCACAGACTATTTCCTTCAATCAATATTTGGAAGACCTGCGTGTAATCGGCGCGAATACAGCCGTGCAGAATTATTTCATCCTGCAAGGGAACATCCAAGATGTCGCCAGCATGTCTGATAAAGCAATGACGATTTTCCTTGAACGCATCTCCGGTTCGATTGAATACAAGAAAGAACACGAACGTTACATGAAACTACATTCAGAGGCGGTTGAAGTTGTTCTTAGGAACGAGCAACAAAGAATCGCTTGAAGAAATTCGAGAGGAAAGCGCGCAAACAAGTTGAAGCGCATTTGAAGAAGACTGAATTAGAAGAAAAGCTCGTAATATTTATACAGTTTTAAATATTTTTTGTTTAATTTTATTTATTTAAGGAAAAACATCGCGTTTCCCTTGCGTTATTCCTCAGTTATCAATTATCCCATGAAGTTGCGAACTGTAACAGTGTCTTGGAAGGTAAAACGCGTGAATTTGAAACTTTGAAAAGTCAAAGGAATAAATTAGAAGCGGATATTGCGCAAAAACCGAAAAAAGTCGCTGATGCACAGGGTGTTCTCCAACGCGCTAATGACAAAATTACTAGATGTGTAAGTAATTAATAAATAAACTTATTTTGAGATAAATATTTTCTTCATTTGTGTGCAGGAACAAGATATTGAGAGGATTAGTAACGAAGTCGCACGTTGGAAGCAAGAATTCGTCGCGTATGTGTCGAACACAGAGAATATCAAAAAAGACATCGATCGGTTGATAAAATTACAAGAGTTATGTCAAACTGAATATTTACGCAATCAAAATCTCTTGAAACAAACCAAGGAAAACGCCAAAAAAGTCTCTGAAAGTATTGAGCAGAGTATTGTACCAAACAATGAACAAATGGCGGAATATTCGGCGTTAGTTGCGCTTGCCGCACAAGAGAGACGCACAGGAGTCACTTTTCAATCAGCTTCACACACAAGAATTATAAAATTGAGGATTGAATTGAAAGAACAACGAAAGAAGAGGATTGAAAAACGTTTAGCGAGGATTTTAACCACGCATGATGATTACTACGCAAAATGCAAGGAATTAGAAGAAGAACTTCGAGAGTTATCTGTGCCTGATGTTGAAATGACTGCTTCAGTGAAGAAACAAAGCATAAAACGAGATAAAATTAACAAGGAAATACACAAAATTCAATTGGATATTGATAATGTCGAGTATGGTGAAGAACCATTGGATTTAGAAGAGTTAAAGTATCGTTTTCCTGGAGTTGTAAGTATTTTTTTAAATAATTTTTATAAAAATAAAAAAATTATTTTTTTTAAACAATTTTTATGTTTAGATCGCGAGGATGTGTGAATTATTAGGTTTACAATCAACTAGAAAGCGTCATCAGGCCGCTTTAATGTCAAAACTCTCCGATAACTTGCAAGCTATCGTCGTAGACAATCCAAACACAGCGATACGTTTCGGGCAGTATTTGAACCTCACCGGATTCGGTGATGGACGGTTTTTAATCACCAGTAATGTACAGATTGACAGACCCTTGGTACACGCCAATATTCCACATTCTGAGTTGTTGACAAGTCTTTTCGAAGATGGAATCGCTGTTAATATAGTGCTCAGGATGGATCAGGACGCCATTCTTGTCAAGGATGTTGAACAAGCCAGGGCTATATCGCGTGAACTCGGCAGGAGGATCAACGTAATATTTATTATGTGGAATATTTAATAAATTATTATTTAACCGAACAAATGTGTTGATTATTTCAGACCGTGGCAAGAAATGGGAGGTGTTATGAGAAGAATGGCATGGTTATTGTTGATTTGCCGGTTTCTAAAGCTAAAAATGTTCGAAAGATGCAGTGAAGGGGATGATTAAGAAGAAGAATGAGTTGATTGATAGTAGTTTTTTATGCCAGAGGCAAATTATGAAGAAATCTGATGAAGCTAAGTGTAGATTGAAGAGATTGTTGACTGCAAATACAAGTCGGGGAAAACTTGAACAAATTGAGTTGGAATTAAAGAAGATTTCGATGGAGAAGAGTCAGTTACAGGCGGAATTATCCCAAAAAGAAGTTGAGGTATATTTTGGTGATTTTTATGAATTTTGATTAATAATGTTGTTATTTTAAGATAAATGAACTTAAAAATGAATTAAACTCTATTGGGGAACAAAGTGAAGTTTCCAAGCGTATTACCGATGAAATATTTGCTGGTTTTTGCGAGAAATATGGATTTGCAAACGTGGAACAATTCAAAAACTCGTTGGAGAATAACCGGGCGAAGCAAGTTAAGGAATTGAAGTCTCTCCAGGCTAAAGAAGGTGATTTGAAGAAAGTGTTAGAGACTATACAGGAAGAAATCACCAAACGTAAGTATATTTTTATACAAATATAATAAACCTTTTAAGTGTATTATTTTTGTTTTTAATTGAAGATGCCTCAGCAATTATTGCACGTCAAGAAAATATTCAACAGATGCAGAATTATCAACAAGAAGTGCAAAGTGAATTGCAAAAAAACGAAAAAATGCACACTGAAATGGTAAAGAAGCTCCGTGATTTGTATGCTTTCAAGGCGACAAGGGAGAATCCTTTGAGAGAGTTACGCAATGAAGTGTTGCAGCTGCACACTAGGAAATCTGAAGTGGATAATGCGATTGAAGTTCTTAACGAGGGTATCATTGCTACGCAAATTGAGATTGAGACTGTGAAGGGGAATCTCGAGCGACATTATCAAAAATGCAGGGTGAGTAATAGTAGAAATCAAGACCCGAGGAGAAAGAGGAGTGGGGAGACCCTAAAACCTTGCGCGGGGCCCTTTTATACCTGGGTTTTTGCGCACGACCCGCTAAAAGGGGTGGGGGAAGATCCACGCGCGGTAATTGCAGCAGCAGGTACCTGGCGCGTCTACCCCCACTACTTTTTGAGAGTCCTGTGTAAAACCTCAGATATAAAAGGCGGGCATGCAGTGCGGCTTGTGCTCAGTCGTACCTAAATCCTCCAGCAGTCCAGTCGCAGCTCTCTAGTGGTCCTCTCTTCCCTCCTCCTTCTTTTCCTGTTTGTTTTGAGTCAATCGCGAAAGGATAATCGGCATTTAATGCTCTAATTATACAAATTATTCCCCAACAGAGTAAAAATATAGTCCTCCCGACAATATCCCAAGGAGAAACAGAAGAATACGATTATGATCAACTTCCACTCGCACTCCTGACAACAATGACCAAAGAAGTCTACGAAGCAAAAGTACAAGAACTCAAAAATGAATTAAAAAGCATCGAAGATGAAATCACAAGACTGGGTCCAATACACCCTGGTGCAATTGAAGAACGAGACACCTTTCATCGTGAATTTCTAGAAGCTGTCCAACATTTGAATGACTCCATCGCAACACTCACAGAATTAGAAAAAAATGTACAAGAGTTGCATAACCAACGCACAAAACGCCTTAACGATTGTCTTCGCCACTTATCAGACGCTGTTGATAGAATTTACAAAGAGTTAACACATTCGCAATCAGCGTGCGCGCAGATTTTAGCTACAGATCCAGACGCTCCTTATTCTGGAGTCATTTCATACATGTGCGCTGTGCCTAACAAACGCTACTCCCGAATTGCTAACTTGTCGTCAGGTGAAAAAGTATGGCGGCGTTGGCGTTGTTCTACGCGTTGAGAGAATACAAACCAGCGCCGTTGTTTTTACTCGACGAGGTCGACGCTAGGCTCGATCCGGATAATTTACTAAAGTTGGCTGATTTTTTGCATGCGCATCGCGGTGAGGGTTTGCAGACTTTTGTTATAACGCATAAACCGCAACTGGCTAACCACGCCGATGAGTTAATGTCGGTGGTTGAAAGTGACGCGGTTGAGGGAAACCAATTGGAACAACGTATCATGAGATTGGAGCTCAGTGATAAGTTTTAAACAACGTTGTTTCATTGTTTCATTACTTATTTATAGAATAAAGTCGATTTTCCAGCATAAACTATGCTTTATACCTGTTTAGCCATTTTTGTAAAAACTTACACAGCCTGCGTGCGTGCGGGCTTGCTGTGCACGGTAGAAGTTATCAACTTCAGCGCAGCGTAAACAAACGATAAAAACATGCGATGTCATTAAAGATTCACTAACCTGTGCATGTTTCTGGAGTTTCTGGACACTTTAACTGGATTAACTGGATTTATTTCTGAAATTCTTGAAGAGCGTCGGTTAACGCCGTTTAACTTTACTTGTTGCAATACCGGATATGAAACCATCTTGGGATGTCGGTAATACAGGTCGCGTGACCTGCGCAGATTTGACTTTAGCAAACACACCACTTTTTCAAAAATATAACTCATTAGATTTAAACTTATTCAATATTTATTATTAAAACAATCAATTTTTAAACACGCAAGTTTAAACTCAACGAAAAAATTGATTCTTTTACGATTTAACACAGGTTATGCAGTGTAACCTGTACAGATTTTACATATGCAACCAAACATACACCTATTAAAACTCTAACTCTATAAATTCAAACTTATTCATTATTTATCACAAAAAAATCAATTTTAAACACGCAGTTACCACCCAAACCAAACAATTCAGTCCTCCACGATGTTTCCAAGCGATAACCACATAAGTTCTTATTTTAAAGAATCATTTCGTTTGATTTTCATCCTTTCACGTTTTCTTGGCTTAATGCCCTTCTATTACTTCCAAGACAAAGTAAAATACGTCTACACATTCAAATTCTCCCCATTCTACGCCTTTCTAAGCCTTGGAATGACTCTAGCCTTATCTGCACTACTCTGGTACAGTATGATACAAGATATAATCGATCCCAGTCGATTTGTGAAGTCAATCGACAAGTACATGGCTGTTTCCGACGCTGGATTGGTTAGCGCATGCCTCATAACCTCAACAGCAGCAACTATTATCCTCCGAAGGACAATCCTACAATATATAAACCATTTAATACTGGTTGATGACATGTTACAACTCACAGATGCAACCAAACCAAAACGTCACACTTTATTAATGATTCTCATCACGACTTGTACAATGTCGTTCATGGCTGGTTACGCATTCTATGTTTTTAGTTATGTGACTCCACAAGTAACACATTATAAGTTACAATATATCAGTTTTGTGCCGTATTTTATTTCGTATTATATTCTGTTGATTGTAAGTGTTTTATACTGGAGTGTCTCGGATGGTTTGACACGACGTTTACGTGCGTTGAAGAATCAGATGACGCCATTGTTGCAAACGCAGGATGAATATCCTGTGATGGTGAAGAGAGGTGAGCATTTGATGGATGAAAGAAAATGGCGGCTTGAAGCGTTGGATGTGCAGCACATGGTGGATTTAATGCAGTTGTATGAACATCTTATTGAAGCTTTGGCGTTGTTTAACAAGTTATTTGGACCTACAATATTAGTAAGGTTATAATATGATTTAAAATGGTTGTTTTAATGGTGTTTTTGTTGTTTTTAGATGTTATTGGTTAATATATTGATTAATATGATTCTGCGGCCGTATTTTGTGTTTTTTCACATGTTGGGTAATTCTATGTTTGTTATTTTGTTCCTGCACTTCTCCTGGTTGTTATTTCATATTTCACGGTTGATATTAATCGTGGAACCCGCGCAGAAGTTGACTGATGAGCTGGAGGATATTCGTATGGTTGTTAGGAAGCTGTTGTCGGGCATATCCAACAAAGATTCTGACCAAGAAGTAATTTTTATAATTTATAACCTAAAATAATGTTTTTTAACTGATTTATTTACTTTTTAGGTTGAAATCTTTGCAAAAAAGATTATGTTGTTGTCTTCAGCTGCGTTTAGTCCTTGTGGGATGTTTTGTGTCACACGAGGTGTTTATAGTAGTGTAAGTTGTTGTAAAACGTCCGCCATTTTGTGTGTAACTGATTTTTTTAGGTTTTGGGCACGGTTATAACCTATTTGGTCATTGTGATTAACTTTTATAAGTGAAATCTTATGAAGGAAGCGATACTTACTATAATTTAAGTTTTATTGTTGATATTGTTATTGAAATTCAATGCAGATTGTTTTTGGCACGTTCCATTGGAGGCATTTGCCTTGTTGCCTACCACGCACACAAGCTTCACCTTTTAATATTTGTAAAAATATAATTATTAGTAATATTATTAATAATAATAGCGTGTTGGAAGACATTCTGACTTAAGTGAGAACTCAACTTGTTTAAACTTGAATATGAAGCAGTTAAAGTTATCACAACTGTAATATAAGAATAAACATGATCAAATTACATTGTAGACAATGCACAGACGCCATTTTGAAAAAGAAACAGTTTAGTACGTGCCTTGAGGTTGAAATTATTTGCTTTAGTGAAGTACAGTGTTATGGTGATTCCCAAACATTATAATTTATCGATTATCGCTCATAAATTATAAACACACATAAAAACTGATGAACTCTACGAATGTATTGTACTTCCCAAAGTCCCCGCGTGTTGTGCTGCTGTAACTTTCGCGTTCAAAGCGATTAAAGCAGATTAAAACATCGCTGCTTCGAGTATAAAAGCCGAAACACTTTACCAATCAGCATCAGTTCAATAACTGCTAATATTTGAGTAACTACTACCTCAAAACATCTCTAAACACTTAAAAACAACCAAAAAACATCAACAAAGTAAGTTTTTACTTCTAAATACTTAAACTTCTCTTCTTTTATGAATAAAAATATTAATTTTATGGTAATTTTTAAAGATGTTCATCAAACTGGGTCTTTTCCTCGCTTTGGCCGCCATTGCCGTCGCCTACCCTTCGAATCTCGACGCCCTCAACGCTTATGAAGATGAATTCAATGGAGATTTGAATCAATATGTACCTTTGGAGGACGTTGATGAGTATGAACCGTTGTATTTGGTGCGTGCCCGCCGTGAGATCCAAATTGATCCTCATATTAACAAACAAGACGGTACCACCAACGCCGGCGGGTCAGTCACTCACCGTGGGGATAATCACGAGGTGACTGGTCATTGGAACAAGAATGTCGCTGGTCCCGGTAGGTCTAGGGCTAATTATGGTGTTCGCGGCAGTTTCAAATGGTAAACTTTGAAGAAGATTCATTTCTCACATGCTAAATGCTTTAATTTTTCCTATTTATATTTGATATTGTAATTTTTGATTAATAAAAATAATTTGAGATAAAAATATTGATTGAAACAAGTTATTTTACCAAAACTGAAAGGAAAATTGAGATTTTACCAATGAAAAAGTAGAAAAATTGCCATTTTTCATTATTTAAAACTCCCCATGACGAAATTTATAAATTTTAAGCCTAGAAATAAGTAAATAAAAGACTTTAGATAAAAACTTTCTTAAAAAAAGTAAATTCACACAAATTGATTAAAAAATGGCCTCTTAACCTATAAAAATATAATTTTCAATGATTTAAAACTCCCCATGATAAAATTCAATGAATATAAGTCTAAAATAATATTATTTCTATAGAAAATGATGAATAAAAATCTACTAAGATAAAAATAATAATAAAAACAACTCAATTCCCACAAAACAAGTGAAAAATAACATTTTCACCAACAAAAAACATAAAAAACTCATATTTCCATGATTTAAAACTCCCCATGTTTAAATTTATTCAATTTAAGCCTACAATAATATTATCCACGTAGAAAAACTCACCTTACAACATAATTCTACGAAATATCAACACAAATCAACGTTTATTGCAAGAATGTACAAAATGGTTCCAGCTTTAAGCTATGTAATTTAATGCAAACAACAATCGGCTTGTTACTTGTACTCCAAAATCAAAAATAAAACAAAAATCCGGGCATAATCGAAAGAGGTGAAAGTAAACAGAACGGTAAACAATGTGATGCATAAAGGCATGCAAATTGACTTGCAATAAAACGCGAGTTTGTATTTGTATTATAAAATTGTATCTACGAGTGTGAATACAACTTGTGCTGTCGATTTGAGTCACTAACGCCTCTTGGCCACAGACCATCCTTCTTCACCTTCAGCGGCAGGTTCCCGTGCTGCATAAAAACAAAGAAAAACATAAAAAATTATTAGTTTCACATGAAAAACACACAAAAATAACAAAAGAAGAAAAAACTTACGTTTTTCAGCACGTGGTGGTGCTCGACTATCACCATCACGACTTTCCCTTTCTCGCCCTTCCCACGACGGATTTCCTTCCTGTCATCATCCCGACGAATATCCCGGACATCCTTCTGAGCTTCCCTCCTAATCGGCGCACCGGAATCCCTCGCTCCACGTCCACCAGAAGACTGCATACCTCTCCTCGGGCCATCGCCATCTTTCGGCGCGGAACGATCCCAGGTCCTTTCACCCCCAGCCCTTGGACGATCATCCCTCCTGTCACGTGTATCTCTTGAATCCCTGTCTCTATCCCTATCATCACGACGATCATCACGCCGTTCTGGATCTTGTGTACGTGTTCTCCAACTACCTCCATCAGCCTTGGGACGTTCCGGGCGTTCAGACCTCTCTGACCTTTCACCACGTTCCGGACGCTCCCGCTCGCGCTCCCCACGGTCAGCATCAGCATTCCTCAGACGTGGCTTCCAAGGTTCGGACTCTTTCTTAGCTCCTCCTGATCCTCCTTCATCAGTTGCTCCCCTTGTTTCAGTATTACCCCCACCACCTCCACCTCCGCGTCTCCATGGAGCTGGCGCCGCAGCAGGTGTAGGTGCTGAAGCAGCCGCAGGTTCATCCCCAGCCTTCTCACCGGTCTTACTACGCCAAGTGGTGCGTTCCTTCGGCGGCGCGCGTTCTTTCGTCGATGCTTCACGATCCTCTTGCAATTTCCTTTCAATTTCTTCTTCTCTAGCGCGTTTTTTAGCTTCAGCACGCTCCAACATTTCAAGTTTCTCCTTTGCAAGACGATTCCTCTCCTCACGTTCAACACGTTCTTTCTCTTCACGCTCCCTGTCTTCTTGTTCCTTCCTAGCCAAACGCGCTTCTTCCTCCAGACGCAACTTCTCCTCACGTTTCCTCTCCTCCTCTTCTTCTTTTTCTCTCAAATACTTATTCCTGCGTTCCTCCTTACGCTTCTTCTTCCTCTCCAATAAACGAATCCTGCGTTCCTCAGCCAACATCTTCTCAAACTCCTTCAATTTATCCTGATAAACAGCATTACGCTCACGCAGAAGATTCTCCAAGAACGCATCTTTATCAGGCTTCATTCTTACCAGGCGTTCACGTGCTGCTACAGCCTGCTTGCGTTCTTCAATCGCATGCGCAATCTGCTCCTTCTCCTCCTGCTCCCAGAATGCTTGATCTTGTAATTGACGTTCTTTCATACTAGCCTGCAGTAGTGGGATTTCCTCTAAACGTTTAGCACGTTCAAAGTAATCCACCTTCTTCTCTTGACTCTTCAACTTCGCCTGCAACTCACGTCGTTCCTTCTGCAGTTCCTCAGCTTCACGAATCGCAATCTGCTCGGCATCCATCTTTTTAATGTCATCCTCATCCAGCTTCTTCAAAATCTTCTGTCCGTGACTCGTCTGTGAAATCTGCTGCATTTTCTCCTTCAAATGCCGGTCTTTAATCTGTTGGATCTCATTCTGGGCGCGTTTCCTCTCGCGTTCTTCCCGTTCATGCTCCAAACGCTTTTGTTCAGCTAATGCTTGCTGTTTAACCAACTCCTCCAACCTCCTGTGCTCTTCTTCCTCACGCACAGTGTTCAATTTCTCAATGTACTCCTTCCTATCTTCGATTATCTTATGCCGCAAGAGGATACGTTGATGTTCACGTACCTTATTCTCATGGTAGTTATTAACCAGCGCAGCGCGGACCTTCTCACGTTCCTGCTTCTTCTTATTCGGGTTAATCACCGCGATGGCTTGATGTAGCACCGTCGCCATGTTCACCAACTGGCTACGAATCTGCTCGCTGGGCATGGATTGCAATGTGGGACCTTCGGGTTTATCCTCACGCTGACTCTCGCTTAGATCCATCCCGAAGTGCACGCATTGATTACCATGATCAATACGAATCTGCATGTCATTGTGACGTACACAATCGACCAATAAACGCTCAAGATGGAAACTAGTGGTGAACTTGGCGAGTTCAATCAACCGGTCGAATTTAATCGTTTGGTAAACCTGCGCGATTTGACGGACAAGACGCACGAGTGTTACATCTTGCAACTGTGGGACGTACAGTTGCAAAGCATTACCTTCATCAGCCTGCAAGGAATCAATCACTGTCTGTACGCGTTGGCATAACAACAATGGATGAAATTCAACCTCTAACCAAGTGTACAAATTCTGTAGTTGTGGGGAAGCTAGATTTAAAACATTGAAACGTGCGACGTCTTTCAATAAAGAAGCGCGTGTCGGAGGTTGTTGAAGACCTAACAAAACAGCCAAACGCTGTGCCTTTTCCAACGGAGACTTATCTGTTTCGATAAACCTATCAAACTCAGGATGTGCGGATGGTAGAGGTATGGCTAACGTGGCAATCAACACCCGGCATGCCATGCGTTGTAATTCCTCCTGGGTGATGTTCTTCTTCATCTCCTTGGAGAGTTGGTATAATTTAAACAACGCAGCTGCGTGGTATAAATAATTCCCTGCTTTCCAGAAGACCATGGCTAGTTTTTGATAGTAATTAGCCATGGTTTTCGGCACGGGCATCTTCTTCGACATGTTCATCAAGTTGTGGATGTCCTCGATGGCTTTGTAGGCCTCCTGCCAGAGTTCCATCTGAATCGCTGAGTCGAGTTGATACAAACGTGTCTCTAGATTGAGTTGTTGCGTCTCTGGTTTGGAGATTGATACATTGGCGACCTGTACGGGGAGTTTACAGATGTCTTCCAGGTGTTTGCGGAGTTTATCGCAGAGTTTACGGAATTCCGTCTTGCGGTTGTATTTCAAGCAGAATTGGAAAGCCATGCATGCGATGTCGTGGTATAGATTCTCGACGTGGGCGTTGGTGCGTAGTAATTCCAGGCATTGACAATAGGATTCCCAGAGGAATTTCACCCAGGGGGTGAGGATTGTTCGGTCGGAACGGTCTTGAGCATCTTCGCCGGAAACAGCGCTGGATATATAAATATTTATGTTATTATTTTTTTATTTTTTGGTTGTTTATGTGATTTACCTTAATAAAATACTTTCAGGTGTTGCTAAATTGTCCAAGTCATCAATATCGATAACAGCTTGAGCTGACTGCTCCCTGGCATTCTCAGTCTTCTCCTCAGCCATCTTCAAATACCCCCGGATGACATTCTCCAGCGATCCCACATTGACGGATTGAAATAAGTTCCTGTACTGGAACAAACCCTCCTTGGCAATGTGTGACTTCTTGAGTTCGACACACAAATCCAAGTATTTGAACATGATGGGTTCCAGCACCAGCTCCGATAGGTTGTAGGACCATTTCTTGTTGCGGAAGACCTCTTGCAGGGTGTCCAAGGCTCTCGCCGGTTTGCCAACATCGATGAATTCTGCAGGGTGGAAATTGAAAGGTTACATATTGTATGCATGCGACCATATTGGAAGCCGGTGTGTATATGTGGAGAAGACGTACCGTTTGCGCGCTTGAGCGCGTTCTCCGGACGCTGTCCGAATCGAGCCATCTTCACGGGTATTTGTCCAAGGCGTCGTCTAGAATATTAGCATCAAATTCACGGGAAATTATATTTCGTGCGGACGTTTGCAGTGTAGAAATGCCGCGGCACTTCCACAACACACGGTGCACGAAAGAAAATGGCCGCCTGTCGGAAGTCTACAAGTTGTCACATAATAATCACCCTAGTGTCATCTAGAAATACACTTATTTCATGTTTAAAATTAATAAAATCAATAGAAAAAGCATAATAAACAATAAATCAACTAAAAATATATAAAATATAAAGATATTAAGCAAAAATATGTAAAATTTTAGTAAAAAACTTAAAATTTAGTGGAAAATTCAAAATGTTGAAACAGTGTTACCAACCTAAAAACTACCAACCAACATATAATGACCCTGATTGGTTCAAAATTCAAAATGGTTTCTCACACAAGTAAAAACCATAAATCTTTGAAAATTTATTGAATACGTACAATTAAATAAATGTAATTATTTATTTTATAATGAAAGTATACACTATTAAAGTCCAATCTGTAAAAATCATGTCGGATTAATCACAAGAATCAAACCAATTGCACGCAGCGTAAATAAAACCCAAAAATCAAAGAAATAAATAAAAAATACTTACCTAAAAAGCACATCAATCCATCCAAACTATTAATAATCCGTTGGCGCTTGCTCTAAATATAAATATTCATTAATACACACATTTCTCAACAATAAACAAAATAAAATCATTCAAATACAACTCAAATTAATCCAAATTTGAATAAATTCTACTTACTCTCTTGCGCCCTTTCTTCAGCCCTCGCTTTCATCCTCGTAATAAAAGCAGCGCCTTTATTCTTGCGGAAATTCTCATACGGATCATTCAAATTACACCCGACTCCTTTGAACTGATCCTGCCTGTCTCTCACATCTCCACCACTGATGGGCGCGTCAATTCCTTGCTCATTAACACCCAAACCACTGCCACCCCAACCCATCCTCTTCATCATCTGATGTCCTTTATTCGACGAGTCTAAACTCTCCGCCGCGTTGAGATTAATCGGCGCCATTGTATTCGACGGTCTAAAAAGCGTTGGCGAAGGTGACCTTGACTTTGACCTTGAACAAGACCTCGTCCGTTTTCTCCTGGACCTCCTTTCACGATCCCTATCTCTATCTCTGGATCTATCTTTATCTCTAGACCGTTCGCGATCACGTTCTCTGTCACGATGTGGCTTCCTCGGCGGTGTCCTTGACCGTGACCTTGAATGACTGCGACTTCTTTTGACCGCAGGCGATGGACTTTTACTGGTATATCGTCTCCGAGGCGGAGAAGGACTTTTTTCATGGATTATCTGAACAGGACTGGGTGATCTGGACTCTTCTCTCAACCCATTCGCGATTTGTTCCTCTTTTTCTTTCTTTGCGAGGTTTTTCGCTTTGTAATACTCATATAAACCCAATTTTTCCCATCCTTCTGCATCCCTAGGCCTGTCATGTGATGGTAAAGCATAGAAAGCATCCACAGCAGCTAATAATCGATCGCTAGGTGGCGCTGGCGGCGGTAAACGTATCATTTTAGCATCCAGCGGCTTAAACTTCGTATCGTCGAGTTTAATCAACGGAACCATCAACCCAGCGGGTAATTCATAGTAAGGAACAGTCGGCATCAACTCCTCTTGGAGTATCTCCGCTGGAGGCGGGATAAAACCAGGCGGAGGACGTGAAAAGTCCGGAAATATCGGTGGAGGAGCGAAAAACCCTGGCGGAGGTTGTGTGAACTGCGGAGGAGGAACTGACGGATTTATCGGCGGTGGTAAAGTCTCTTCAGCTGTAATCCTCGCTTCTAATTCCTGAATCTGTTGACTTGCATGCAAAACAAACGCTTGATGCTGCGCGCGATAACCTTCAAAAGTATTCTGTGTGTTTTGCGACAACAGCGCAATTTCCCCGCTGAATTTTTCAATTGTTCAGCTTTGAATTGCTGTAAACTCTCCGCAGGATTACGCATGGCTTCCACCGTGAGTGGATCGAGATAATTCGCTTTGGATTCCCAAAGTTGGAGGAGTTTATCGAGTTTAGTTCGTTGTTCGTCCGTTGCTGAGCTACTGGCGCTGCAGAACATCGGAACAACGACGGATTCAAGCGCGTCTTTCAAATCTGCGGCGTTTTTACGTGCGCAATGGTGTAAAACATCATTTACAAGGTAAATTATGTGTAAACGATGCGTGAAAGTAGGCGTACCTTGTATTACCTTCAATAACAGGCTTCTTGCAATGCATAAAGCCTTTTCTTTATCAGTTGCATGCTGTAAAATCCAAGATTTTCCCGTTTGTATGCTGTCTTTTGTACAATTATCAATGATAGGAGCCAGTAGACCATTTAATTCAGTGAGTGTGATCTGTAACTCGTCTGCATCCTGTTGATTGCCTTTGATTTCACACTCCGAGAGCACCACATCAACTTGCGCTTGCTGTTGTTGCATTAAAACAGCATGTTGTGCTTGTAAATTCTGCTCGCTTTGCTTTATTTGCTCCTGGAGGCTCTCAATTTGTGTGCGGAGTTGTATGATGTCTATACTGGGTGTAATTATGGTGGTTAGTGGGGGTGGTGGTGGTGGATTGGTGTTTGGTGGTTGTGTCCATGCGCCTTGCTGTTTGAGTACAACTTGCTCGGCTTGTACTTTATACTGGTAATAATTGTAGTATTCGCCGCCGTAGAGGAACTGAAACTTGGCGTTGCCCTTCTGCTTGTTCTTGGTCATCTGCTCGAACTCGGGGCCATTTCTAGCTACAAATTGCGCCAGTTTGTCTATTATATTTCTTAATTCTGTGTCTGTAAACATAACCTCTGGGTGAGTGCTGGGAATGTTTTGAGTTTGTTTGGATAACAGAAGAGTAAAAATTGCAACGAATTGGTGGAGATATGTCCGGCTGGGTTACCTTGCGGCGCTGGCGGTAGGTCCATCATCCCGGCGGTGGATTTACCATCGTTTTATTAATAAATTTAAATAAAAACTAGCTGCACAATCGCCGCTTGATGTTAAAGACTCTCAATTGGTGTATAACTGGTTGCCTATATTCAGGATAATGCATAAGTTATATAGGCAACCCAAAATATTAATTTAAATATTTAAAGTTTAATAAATGAGGATTAATACATTCTTTTATAAAATGAAATGTTTTATCACAACGCACACACGTAGAAACATTAGCAAATAGAAACATTAGACGTAACAGTCGCGAACGCGAAGATTCCAGATAGATGAGCGCCGTGCACCGACTGTGGGCCTCGCAACCGAACTAAATTTAAACTTGTTGACTTGCACATTACCACCGAGAACCTCCTGTAATTTTCGTAGTTCAGCTAGTTCTATATAACCCCCGTGCACGTCTAGAAACAGCAATGATTCACTTTTCTTCAGCGACAACAACGCGCGATAAGGTATAAGGTAACAACGCGATAACGCTAAGAAATTCAACTCTGTGAGCTTAATTATGTGTTGAATAGCAAAACCAGACAATCCTGTGCAGTCAGAAAGATCCAATTCACGTAGATTCGGACAGGATTTGACTAAATCTGCAACATCTAAGCAGAAAAACATATTTTACTACTAAAAAGACGCCATATTTGAATTAAAACTTACTTAAATCACCAAGTAACTTCCTACAACCAGAAATATTGAGTCTGTCGACTGTAGGCGGAAGATTCGCACATAAATATTTAATACTTTGCGCATCCAGATAAGTCCATGCAATATTTAACTCTCTTAACCTATAAAAACAAATTATAACAAACTATAACCAAAAATCAATTTTTAGGTTATTTTAACCTAAAATAACATACTTGCGACATTTTGTTAACAATGCAGTTAAACCCTCGACATCTATACCCTCAGCCATAGCTAAATTCAAAACTTCCAACTCTGTGCTCCTCGCTAACATCTTAAACACTTCTGCATTGAGTGTAACACGCTCCAAATTGACTTTTTTCAATCGCCGACATTTTGAAAACATCACAACGAATGTTTCTGGTTCCGCATGCACCATTCCCGCATCTAAATACATCAATCTCGCCTGAAAATTCTCATTCGCCGCACGTGCATGTGGAAATATAATCGGGCCTTGAATCTCGCATTGTGCAAGTCGTAAAATGATGACTTGTCTGCTCAAAAACGCCCCTAAAACTCCTTCTGCTAACAATCGACCTGAAGCATCTATACGAGCCCAAAGACTTTCATCTTTTGTCAATCGCTCAAACCTTGTACACACTAATGAAGTACTCAACAGATGTCTCATCGGCAGAAAGTGAAAAATGTGCAGAATAACTTCATCAGATAACATATTGAAATAATCTATTGCAGGTGGTTGTATCTCAGCTTTCTTGACGAGGAATCCACCCCATTCTTCAATGGATATTTGGCATGTGTCTCGATTGGGAGTGTTGCCTCCAAGTGCATGTGGCGATGAATTGTTTTTCTCAAACTGTTCTTCGGTATTCTCAACATTCTCAACCTCACTCAGTGAATCTGAGTCGTCTTCGAGTACACTCACGCCGAAATCGTACACATCGTCTAATTTGACTGAATTGTTGAGACTCCAGCGTTCTTTTGTGGCGAATCGAATCGTGCGCGTTTTCTAATGCAACAGGTTAATTATTTTCGTGGATTTTTATGATTTTATGCTGTATTTAATACCTGGCTGGCGAACGATCCATGTTGGTGTTGTTTACATGTAGTGGCTGGCGTGCGGGAACGTTTTTTGTGCTCATTTTTGCTTAGATCGGCTGGAATTTTGGTTTTGCAGTTTATCACATAGCAGTTGTGGTTCCCTCCAAACGCTGCAAAGTTTGTGTGGATTGGTGAATAGGTTAGGTAGAAAACAGCGCGAAAAGTGAAGTTGGTGTGATTGACGAGTGTTTAAATTTGTTTTGAGGCATTATTAAGGTAATTAACTAAGTATATTTTATATTATAAACATTAAAATTGATGTATTTTGTTTGTATGGTTAGTAAATCAGTGATTTTCGGCGTTTAATTCGGTTTTTTGATGAATTTTGAAGGAAAATTGATGTTTTTGTGTCAAATGACTTTGAAAATGATTTTTTGGCTATAAAAGTGATAAAAAATGCTCATTTCAGTTGATAAATACACAGATAATCATTATTATTAGTAGATATTATGTGTTTTCTATGTTTTGAAGCAAAATTTACGTTTTATAAGTAAATTTCTTTAAATTTCTTTGAACTGTCAAAAATTGACACAAAAAATGCAAATTTAACTTAGATTCTTATCAAAAACTGCTGATTTCTACTGATAAATCAACTAAATATGTTTATTACTACATAATAATATACATTTTGCATGTTTTGATGAAAAATTAACGGTTTTAAAGTAGATTTCTGTAAATTTCTTTGACCTGTCAAAAATGGACACAAAAAAATGCAATTTTAAGCCATTTCACAATCAAATTTGATTATTTCTCAACAAAGAATCAGTAAAACTACTAATTTTCTATCATATTAACGGAAAAACAAAGCGGAAAACAATTTCCTGTTCTTGAAAACAACTTAAACATTAAATAATTATAGGTTAGGTTAGTTAAACACAAAATCCTCGTAAATTTCAGTTTATTTCGTATAAAAAAGTACACATAAGTGCTAATGGCGCGCCTAGTACATCTACTTAACCTCTCAACACACACATTCGATTCGAAACGTATTTACAAAGTCCAAAAATAACCTAAAACCTAACACAATACAGATTAGTATAACATAATGGCTCCGTTCGTCTTCTCCTCAATCATCGGAATAATCGGATCAATCTTCTTGTCACTATTCGCAATATAAATAATGATAATGTTGATGAAATGCGCGACTGTGGCGCCCACTACAAACCAAAACGAATACCCCAACTCAGCCATATTCAGCGATGTCCAACTATTGTCCAAATCCTCTAATGATAACACATTATATTGGATTTTCATGTAATACTGCGCAACCCACAGTGCAATGGCTCCCAAATTACAGAAAACTGTAAAAATAACCAAAAAAATTAATTTTTGTATAAAATTGAGGTTAGGTTATACTTACATGATAGTATATTCCATAAATACAATCCTGGAGTGCCAGAGAAACAACTATTACTCGTAGCGGCGTTAATGGCGGCGAAAACCGCGGCTAAATCAGAGAATAACAACGCTCCACAGACGCATGTGACAGTTCCAAGCCAAAATCCATAGATGAGAAAGTCCGGTTCGTATTTTAACATATGGATAACTGCAAAAGACAAATAAAAAACAAATCAATAAGTATTATTAAATTTTTAACTTTCCACGGTTTATTCTAATCAATTTAATGTCGCCGCGCCAGTTGTTGACGGTTTATCTCACGATGAATGCCAATGTCAGCTGCATGCGTCTGGAAATTTCATTGGAATGTCGGTAGCCGTTTAGAAACAGTGAAATAGTGAAATAGTGAAACAGATTGCTGTGAATGTTTATGCAAAGTAGTTTTCTGCATACTGGCATAATTAACGATATCTAGGACATCTGTTTTATTAATTTTACTAATTGGATTGAAAAATATTGATTTTTTGAGGGAAATTGTGAAATATTTAAATTAGGCAACCAATTATTCATGTTTTAGGTTATATACTGTCATTATCTTAACCAAAATTGACAAAATTATTAAAAAGTGATACAAATTATATGATTAATTAATATTTATGGATTAAATCAGTGTTTTATCACTTCTATCCAAGTTTTTTTACTAATTTTGAATGAAAATGAACATTTTTATGTCAATTTTACGTAAAAAGTGATTTTTAACCTCAAAAACAAACAAAAACAACAAATTTTCATCCATAAAACAACTAAAAATGATTTTTCCTTTAAAACTTATGAATTACATAACTTAGGCAACCAATTACACATATTTTAGGTTAAAAACTGTCAATGTCTTAACCAAAATTGACAAAATAACTAAAAATGCAACAAATTGGATGATTAGTTAATATTAATTCATTAAATTGATGATTTTATACTTTTACTTCAATTTTTTGACTTATTTTGAAGCAAAATTAACATTTTTGTGCCTATTTTAAGTAAAAAATTATTTTTAACCTTAAAAACAAATAAAAACAACCAATTTTCATCCATAAATCAACCAAAAATGATTTTATCTTTAAAAACTAATGAATTTCATAACTTAGGCAACCAATTACACATGTTTTAGGTTAAATACTGTCAATATCTTAACCAAAATTGACAAAATAACTAAATAATGACACAAATTGTCAAATTAATTAATATTAATTAATTAAATCAGTGTTTTTTCACTTTTAATCCAATTTTCCAGTAATTTTGCAGCAAAATTAACATTTTTATGTCAATTTTACTTAAAAAATGATTTTTAACCTCAAAAACAAACAAAAACAACCAATTTTCATCCATAAATCAATTAAAAATGATTTTATCTTTAATAAATAATGAATTACATAACTTAGACAACCAATTACACACGATTTACCTTAAATACTGTCAGTATCATAACCAAAATCACCAAAAATGACAAAACTATCGAATTAACTACCGAAACAAAAGAATGTCATCAATGTCTTTATAAGAATAGTTTCGTTTTCGTCTCAATTAACTCCTTTATTCATTCATTTACGGTGAAACGACACAAACGGCGTGACAATTTCACTTTTCATGCATGCGCATTCACCATACGCGTGCGCGCGCGTTTCTATTCTTGTTCTTGTTTTCACCGCACGCATCACCACCATAAACATTCATGGAAAATGTGCTAATTATTTCTCCCAACAAACAAAAAACCTATTTTTATGCATGATTTACTAAGAATAATCCAAGATTTTATTGAATTTATACTTTATATTGAATTATAGGCAACTTACATAACACTTTTGTATACTCCATAAGAAATTATAGGAAATTATCTAATCTAACCTCAATTATCACCTTTATATAATAATTTATTAATTTTTTTGCACTTACTATCGATGTCATAACTTCTCCATCCGTAAGCGACATTTAGGTCCTTTTTTCCACTGAAGAGGCCGTAGTTAATGCGTCCATTGGACTCGTGCGGATTGAGAGTGCGTTTCGCATGCGCATTCACCCAGTGTTTCGTCCCTAGGCTCGCCACCAGCAAGGCAATTGCAATACACGAGCCAAAGAACGTCGCGAAGATCATCCCGCGTCGAAACATGTGCATTTTGATGCTAATTTGTGTTTTTTACTACAGAATAACTAAATTTCAATTGTTTGTGTCTAGATTGTGCAGTGGTGAGCAGTCGAGCGTAATTCCTTCGTTTCGACCAAACACACTCACTGGACTGGACTTTAACTACCAACACTACACGTTACTAAGGTTTGTTCAATCAATGAATCACTTGATTATTTACTTTGTGGGACACCAGGAAGAATACCTCCGTAGCACACCACTTGACACATTTTTCAGAGCGGTTTCACATTGTCACAGAGCCTGAGGTTGCACATCGCGTTGGAGGTGAGTGGATGCAGTGCAGAAAGGTGTGTTCGGGTGTGCTGCGACCGCGGACGTCAGCGTTGTGAATGTGAATGTGAAAAGAACCGGTATGGCGGTAGTAGGTAGGTAAGAGAGTTGATGATGGTGATGGTGTGTCTGTCGGCAATGTCGGCATTCTACGCTGGTTTTCGGGTCACGTTTTGCTGCACGTTACAGTCGACTGACAATTTCATTAGGTTTTTGTGTTTTGTTGGAGTTTTTATTATGTTGTTGAATGGTAGACATGGTAGGCAACTCAAAATACACAAGAGTGTGTAAGGTGATTGATGGTAGGTAGATGATATGTTTGGTTATGTTTTTAGGAAGGTTTCTGGGTGTTTTAAGTAATTTTTAAAGTAAATTGACGTTGGTGGGTATATTATTAGTTTGAGACATGGTCACGCGTGAATTACTTAACGGTTTTTTATGGTATTGACAAATTTTAACGGTAAAAGGCGATGAGTAACAATATATTGCTGTTTTTGTCGTCAAAACGAAGAAAAATGGTTGAAAAATGACTAAAATTGCTTAAATATCTATTAAATTGATAGTTTATCATTGTGTGGATGAATATTTGGTGGTTTTTATTAGAATAATATTGTTTTATATTATTTAAAAGTCTTTTTGTGGTCGAGGAGCAAAAATAATGCGAGAGTAAAGAGTTTTACCAGAGATACTGTCTAGTTTAATAATTTGCAGACAGATGGCGCCACGCATTCTACCTGCGTGCAATAATTGCTGAATGCAATACGAAAACAATAAAAAAACTTGCACTGCGTGTGATAACAATATCGAAACGTAAATAAATAACATTGCACGAATATTCAACACTTAGAAATCAACACAAAACACATTTTTATTTAGTTTTATTCGCGACATCAACGAAACATAACACAATTTTGTTATTCATTGATTCCAAAGGCATAAAAACATTTAAATAAGTGAAATATAGTTTAACCCTTGGCTTCGCTCGCGAATATCTAAAATAATAAAGTTGCTTCCGTACGCGTCTGTAGTCACAGAAGAAGTAACAATGAAGTAGAATGGCGGGAAGTTTAAAATGGCTGAAAGTATAGTCTATGGAAGTATAGTGTACAGTCTCCATAGTGTAGTCAATTGGATTTGATGTTGACGTAGCTGTCGGTAATACAGTGTGATAATACAGTGTGATGGTACTATAGTACCTACTTAGGTTTGAGCTTCATTGCTGGAATGCTAGATGGCGTTAAAGTAGTCAAATAGCCAGATGCAGAGGTATTATTGGCTAAACTATTTCTTTATTTTATTTCAAAAATAATTTTTTTATTAAATAAAAAGTAGCATATAACCATTCGGGGACCACTAAGAATATGTGTACACATTTTCATGATGATCGGTTAAGTAGTTTTTGCGTGAAAGTGTAACAAACATCAGGACTTACGCATTTATAACATTAGTAGCGATATTTACAAATTACATTGATGAAAGTCAAAGTACAACAATAATTTGCAATTTTTGCTATTAGAATGACGAAAATTTATTTAAAAACCACCAAAATTAATAAAAGTGTTAATTAATTAATATATTCGTGAAAATTTAGTGTTTTTAATTAATAAAACATTATTTTATATTGTTTAAATGTCAATAGTGGTCTAAAAACAAGAGATTTGTAAGAGATATTGCTTAGTTGAGTAAATAACCACAAGATGGAAGCACGCATTCTACCTGCACGCAATATTAATCAAATACAATACGAAAGCAAACAAAAAACTTACTCTACCTCTGATAACAATATCGAAACATAAACAAATAACATTCTACGAATATCCAACATATAAAAATTAACACAAAACACATTTCTATTTAGTTTTATTCGCGACATCAACGAAACACGTTGTAAATTTACTATTCATCGACTTAATTAAAACGACATGAAAAACATTTAAATATCTCTGCATATACAAAAATAAATACAAAGATAAAGTTGAATCTAAAGACATCCGCTTCCTCCGGGCGCCGGATGCGCACGAGATTGTTGACGCGTAGACACACGTAGAGTGAGTCGAGTACAGCCTGCCTGCCTGCCGAAAGGTGAATTCCGGGCGGCCAATAACGCCCGCCCCAGCCGCCGCCAGCCGCAATGCTGATACATATCCATGGTGTTGGCCGGGGGGTGGCGGCAAGTTGTTGCTTCGCCTCGCGCGCGCGGCAGTTGTTGCGCCGACATCGAACATGCCGCGTCGCGCGCGATTCCACACGCATCTGATTAACGTTTACGTCGGTGGCGGCAACGGCGGCGGCGGCAGCAGCAGCAGCAGGTCACACGGCGGTCGTTTCTAATTATTGACAATTGGTAAATAATTACGCGCGTGATTTCATCGGCTACCAGCTGTAATTGTGCATCAAACTATCCGAATACAAATTAGACAATAAATGTTTAATTAAAATGTGTTTAAATTAATTAGTTGAGACATTAATTTGTGTATTGTGCTACAATGGAGTGGATTACAGCGATTGACAAGCGGTGAGATTTTTATTTTTAAGTAAAAATTTAGTTTTTTTGATTTTTTTTGTGAAAATTTTATGAAGAAGTTAATAACTTTTGTTGTAAGTTGTAAAAAACTTTTTACTTGTACGTTTATTGCTGCTTGTATCCTAACAGAAAAGTTTTTAGGTGAATTTTGGTTGCAATCGTTTAGGAAAGTTCACAAAAGTTTAGGAAACTTTTAGTGTTATAGCTTTTCTTGATTTATTGATACTTGTTGAGGTAACTAGAAAGAAAATACGTCATAAAATAAATGAATGGAAGAATACTGTGTGTGGTAATGTTAATAATGTTATAAAGTATTGATAATTAAGTTTATTATCTTTTATCAGAGGGATTTTATCTTGTAAAGAGCGATTTTTTGCTTTAATTTTGTTTAATTTGATTTTTTCTTTGAACTTTCATTCCTGAAAGGGTTTTTCCGAGTGGTTTCAATCTCTTCAATCAATCACATTGAACTCGTTACTGTAGGTTTAGTGTCTACGTGCTCGGTTTTTACTTCTTTTGGTTGATTTTTATATTTAATCAATGTTTTCTTTCCGGTAAAGATGTTGAAATAGGATAAAATGTAGTTTTTGGGAGAAAATTTTAGAAAAATGCAAATATTTTGGTGATCTATTGATAAAAGTATGGTATATTTGATATCAGGAGATAGGTAATTTAATTACGCGTATGATAAAGTCAGATTTGTTTATTTTGTGGGACTGGTTCAAAAGTTACAGGGTGTTGAAGAGAAAATAATTATTATTTTGATAATTTTCGGGAAAAATGCCAGGTTTTTGGCTGTTTCAGTCATTTATTTACAAATATTCTTCAAATATTTGATATAACGGGATTGGTAATTTAATTACGCGTAATATAACGTTTTTTCTGTTTGTTTATTTTGATTCTTTCAAAAGTTACAGGGAGTTAAAGACAAAAAATCGATATTTTGCTAATTTCAAGGACAAAATGTAATATTTTTGAATTTTGAAGCATATAAACAAATATATTACCAAATTATTTAATATAGTGTTATAAAGAATTTAATTTTACATAATATCTACTATTTTTTATCACTTTATCATCAATACTTCAAAAGTTACAAGCAATTAAAAACAAAAAACAGCAAATTTTCCCGTTTTATGCAAAAAATACAAGATTTGCGTTTAATATAAGATTTAAGACCTTTTAACTAAAAAATGTCTAAAATATTTAATATACCCTAATAAAGAATTTAATTCCGAACATTTTGCAACAAATTTCATCATTCTATCAATTCCCATCTTGAAGCTGTAACGATTTTACTCTTTTATTTCGCACTTTTTTCTTAATCGCAAATAAATGAAAATGCAAGATGTAGGCGCTTAGACTCTCGATATAAAAGCCGAAGGTATTACTGAAGTAGAATGCAGGAGGCATGTCTCGACGTCACAGCATCCCAAGAGTTAAAGAGTTTTCCGGACGTGTCGGGTATTGAATTTTTTTTTGTTTGCGTTTTTGTTTGCCTGCAGACGTGCCGGCGAAACTGCAAAAGATCTTAACTATTTCACCGGAATTCTCTACTCGTACACTTACATACACAGCTAGTAAGAGTAAGAGTAAGAGTTGAATTTGTTTTTCTTGCTTTTCATCAACAGGAGGGAAGGATATTTAAGTTATGTTGAGACAAGAAGCAATTTCAAACAGTAGTAATACGAGTAAGTGGTAATTAAGCGGCTGGAATTCAATTATGCATTGTGAAAAAAATCATCGAAAAACGTGAAAAATGTGATTTTGTATGTTTGTAATTGTTTCACGGCTAAACTACTTCAACAATTTTGATGAATTTTGGTGTGGAGATAGATTAGAGTATAGAAAATAACATAGGCTACTTTTTTCCCGAAAATAAAGTGATAAAAGCCTAAAAATTGAGGTTAAAGTTTGTATAACACATAAATCACAATAATACCTATATAATTTGGATCTAGATGGCGTTCTAATATGCATTTCACGATGTTAAAGAGACAAATTCATCTTTTTTAATACAACGTGACTTTTTCTGCTTGTATTTTCGCATAGCGTTAATTACGTACTAATTATAATTACGTAAACACACTCACACTCAGCATGATGATTGCGTAATGTTTTACATAACCACAAAAACCACCACCACCTTTACACTTACACATCGACGTGAGTCTGGTTGCCGCAGTCGTTAGTGCTTGCTGGGTGCGCTACACCCGGCGATAATTGCATGTAATGCGAACATTATGCTTCATTAGATTGTCCGCCATGACACGAACGTGATAAAGTTAATAATGTTGACGAAAACTTAATTAAACGAATCTGGACATGTTAATTAATTCGCATTTCGAGCTTAAACCGAGCTCAAAGCCCTCAAAGTTCGGCTAAAACTTAAAAAATTAATTAAGTTAATTATTCATGATTTTAATTAAATACTTATTAAATGGATGATAATTTAGGATTTGATGATAAATCGCGTTAGTTAATCAAATATTTAGGGTTAATTTACTCTAGTTTATAATAGGTGAATTTAGGGGTGAATAAAAGGGGTGGTAGAGGAGTAGTTGGGTTGTGGGGTAGTAAAACCAACATTATAATGAAATACGATCATGACTATCATCAAACGGAAGCAGTAAATATTCACCTCCTATAATATTACACATAAAATACTGTATTTTATTAACTAGTATCATATTTGCTTATTTTTATTACTTTTTAGTTAAAATATTTGTGTTTTATTGACAAAAATCGACAATTTTAGTTGTTTCTGATGAGAATATCAAAAAATATTGGAGGAAATTTTATTATTTTATGAATAAATTAAGTAAAATGCATGAAAACGTAAAAATACATGATTTTTCATGTTTGTTACTCTTTCGCACCTAAACTATTCAAACAATTTTCATAAATTTTTGTATTGAGATAGATAAGAACATAGAAAATAACATAGGCTACTTTTTTTCCCGAAAATAAAATGATAAAAGGATGAAAAATGAGGTTAAAATTTGTAAAATGCATAAATTTTAGTTATAATCACATAATTGGCGTCTAGATGGCGCTTATATGCATTATAATCACATAAAATACTCTACTTTATTAGCTAGTATAATTTTCCTCCATGTTTATTACCTGATACAAAAAATATTTACCTCTTACCAACTTAAATCTTCAACTTTAGTTGTTTCGAAACATAAAGTTGCCGTGTATTTGCATGAGTGACCATGCTTGTTAAATCTTCTTACTGGCTGCTTTCTGGCGTCTTTTTCTCATCACGTCTTCACTTTGTCGCTTTGTGTGTCTCTTTGAATTTCACTCGCAACTTGCGCTCGTGTTCGAACAGACGCAATTCTTTTTTCGACTTTTTTGCCATTTTGGCGAATTTGTTGACGGCTGCAAACGCTTGCAATTCTTTCGAATAGCGTATTTGCAATTTTATTCTATTTGCATCACCATTATTCCTCCTTTTGTCTTCTTACCTTTTTTTTTGCTTTGCGACAGACTCAGTCATGGTGGATGTGCGCAATTTATTAAACTCTTTCAATTTTTTCAATTTCCTGCGGAATACAAATGTATTTAAGCGAAAAAAGACGTGGAGACGTCTAAATCCTGGAAATAATGTGGATAATAATTTTCTTTTCAATTCATCCTATCGATAAATCTTTTTCTTTCATATTTCCAGTTATATTTTTTATCATAACCTATTTTTTCATTCTTTTTGAGGTTATTTATTCACAGAACCACACTTTAGACCTTCTTGTGTGTAAAACCCTTTATTTTAAAGATTCTGATCTTTTTTCTTTCATTTTTATACAAAGAAAGTCATATTCTAACCTATTTCTTCCAAATTTGAGGTTATACCTTGATATAACCACACTTTTAACATTTTTTATGTAAAAATCCCTATTTTACTGATTATTCTTTTTCCTTTTTAATTTATTTTCAACTAGCTTTAACCCTCGGCTTCGTTTGCGAATATCTAAAATAATGAAGTTGCTACCGTACGCGTCTGTAGAAACACAGAAGAAGTAACAATGAAGTAGAATGGCGGGAAGTTTAAAATGGCTGAAAGTATAGTCTATGGAAGTATAGTGTACAGTCTCCATAGTGTAGTCAATTGGATTTGATGTTGACGTAGCTGTCGGTAATACAGTGTGATAATACAGTGTGATGGTACTATAGTACTTAGGTTTGAGCTTCATTGATGGAATGCTAGATGGCGTTAAAGTAGTCAAATAGCCAGATGCAGAGGTATTATTGGCTAAACAATTTCTTTATTTTATTTAAAAAATAATTTTTTTATAAAATAAAAAGTAGCCTATAACTATTCGGGGACCACTAAGAATATGTGTACCAATTTTCATAATGATCGGTTAAGTAGTTTTTGCGTGAAAGTGTAACAAACATCAGGACATGCGCATTTATAATATTAGTTGGGATAATCATGCATATCATAACCTATTTTCTTCGTTTTTTGAGGTTATATCCTCACATAACCACACTTTTGACATTCTCTCATATTAAAACCCTCAATTTTAATGATTTCTAACCTCCCTTTTAATCTTTTTCAAAAATATGTCATAATATAACCTAATCTTTCAATTTTTAAGGTTATAATGTTACATAACCGCATTTTGTACATTTCTCCGTGTAAAACTCTCCTTTTTAATGATTCTGATCCTTCCACCATCTGGTAAAGTACAATAATCCCTAGGTTTCTTCCCAAATCGATCAATTTCTTCAATATCAGCTCCCAAATTAACCAGGGCCGTCGCCAAAGGCCGACAAAACTTCTGATATGCAAAATGCAACGGTGTACGAAAATCCCTATTAGCTTTCACCGCCAATTTTTTAAGGTTAAGTTTCAACAGTGTATAAAACACATCCATCTTGATTTGTGCATCCAGATTAGCTGCAGCTAGAATATGCAGGATATTATCACCAAAATTAGTTTGTTTATAATAATCTAATTTATCCAGATCAATAATTTGTTGCTCTTTAGGTAAATCTTGAGTTTCCTGCGGATTTTTTGATTTTACTTGAGCATTTTCAATGAGAATATCCAAAATCTCTAAATATCCATTTTGAATAGCCAGATGTAACGCTGTATAACCATCAACATCTTGTTTGTTTATATCTACGTGTTTCTTTATTATTAATTTAACAATTTTTGGATGATTACCTTCTACAGCCCAGTGTAAAGCTGTTCTTTGTTCATTATCCACCATATTAATACTTAAATCATCGATTAAAGCTTTTGTTACTTTAATGTCACCCATCTGTATGCTTTTGAATAGCACACAAACATAACCTTCATATTTACTGTCATTTTTATCAAAATTCTTAGCTCCTGATGCAATTAACACTAAAGCAATATCTGTATTCCCTGAAATGATAGCTGTTTCAAGTGGACTTAACCTCCAAATATTCCTCTCGTTGATATCCACTCCTTTTTGTATGAAAAACATAACCAAACCTTTGTGGCCATTCCGCGCGGCATGATGCATGACATTCTCGCCGATTTTATCTTTATAACTTAAATTGCACTGGTGATTGTATAACAGTTGTACCATTTTGATATTTCCTGATAAAGTGGCGTAGTATAATGCAGAGTGGCCATATTTGTTAAGGAGGTTAACTTCGGCGCCATGTTTGATTAATTCTTGAGTTGTTTCGAGGTTTTTGTGGATTACTGATAGGTGTAGTGGGGTTTTACCTTCGTTGTTTCTTGTGTTGATGTCTATGACTTTTACTAGGCGAGATATCAAGTTGGATGTTATATCTGATAATGGTTCACGTGCTAAAATATGCAGCATGGTGTTTTGGTGTGCGTCGGTGTCGGTGAAGTTGTAGTATGTTGGATGGTTGAGGCACATGTTGAGTAGGATCCATTGGTGGTTTTTTGTGTAGGATATTAACACTGATTCTTCACTTTGAGACATTTTTAGTCGTAGTACGAGAATAGTAATTTTGCGAGCAATAATAGAATTGTGTGACAATATTTTGCGTTGGTGATAAGAGATTAATGATAAGAGATAAGAACTGATAAGAGTATTTTAGTATAAATGATCTTGAGTTGGATATTTTTAGAATTTTATGAATAAATTAATTAGGATAAATGAAAAAAAGTAATAATTTGTGGTTTTTTGTGTGTTTGTTTCTCTTTCACGGGTAAACTACTTTAACAATTTTGATAAATTTTGGTATAGAGATAGATTAGGTCATAGAAAAAGACATAGGCTACTTTTTTCCCCGAAAATAAAATGATAAAAGCATAAAAATGAGGTTAAAGTTTGTAAAATGCATAAATTTTAGTTTTATTTCAATAATTCACATCCAGATGGCGTTTGGGTGTACTCAAATGTATCACATTCACATAAAATACAATATATTGTAATCCAACACTAAACACTTCATTATACCTACAATACATACAGTGTGTTTCCACCAAAATCAATTTAATTAATGATAAGAGATAAGAACTGATAAGAGTATTTTAGTATAAATGATCTTGAGTTGGAAATTTTAGAATTTTATGAATATATTAATTAGAATAAATGAAAAAATGAAAATTTGTGGTTTTTGTGTGTTTGTTGCTCTTTCAAGCCTAAATTAACCAAACAATTTTGATAAAATTTGGTATAGAGATAGATTCGGTCATAGAAAAGGACATAGGCTACTTTTTTTCCCGGAAATAAAATGTTAAAAGCATAAAAATGAGGTTAAAGTTTGTAAAATGCATAAATTTTAGTTTTATTTCAATAATTCACATCTAGATGGCGTTTGGATATACTCAAATGTATCACATTCACATAAAATACAAAATATTGTAATCCAACACTAAACACATCATTATAACTCCCATACATACAGTGTGTTTCCACCAAAATCAATTTAAAACCTCAAAAACAAAAATATTCAACTTCTGTTTCATGTAAACTCATATAAACTTGTTGTATATGTAAAATATCATATTCCATGACGTCACTTCCTTTGTGCCCGCCACACCTGAGCTCTTTATGCAAAATATACTCTTCTATTATGTGTTGAATATTATATGACAAACTTTAAAACACTTTATACCACACGACCATCGCCATCATATTTATTTGTGTGTAATCAATAAAACGGTCAGCGTTTTTTCTTGCTTCTGAGAAAACTGCGCAACCACAGATATTAATAATCCTTTGAAGTGCGATGAGTCGTGCACAAATCGGATAAAAGCCGCCCGATCGTACTGCGTCCTTCGTCGCTGCGCACGTTTCGCATTTCGCCTCGCACGAGTGGTGATTGTCTCATTTATACCAGTATCGATAAGAGTGGAGCATTTCGGTAATCGTCGTTTAAAGGTTATATTGTGTGACGTTATAAACTGCGCATGCGTAGAATCAACTTTGGGAAGAAGTAGAATTAAGATTGAGGTTATGATAATGCTGTAAGATTACAATATAGATGAAGGTGGTTATTATCGTAAAGAAAGCGTCGAATAAATGTCTAATGAAGAATGCAAAACGGCTGAAACCTTTTCCCTTGCGATGGCGACGCGGGGATAAAAGTGGTCCAAGCGGTGAGTGAGAAAAATGGGAAAATGCCTTGATTAAAGCTCAGCGCGGAGAGTTTTGCACCCGCATAAAAGCCACCGGTGGCTGGGAGACGCTGAAAGGGGTTTTTAATGGCCGGAAGGTTTGCTTAATTCTCTACACTACCACCGAAACCAGAAAATCGTAAAACTAAATTCACATTTTAAGAAAATTTTAAGGTAAGATTTTAAGTAAAAAAAAGTGATGAATATTAAAATCGGAGTTTTCCACTTTAAATTGTGACACTGTGGAAAATTTTTACAACCTTTCCGGAAGTGTAGTTGTCATGCGGGTGGAAAACTCACTAGACAATGCACAATGCATCAGAAAGAATGTTGCAGTTTAACTACACTGTCACCGAAGTTAAAATGCAAGTTTTCCGGTTTTCCGGTTTTACTGTTTTGTGTCAATCTATCGATTTTGTACATCTACGGATCTTGAAGTGTTTATTCATGATGAAAAGTGGAAAAATTTGAAACCGGAAAACCGGAAGTGTAGTTTATTCACCGGTAAACTCTAACATTCTGAATATACTTTTTAATGACCGAGAATTTTAAATTTCTAACTAAAAAAATAAGAACCTAACCTATTTAACTTCTTAGCGACATGAAAAGCGTCTAATACCCCGAGGCATTCGAGTCACGAAAAAAATGTTGATAGATAAAAACCGGCTGAGAGAAAAGCCCGTGTGGAAAATCCGATTGTGCGTGCACAATAAGAACAATAGGCTTAGAATTCCAAGCATCCAGAGTGAATAAAACGTGAAAATGGCGCGGATTCCATTGAATTAAGATAATAGACAGAAAATGCGAAAGAAAAACGCGCAGATGAAAACATTTTCTTAATGATGGAACTATAAAACTTACGAATTTCCTAATAGCAGATATTATTTTTAGTATTTTTATTGTCTGGAGGAGTAAAAGTCGTTAAAAGCGCACTAATTGAAACTCTCACGCTGATGGTCATAGTTTTCCACAGCCGGAAACACGGAAAACTAATTCCTGGACTAATTACGACTTTAATTAGTTTCATTAGTTTCAAAAACTGAATTAAAACAAGCATAATATCTAAAAACTAGTTTTTTGCTTATAACTTTTTTGTTTTTAAATTTTTTAACTTTTTTAAAGGTTAATATTTTATTTGAGATAATAATTCATCTAAAAAATCAAAAATGATAAAAATCGGTCCAGGCGTTCCCGAGTTATTGCGACACTAACATACTTCTGGTTATCCGCTGATCCCGTTTGTAGCTCGAATAAGCACGCATGTGAACTTTTTGAACTTTATGAACTGAATGCATGCATGGGATGAGAGTGGTGCCTAAATGGGTAATGGTAACGTAAGCCAATATCGATTTTGCATTCCGGCGGCGGCTGCTCCAGGGTGGGTGCAGCCCCCCACCCCACCCCTGAAAGTAATCGAAAGTTATGGGCGTATTATATGTCGACGTGATGCCTATTATGAATATTGAATATACATCGTATATTTTCACGGACTTTTACTGTCACAAAAAAGGATAAATCACGAAATAATTTTTTTTTTTCATTTTTTTTTGAATTTCCACGACGATAAATAACAAATTACAAAAGTTGGGAAATTTAAATCACCACTCAGCTGGAATTCGAAGCCGTTTACGTTTTGCTTACGTTTGATTTATGATTTATTCAACTGCAAACACAAACAGTTTAAATACTTTGATGTATACAATGTGTTTAGGTATATTTAATCACTTATTAAGTATCAAGTGACTAAAAAAGAGTTTTAGTCACGGGTGTTTAATGAGTCAAGGGTTTAATAATGTTTAGCCAAGCGATGCTTACACTATTTTGCGTTTTGTGAAGTTTTTATTTTAAATTTTTGCTGCCTGTGACTAAAACCCGTGACTAAAGTACTTTAGTCATACCCTTGGCCGTTCATATTAAAAACACCAACTTTTTATATCTAAAAGCCATGGAAAATCAAGTGGAAGTTGAAAAAACCTTTAAATACTTAGTTAAATATACAATGTGTTTAGTTTTATTAAGTATCAAGTTGATAAAAGGGTGTTTTAGTCACGGGCGTTTAATCATTCGAGTGTTTAATAACGTTTAGCCACGTGATGCTTACGTTATTTTGGTTTTTTGAAGTTTTGATTTTAAATTTTTGCTTCCCGTGACTAAAACCCGTGACTAAAGTACTTTAGTCATACTTTTGGCCGTCCATATTAAAAATACCAACTTTTTTATGTCTAAAAACCATGGAAAATCAAGTGGAAGTTGAAAAAAACATTAAATACTTAGTTAAATATACAAAGTGTTTAGTTTTATTTAAATTATATGTTTAAATATTTTTGTGTTTCGGTGTGAAATGGTTGAAGCACTGGAAAATTGCGTGCGCTTATAAATTATTCATGCGTTTGTGAGTCATGACGGCATGCGTGTACCTCCACCACCGCCTCCGCCGCCGCCAATAAAACCACCCCTCAAGCAATGACAACGGAAAACGTGCACGAGAGCAGCGGATTCTAGATGAGTGCAGGAGTGAAAGAAAATGGGACGCAATAAATATTTAAACGTCCGGCATGCTACACCACCGGTTAAGGGGGATGAAAAAGTGAAAAATGAAGAATGAGAAATGATAAATACGTGTGGAGATTATATGCTTGACTATATAAATATTATACTGCAAAACGATTTATATTTTATGTTTATTATAAAGTAGTGCATTTCCGGTTTTCCGGTTTGTCACGCTTGTATATTTCTTCATGAATAAACATCAATAGGATTCGTAGATGTACAAAATCGTTAGATTGACACAAAACACTGAAACCGGAAAACCGGAAAACTTGCATTTTAGCTTACTATACTGTAAAACTATTTATATTTTATTTTATTTTATTTTATTATAAATAAAGTAGTACATTTCCGGTTTTCCGGTTTGTCACTTGTGTATATTTCCTCATGAATAAACATCAATAGGATTCGTAGATGTACAAAATCGTTAGATTGACACAAAACACTGAAACCGGAAAACCGGAAAATTTGCATTTTAGCTTCGGTGATGTAAAGTGAAGTAAAACTGCAACATTCTTTTCGACGCATTGTGCATTGTCTAGTGAGTTTTCCACCCGCATGACAACTACCCCTTCGTAAGGGTTGTGAAAATTTTCCACCGTGTCACTCTATGGAAATGGGAAACTCCGGTTAGCTGTATGATTACGTTTACGTTTCCGTTCCAAACGCATCACTTTGTTTCCTCATCGATTTTTTTACTTTTCACGTTTAAAACTGAAAAACAAAAAAAATTATAAAAATCAATTAATTTTTTTAATTAAGTTTATTATCAACACAATTTTGACGTGAAAAATCTTGAGATAATCTGCGAATTAATTCGGATTTTCTGGTGTGGATGAAGCAAGGATGAAAATTAATACAAATCTGAAAACTGAAAGTCCAAGTGCGTGCTTGAAACCAGCAAACTGAACATTTCGAGGGAAATGCGAGGGAATGATTTTCTTCTTTCGGGGGCGAATGAAAATGAAATATGTATACGGCGATATTTCATTTCGAATGACGCGCAGCGCGCACCGGTGAAAATGTTAATTTTTCGTTTTAATTGCCTTCGCGCTGAACGCAAATCCGATTTATTAACTCTAGTTGTACGGCCTCCGGGGGGCACTAAGTCGGTCACGATTGTATACATGAATGACTAATCAAATAAATAATCAAATGTGGATTTATTTTGCAAAATGGTTTAGTTTTTTGCAGTTTAAGAATATAAATAGAATAAAAAATAGAAAAAAAAAAGAATTTTTTTTAGGAAAAAAACTGATTTTTTTTAGGAAAAAACTGAATTTTTGGGAGAAAAAAAAAAGGAAAAAAAGAAAATTTAAAGAAGGGATGTTTATTTTTATTTCAAAATGGCCGATATTTTTTATTTTACGTTTGAAATTTGAAGTTTTTCTGATTTTTTACGAAAAAAATGATTTTTTGCAAAAAAAAATGGTAAATAAATTGAAAATTAAGAAAAATGTGATAAATTTTTGCAAAATGTTTTCAAATTTTGAAATTCACGTATGATTAAAGATAAAATGTCCCAAAACCTTCAATTTTTTTTTAAATTTTCAAAATTAATTCCAAAAATCAATTTTTTACCAAAAAAATAAATTACAACAATAAAAATTGCCTAAAGAAAAGGTAATCCCTTCATCCGGCTTTAGTGCTTTCACTCTCCTCGCACCGGAAAGACCATATTTAAAGGTATGAGCCGCCCTTAGATGTAGGTCGTAAGACCCTCACAACTTACCGCCCTTTACTGCATCTGTTCCTCTTCTCTCTTCTCTCCTTTCTCCTCTCTACTCAAGAAAACCAAGAAACGCAAGAAAATCATGCGAAAGCACTAAATCTCCCAGGTTACAACTACAGTCCTAATATACGAGTAGAAAAGGACGAAATACAGAAGGACAAATCCCAAATGTCAATATGAGCACGCGCTAGGTCCAAACTTCAATTTTGGAGTACGTGTACGAGTATCTTGCAAGTCTGCTTCTGCCGGCTCCAAGGGGTGCGTTTAAAGTTAAACCGACCGATGAGGTCGGGATATACTTGAAGGCAAACCGGAACTGGACATGAATCCAAACGGATTCGATTTGCGAAGTGAGTGATGTCGGGTTTTGAGGTTTATATGCACTGCGAACGCGGTGAACCCTGCACCGGGCGGGTCAAAGGCGATTTCAAGCCTTCGGGTTTCAATTGGAGCAGATCTTAAATACACAGAGGGAAAAATAATCAATATGTGTTTATTTTTCACTGTCACGTGAAAGTTATGAGAGTAAAATGATGTGGAAAGCAGAAAAACACTTTTTGAAATTTTTGAAAAAAATATTTTGAGTTTTTTAGGTTAGGTGCAGAAAATAGGTTATGTTTAGTCATAAAATTAAAAATTTAGGGAAAAAAATTGGAAAATAATAAAAACTTTTATAAAGTTTTTTATAATTTTGATTTTTTTTGAGGGAAAAGTGGAAAAAAATCGAAATTTTTCGAAAAAAACTGAGTTTTTGCAAAAATTTTGAGGTTAATTTCTACAAAATGTCCCCAAATTTAAAGTTTTCTACTTGGAAGTCTTAAATAAACATAGAAAAATCTGTATATCTTTATTTTCCACTGCTACGCAGAAATTCCGAGCGTTAAAAGATGTGAAAAGAAAGAAAAGAAAGAAAAGAAAGAAAACATTATTATTTCTTGTTTTGTTGACGGTACAAGACGTTGTTAGTGTATTTTGGGAAATGGGGATGATTTCGGTAAGATGACACTGTATTATTTTCTCTGCTTTCGACACTTTCTCAGAAATATTTCATTATTTTTAGGTTATATGACCTAAAACACATTTTTTTAGGTTAAAACACAAAATATCAGATTTTTTTCCCAAATTCAACAAATTTTCATCAAAATTTATACAAAATATTATATAATACATAGTGTAGTCAATTGGATTTGATGTTGACGTAGCTGTCGGTAATACAGTGTGATGGTACTATAGTACTTAGGTTTGAGCTTCATTGCTGGAATGCTAGATGGCGTTAAAGTAGTCAAATAGCCAGATGCAGAGGTATTATTGGCTAAACTATTTCTTTATTTTATTTAAAAAATAATTTTTTTTATTAAATAAAAAGTAGCCTATAACCATTCGCGGACCACTAAGAATATGTGTACAAATTTTCATGATGATCGGTTAAGTAGTTTTTGCGTGAATGTGTAACAAACATCAGGACTTTCGCATTTATAATATTAGTAGGAATTACGTGTTAAATTTAATATAAACCCTTTAAATATATTACTTGTGAACAATTGCATTCCGCACTACACGCGACTTGTATCCGTGTTTCCGGTTCCTACATTTCTCCATTTCCCGTCCTGTTCCGTTCCAGTTTAGGTCCCAACCAGGCTTTAGTCAACGAAATTCTGCCACATTAGAATATCTCAACGTCGAGCTTAAAGCTCTCAAGCTCGCATACACCTTAGTTTAATTTAATTACTGCCAAAGTTTGCACAGATTCGAATTAATTCCAAAATTTCACCAAACAAAACTTACAACAAGACAAAAATGAAATCGAAAACTTAAACGTAGCGAAATAAAACTTTCCGTAACAGGTTTACGCAATTTATTTCGATGTTTTCACGTAAGTTTTCCACGTATTGGATTTTTCCCGTCTGCGCCGCTACATAATTCATGCTTTTCGTGCGAAAAAAGTTGCCGCTCTAACAATGTTGTGTTACGCCCGCTAGACACACACTCAACTTGTTTATTCTGCTTCACATATCAAGACAATTGTTTATTTATAACATTTCACATCGAAATAAACATGATTTTAACGTATTTTATTAAATTTTTAATAAAATATTATATTTTGTGTGTATGTTGGGTTGCAGGCCGTGCGACAGAAACGTCAAGGACGTCGAATTGATTTCAACACGACTGCGACGCGTCGAGCAGCTGTGCAAGCTGCCCAACTCTGTAATCCAGCAGCTCGCCCTTTGTGGATACTACGAAGACCTCGAGAAGGGTGTAACACGTAAGTAGGACATATTTTTCTCTCCCCTTCGGCCGGCAAAATACAAAAAGCAGCGCGGTAATGTGATTTATGTTACGCAAAGTGACAGAAAACATAAAACTAGCACCATCTATCAGGGAATTATTAAACTACTCGAGTCGTGTATTGAATAAGTACGTGATTCAATTTCTTCCGGGAAGAGAGGTTAGGTGTACTCGAGTTAATAACACAATTTTCATGTTTTCCGCGTTGCGGGCTATGTCAGAGTCTAAGATTGGATGCTCGAGAGTTTTTTATCGAATCCTGGAGTATTCCGGGTTTTAAATATCGACATAATCCTGCTGATAAAACGCGTCATCGGCAGGAGAGTGCTCTAAGAGGTCCCAGGATAAGATGAAATTTAATCAATGTTGTGAGAGGAAAAAACTCACAGATTTATATATCTGTAAAATATATATAATATAAAAAAACTTCCGGTTTTCCGGTTTTGGATTTTTGGGTGTAAATGCCACAAAAACGACATTGACGTATTTTTGCATTTTTATTTTTTTAAGTAAACATATATGGTAAAATAACTTCCGGTTTTCCGGTTTTGGGTTTTTTGGTGTAAATGCAATAAAAACGACATTTAGGAGTTTTCCACTTTTATTTTTACTAAATATATATATTATTTCCGGTTTTCCGGTTTCCGGTTTTCTATGTGTAAATGTCACAAAGACGTCGTTCAGGTGTTTGCCACTGCATCGTATTCCATTTCATCTCGGTTTCATTCACTAAGTGAACCAGAATTGTCTCGGGAGCTCCGCCTACTTTATGGGCGGAGCTTAAATTCAAAGAGGCGCGGATATCTCGTCTTCCAGTGACGCTAGAAACTTGATAATAACTGCAACAGCTTGTGATGCTGATGATGATTACGATGTAGAATGTGGAAGCAGATTAATTCTACATCTTGGATTATTATGCGCAGTCATGCTCTGTGCGAGCTGGGCTTAGAATATCTTATGTAAAACTTAACTAATCTTCGTATCAAAAACTCAATTCATAACTAGATTAACTTTCGAAGCGGTCATAAATCATTCCCGAGTAGATTTATTAAAATGTGGAGGATTACGAAATGATTTAGTGCCTTTGTAGCAACAGTTGGCACTTATTCGTACAAGTTCTTATTTGTGTCTCCTCTGGGAGAGGAGATGTGAAGTGAGGTTATGAATGAATGTGAGGTTATGATAGTGGTGTGGTTCGGTGGAGATTTCTCAATTATGTGAACTTTCCCTGGCGATTTGTCGGCGGCAGATAGCGAGGCTTAAGGTTTTCGGGTTTATCTTGACGGAGGCGGCTGTGGGGGTGGTCTGTGGAGCTCCGGGGTAATTTATCGCGGAGATGCTTTGCGTAAGGGAGACTTATGGAGTGGATTAAGGAGTTTTGGCGTGAAAAGTGGTTTCTGGTTGATTAATACACAGTTTTGAGGTTATGTGTAATAATTTAATAAATATTGCACTTTTTATGTGTTTTTTGTGTTGTGTGTGTTTTTATTGTGATAGTGGTGATTATTTACCATCCGTAGTTGGTGGCGTAGCCCAAAGATGGGGAAGAGTAGGAGACATGGGCGACTGGAGCAGCAATGGCGGCCTTGGCGATGACAGGGGCGGCAGCATAGTGAGCTACTGGAGCGGCATGAGCGTAAGTAGCGACTGGAGCAGCATGAGCATAGGTGGCGACTGGGGCGGCAATGGCGGCCTTAGCAATAACTGGAGCAGCAGCATAGTGAGCGACTGGAGCAGCATAAGCTACAGGGGCGGCAATGCTCTTGGTGACAGTGGAGTGAGAGTAGGAGGTGGCTGGGGCGTGAGCATAGGCGGCAACTGGTGCAGCATGGGCGTAACCAGCAGAGTAGGTGGCAACTGGAGCGGCATGGGCGTAGGTAGCGTATGCTGGGGCGGCAATGGTCTTAGCCACAACTGGAGTATGGATGGCACTGGAGTGGGCGTAACTCACAGCTGGGGCGGCACTGTAGGCAACAGCTGGGGCAGCATGGGCGTAAGCCAAAGGTGCGGCATGGGCGTAACCAGCGGAGTAAGCCAATGGGGCGGCGATGTTGCCAGCCCGGGCGACGGCCAAAGCGGCGCAAAGGACGATGAGCTACACACAATCAAACAACAATTAATATCAACCACGCACACTTACTCTCCACACACATCGTATTTTATTCATGCTTACCTTGAATGCCATTTTGATTTTATGGATTTGTATATTTTACTTTGAGATTCAAAGAGAATATGCTCCTGGTGCACTGACGCGGTGTATTTATACTCGCACATAACCCCACCTCAACGCTCCAGCGGATAACTTTCAAAGTCAAATCGCAAAATACGTACAACATCGAAAAAAAAATCATTCGCAAATCGTGCATCATAAAAACTTACATCACACCAAATATTCTACTCAACTTAATACAGCACACATGTGTGATAATAAATTTGCGCCTAATAAAAACCTAATTTACGAGCAAACATCCACACGCATGTAAATTGGGTTGCCTACACACACTCATCATCTCCTCCGCGGTCACCGAATGTGAGCAAAATCGAAACCAAAGCGGGAAGCAAAAGGTAAAGTCAAAGGCAAACATTCATCGTGTCACTCGTGTGTATGCCCAACGAATGAGGACATAAGTGTACGCGTAGAAAACACGTTATTAACCAAACACACACACACACATCAATACACCAACACACAAATTATATCTAGTCGCATGCGAACCGCAAAACCGACGACATCCGAGTTGAGTCGCCGAGTGGGTGCAATGCTGCAGCCGCCCCCCGAGTGCGCCGAAACCGCCCCGGCGGAACGTAAACACATAGTAAAACCGAAAATGTAATTAACGTATGCTACACACACACACACCACCGAACACATAAATTACACGTACGTGTGCTTAAACTAGCATTTAGGGCGTGCGAAGGCGTGCGCTGGGGTTGGTTAAGGGCGAGAGAGCATAAAATGTCACTTTATGTACGGCACCGAGAGGTAAATTTAATAGTTCACGACAGGATCGCATTTATTCATCGTTTTCTTATTTTTAATTTTGATTTATAATGATTAAACTTGCAAGCGTGCTTTTCACCTCTCTACAAAGTTGCAAGTTACAGAAATCGATAATACCTGTAGCTCTGGGTCTAAACACGACTACAAGCTTTACCTAGTAATATGCTGCAACCCAATATACACATATAACCTTAAATTCTCTATTTTCATCATTATAACCATTATAACCTTACAATATTTAATTATACATTGATTTATCGAGGCAACATCTAAATTTACAACCGAAAATAACAATTTGCACAAAATTTAATTGAAAGATTTTTCTTGCTTTTAGGAGCTTTTCCGAAGCTTTCCAGAGCTTTTCTAGGCTTTAGACATAATGACAATGTGTTAAAGGTCACAATATATTTGTTTTTCTATTTTTTCTATTTGTTTTCTTTTTAAAATGAGTTTAAGTAACTTGCGCATGCGCAGTACATAAATGGGCGTGGCTCCCATTGACTTAACTTGTTATATCATCGTTATTGAAGGAATCAAAAAGAGAAAATTAAATTGAAAGATTTTTCTGTTTTTAGAAGCTTTTCCCGAGTTTTCCGGAGCTTTTCCGAAGCTTTCCCGAGGTTTTCTAGGTTTTAGACATAATGACAATGTGCTAAAGGTTACAATATATTTGTTTTCCTTTTTTTCTATTTGTTTTCTTATTAAAATGAATTTAAGTAACTTGCGCATGCGCAGTACATAAATGGGCGTGGCTCTCATTGACTTAACTTGTTATATCATCGTTATTGAAGGAATCAAAAGCAGAAAATTAAATTGAAAGATTTTTCTTGCTTTTAGAAGCTTTTCCAGAGCTCTGGGTCTAAACATGACTACAAGCTATACGTAGTAATATGCTGCAACCCAATATACACATATAACCTTAAATTCTCTATTTTCATCATTATAACCATTATAACCTCAAAATATTTAATTATACATTGATTTATCGAGGTAACATCTAAATTTACAACCGAAAATAACAATTTGCATAAAATTAACTGTAATTGTTTATAATTATCTATGGGAAAATGTTTATAATGTGCATAAGTGGTTGTACTTGTGCTAATTTAAAGTGTGAGTTGGTTCCTCCTTTGTTTCTAACCTTAAACCTGCGTTAAAGACATTGAAATTGTTTTCTAAACGAAATAATTGCAAATCATCAAATCACAAGCATAATCGATTGGATTGTAATAATATTTAAAGGTCACACTCGAAATTATTGTTTATCGATGTTTATAATCTTCGAATCGTGATGGTTTCATTTATTTATGATTTATTTGGATGCAATTCGATTAGGTTGTCATTTATCATAATTACAGAGTTCTGTAATTTGAATTTGAGAAGCGCTCTGTAAATGACTGAAATGTCACATGTCAATTTAATTAACTGCACTAATTATCAAAGTTTAAAGTTGTTCATTCAATGAAAATCGAATAAAATTGTTTTTTTTTTTAATAAAATTTAAATAAATAAATTATTCACCAACGAGATGAATTCTTGCGTAAATTTTTGATTTGACTTAAGTTAAGTCACATGCAGACCTGTGACTTGTGACAAATCGATAAAAATCAAACAATAAATTACACAACTCTTACCAAATAATATTCTATGTCAATCTGGTTTATAAACAAAATCAATTTTGACATATTTACGTCATTTTACACTAAAAAACACGCAAAATGCCTTCTGGCCCTTCGTTGAGCTCCTCCTCTGTTGCTTCGCAATTAGGGCGGGACCAAACATCGAAAATGTCCAAGCACCAATTAGAAGCCTTCATTCGACGCATGCGCAGTGAAAAAAATAGTCTGGAAGAGGAGAAAATCACTCTGCAAATGGAGCGAGAGGAATTGCAAGCGAATTGCACTGTAACCCAACAGGAATTAGACGAAGTGCGTGATAAGATCAGAGATAAGGAGCACGAGTTGCGTGACAAACAGGAGCGGCACGTGCAGGATGTGCAATTCTATCAACAACAGGTTGAGTTTTATGAAAAGGACTCCCAACAACATCTCGAGTATAAAAATGCAATTAATTTATTAAATATTAAATAAATGCTGATTTACGATGGGAAAATATCACTGACATTAACAAATTTTTAGATTTATAAATAAAAAATAGGTGTGGTTGAAAAACGTGTTTGAATAATGAATGAAATCGATAGAAATGTTAGATGCAAATTTCGTATTGTGTAAAACAAGTGAGCGACGAGTGGGCGATGCCCCGAACCTACTTAAAATACAATGTTACTTAAGTTAAGTCAAGTTAAGTCAAGTGACTTAAGTTAAGTAATATACCTATAATAATTTTAAAATGACATAGTTTATTTTATAAAGTGATAAGAGTGTAGAGAGTTGAGAATAGTGTGATAGCAGGCTTTTAGTGTTTTTTGTGGAGAAAATTGAATTCAAAGCTTTTAGCAGCTTTTCAGGGCTTTGGTGAAGCTTTCGGGAGATTTTCTAGGGTTTAGACATAATGACAATGTGCTAAAGGTCACAATATATTTTATACTTGATTTTTATGTGATTAAAATAAGGTTAAGTAAGTTGCGCATGCGCAGTACATAAATGGGCGTGGTTCCCAATGACTTAACTTGTTATATCATCATTATTTAAAGAAATAAGAATAGAAAATTGAATTGAAAGATTTTTTCTGGTTTTAGAAGCTTTTCCAGAGTTTTCCGGAGCTTTTCCGAAGCTTTTCCGAGTTTTTCTAGGTTTTAGACATAATGACAATGCGCTAAAGGTCACAATATATTTGTTTTCCTATTTTTTCTATTTGTTTTCTCATTATAATGAGTTTAGGTAAGTTGCGCATGCGCAGTACATAAATGGGCGTGGTTCCCATTGACTTAACTTGTTATATCATCGTTATTGTTGGAATCAAAAGGAAAAATTAAAATTGAAAAATTTTTCTGCTTTTAGGAGCTATTCCAGAATTTTCCGGAGCTTTTCCGAAGCTTTTCCGACTTTTTCTAGGCTTTAGACATAATGACAATATACTAAAGGTCAAAATATATATTTTTCTATTTTTTTCTACTTATTTTCTATTAAAATGAGTTTAAGTAACTTGCGCATGCGTATAAAGTGAATAGGCGTGGCTCCCATTCAATTAACTCATTATAACATCATTATTTATCGGCATAAAAATTTAATTCTTGTTTAATTGCATTTTTTAGTGCGTTACAGTTTAAATACGAAATTAATCTACTTTGTGAGTTGTGCAAAACTCTCTCAGTTCCAAGTGGAGCTCCAAGCGCGCATAATAATTACGGCATAATTCGAACGTCCTTGACCTTAAAAAAACAAACACGTATTCTGTCTTCGGCGGCTTCGGCATCGACAGTGTCTGGCGCGACTAAAAAATGTCTTTCACTTTTTTACGTCTTCGCTTACATCTTCGCTCTGGTTTCGTTTTCGTTGTGTTCTCGCACTCACCGACAACACAAAGACCGCAATAACAACTTGAACGTTATAATTTATATTTGTGATTATGAAGCAGTTAATTCTTGTAATGACACAATTTTCCATTGAACTCATTGAAATTATATTAATTTTATTTATTTGTAAGAAGAAAAAAATGAAAGAAAAAATGAGTAAATGTTTGTAGTAAATTTGCTAAATTATATTTGGCGGTGTCGATTGATGAAATTTTGGGAGCGTCGTGAGATATTTATCAATATATCATTCCGTGGCTCATACTTTAGTTAATCAAAAAAGTTACAAGCAATTTCATCATTAATTCAGATGAAATAAAGCTCGCAGGTGACAAAAAGCAAAAAATCATTTATCAAATAAAAAAAAATTAAATAAATTAAAAAAAATATATAAAAATACAAAATATTAGTTTAATTATAGATTTTTAGTGATGCAACTAATATCTGCAACTTTAGTTTTTGTCCCCTCCAGCCTTTATTTTACTTAAGAACTTTAAATTATTACAAATTTTGTTTTTCTGCAATTTTCTGTTATTAAATATGAGTTTATTGATATTATGATGCAACTAATATTTGCAACTTTAGTTTTTGTCCCCTGCAGCCTTAATTTTGTAAATAATTGCAAAGTAATACAAACTTTTTTTTCGGTGCAAATTTCTGTGAATCTACGTTGTAGTAAAATAATTTACATAAATTATATTGAAACAATTTTACGAGTTTAAGTCGACTTAAAAGTTACAAAAGTTATGGTATCCGACTTAAGCTAATTAATAATCTGCGTGATGTGATGGCAAGGTCGTCGCTGGAGATATTTATTCGACAGCTGCATTTCTGCCATAATTCACAGATTACGAGTAAGTCTACTACGTGATCAATAATATTATACTTTAAATTGGTGTAAAATTTCGCAAAAAAATTGCTTTCGGCAAAAATCAATCAAAATAATCGAAATAATCAAAATAATTATTTAAAAGTCATTCAGAACAGGAAATTGTTTATTAAAATCACATGATTTGATAATATTTAACGTTATTATAAATATTTTACCTTCAATTATTATATTTGGACCTTTAAATTATCATATTGTTTAAATAATAGTGTTTTCATCTTTGGTGATTTAATATTTCATAACTTTGTGGCTGATTATTTATTACTGTATTCTTTTGTTGTGTTATTTACGATTAAAATGAGTTTAAGTAAGTTGCGCATGCGCCGTACATAAATGGGCGTGGCTCCCATTCATTAAACTCGATATATCATCATTATTTAAAGGAATAAAACTTTTATTTTTGTTAAATTGCATTTTTTAGTGCGTTGCAATTTAATTAGAAAAAAAATCTACTTTTAGATTTAATTTAAAAAACTTTTGCATCAAAAATCAAAAATGCAATCAAAATAATCAAAATAATTTCAAATAAAAAATACAAATCAGGAAATTATTATTTATTAGTTAATTTTAAACATTTCAACAAATATATTACCTTCAATCACCATATTTGGTCCCCTATATTACCATATTATTTAAACAATGTTGTTTTCATCTTGTGATTTAATATTTCACAACATTCTGCCCGAATATTTATTACTATGTTCTTTCTATTACGTTATATTCGATTTTTCATTACGTAACTTGAACCTAACCTCACATAACCTAAAAAAATAAAATTTAAACACAAAATATCTCCGATCTACAATACCGCATGCATTGCATTCTCATATTATTGTTTGTAATTAACGATGAAACTGTTTGCATTGTTTGGGCGAACGCGTTTTAATTAAAGCACAATCGAGTTAAATATCGAGCGAAGAATATCCTTGAATAAAATTAAAGTCTCGGCAATTACCAACAAACAAGAATGAAGTTAATTAACAAACATATTTTAATTTTAACAAAATATGCTTGAAAATTTTATATTTTATTTTGTATTTTGTTTTAAATTTAATAATTTATATCCGTATTAGGAAATATTGGCAAAAAGTTTAAATTTAATTATGTTCGGGGAATTTACTCGTGGTAATGAATTGATTTACGTGAATATTTCGAGGACATTTTAACATTTTCACTTTTTATAATTTAGGTAATTATTATCGATTGGGTACGACCCTCGCGTATCGCGTAATATTCGCCGAAGAGAATTCGATGCTAATGTATTGACTAATTTAATTACTTACGCAGAATTAAATTTGATCGAAATTTATTTTTGAAACAGATCCGTATTTATTTTTATTTTTATTTTATATTTAAAACTTTTAATAATATTTTTGTTCTTTAAGTACTTTAGTCACGGGTTTTAGTCACGGATTTTAGTCACGGACTTTAGTCACGGTGTGGAGTGTGCGCTTGCGCATTTGCCTACGGTGCATTACCAGATCATATGAAATGTCATCACGTGACTAAACGTTATTATGCACTCGATTGATTAAACACTCGTGACTAAAACTCTTTTTAGCCACTTGATACTTAATATACTATTTTATTTTATTTCTAATTATGTTGATGGTTATTATCGATTTGGTAATATAATAAAATGTTGTGAAGAATGTTTTGACAGGTGGCAATAAATAATAAATAATAAATTGTTATTAATGATAAATGAATATCGATATACAATAAATTAACCTAGTTTTTCCACGATATGTCAAATCAAAGTGTGGTGCTAATAAACGACCGCAATTGGAATCTAATTATTTATTATTTAATATTTTTGATATTTTAACGTTTGAAATGTCATCAGAAGACCCTGACGAATTCGCCGAGTAAAAGTGGAAGTGGAAGTGTTGAGTTTTTAATTTTTTAGAACTGGTTATTGACTTTGCTTACAAACTCTCTCATATTGCCCCACCTATATAATAAAACTGAGTATAAATACACCGCGTCAGTGCACCAGGAGCATATTCTCTTTGAATCTCAAAGTAAAATATACAAATCCATAAAATCAAAATGGCATTCAAGGTAAGCATGAATAAAATACGATATGTGTGGAGAGTAAGTGTGTGTGATTGGTATTAATTGTTGTTTGATTGTGTGTAGCTCATCGTCCTTTGCGCCGCTTTGGCCGTCGCCCAGGCTGGCAACATCGCCGCCCCATTGGCTTACTCCGCTGGTTACGCCCATGCCGCACCTTTGGCTTACGCCCATGCTGCCCCAGCTGTTGCCTACAGTGCCGCCCCAGCTGTGAGCTACGCCCACTCCAGTGCCATCCATACCCCAGTTGTGGCTAAGACCATTGCCGCCCCAGCATACGCTACCTACGCCCATGCCGCTCCAGTCGCCACCTACTCTGCTGGTTACGCCCATGCTGCACCAGTTGCCGCCTATGCTCACGCCCCAGCCACCTCCTACTCTCACTCCACTGTCACCAAGAGCATTGCCGCCCCTGTAGCTTATGCTGCTCCAGTTGCTCACTATGCTGCTGCTCCAGTCATTGCTAAGGCCGCCATTGCCGCCCCAGTCGCCACCTATGCTCATGCTGCTCCAGTCGCTACTTACGCTCATGCCGCTCCAGTAGCTCACTATGCTGCCGCCCCTGTCATCGCTAAGGCCGCCATTGCTGCTCCAGTCGCCCATGTTTCCTACTCTTCCCCATCTTTGGGCTACGCCACCAACTACGGATGGTAAATGGTCTCACCAAGAACGCTGTTTAAATTTTTAAATGCCATTTAGAAACAAAAAAATGTAAATAAATTAGTAAAACATATTTATTTTATATGTTTCTGTATTTATTCGATACAGAAATTTATAAACTGTAAATATACTTTTATAAAACACAAAAAAATGAATTTTATTAATTTTCCATCACTTAAAACACATATAAGTAACTTGCGCATGCGCAGTACATAAATAGGCGTGGCTCCCATACAAATAAAACTCTTTATCAATTAAAAAACGTTTCTTTTACTTTCCTCAACTATTATCACAAATTATAACTCTTTAACAATGCCCACAATTAATTATATCTCATTATACGTGATTATGAAGGATTATGAGTGATTACGACCGATTACGCCCGGTTACGAGTCATTAAAAGTTGCAAGCACGTGCTTATACAGTTGTTACTTGTTTGTTGTTACTTGCTGACACTGCTATCAACACTAAACTTTGTTAATTAATTAATTACCCATTTAAATAACGTTTTTCTCCTGCTGTAGTGTTTTTCACACCGCGAGATAGTTTTAAAAACATAAAAATTGAAATTTGCAAACTTTCAGAAAAAAGTTAATATATTCCATTAGATTACACGCCACAAGAACTTGACAGGCAATTACCATCATGCGAAAAGTTTGTAATTTATGCTAAACTTAATTTCTAGTTAAAACTTTTAAAGTGATTTTATGATTTTTGCGAAATATTTACTTTAGCTGCTTACTACCGCCATCTATCAAGTTGAAATTGAAGTAAAACAAGAATTTAAATAATAAATATTTATTTTGTTTTGTTTTGCATTTTTGGGCTTTTATAATATATACATTGTGGTAACAAAAATATACAAATAAATATAAGTGATATTATGGTTCAGAATTAATAACTTACGCCATATTTACTGTTTTTTAATTAAATAAAACAGTATGACGTTGTGTGGCTAGTGTTGTGCATAGAGGTTAAGTTCGTTGTTTTCGTTTAATAATGATGAGCGTAGCCAAGAGCTGGCGCGGCGTAAGCACCATGAGAGTAGGCAACTGGAGCAGCATGAGCATACCCAGCGGAGTAAGCGGCGACTGGTGCGATAGTCTTGGCGATAGCTGGCGCTGCGTAGCTAGAGTAAGCAGCGACTGGAGCAGCGTGAGCGTAACCAGCAGAGTAGGCAGCCACTGGAGCATGGGCGTAACCAGAGTAGGCAACTGGAGCAGCGATGGATTTAGTCACAGTGGAATAAGAAGTGACAGCTGGAGCATGCGCATAACCAGCGGAGTAAGCAGCGACTGGAGCGATGGACTTAGCTACGACTGGAGCAGCAGCATAGGTGGCGACTGGAGCAGCATGAGCATAACCAGAGTAGGCAGCAACTGGAGCATGAGAGTAACCAGCAGAGTAGGCAACTGGTGCGGCAGCGTAAGCAGTCTTAGCTACAACTGGAGCAGCGGCGTAGCCGGAATAAGCCACAGGGGCGTGGCCATAACCGGCGTAACCCAAGGGGGCGGCGATACCGGCAGAGTATCCCAAGGAAGCAATGCCTCCAGCGTTGACACAGGCCAAAGCGGCGAAGAAAACAACAAACTAAACAAAAAAAAAAAAAAATTATTTTTTCTCAAAATTAAAATTATTAGAATTAATTACCTTGTAAGCCATTTTATAGTAGTTGTATTACTTGTATTCTGAACCGAATATGCTCTCAATGAAACCACCGCGCGTATTTATACAAAAAATCAAAATGGCCCCACCTTTCTTTCGATCTGATCTGATTCGTATCCAACTTCCAAAATCCTCTCGTCAATGACTCTCGTGAGACATCGTTCTCATTAAAATCGCGTTCAAATCATACACATACATACATACAGTGTGTTTATATAAGGTAACGACATCTACACCCAAGCTACGTAATGTCGAACGCTCGTAAATCACAATTCACAAATCAGACCGAGAAAAAAACTAGTATTACGTAACTCTGAGCTAGTTTCCAGCGTAAAGTTTGCCAAATAATCGCCATCGGCGATAATTTTATAATTTTATTGAAATGTTCCAAGTTATAATCAAGTAATTTAATCTCTAATCAATTTTTTATCTTTTGGATTTATTTTATTGAATATTGTCGATAATTTTAGGTTATAAATTTGTTTTGTAACCAAAATGATGATTACAGGTTTCTGTTTTATTAAAAGTGTGTTTATATGTGGATAGATGGCGTTACTTGTTAAGGAAAGGTTAGAAATGTGTAAAAATGTTTCATTTTAAGCACGAAAATAATACATTTTTATGATTGTGTCTGATTGTGTGATTCTGTTGCGTTTTATTGCTCAATTTGACTTTTATTGTGCGAAGCAGAAGCAGAAGCAACAAGGTGTTTGGTTTAACGATAGCAGCGTTTGCGCAATAACCGCCAGCCGTGCTCTTGCGTCTTAAATTACGCGTCGCAATTGACAAATTGATAGCCAATTATACTCACTGGGGGCACTAATCAAAGTTAGGCAACGTGTTTTATAACAATGTAGTATAAACACATAAAAATAAACACAAATAATGTTAAAAGTTCAAAACGTTTTTATTCAAAAAGTTTTTATTAACATTTGGATTTTATGTTTTTGGTTTCGTTTTCATACGAAAGAAAGTTATAAATGATGTAAATATGTAGTAAGAGTTAATAATATTCAAGGTTAGGCAAGGCCAGTGCATCGATGCATGTCTGGTTGCATATATTACAAGATTATGCAGTGTGCAATCGTTTTATTCGTTTTAAACCGATTATAAAGTGAAAAAAGATAAATTTTAGTGTTAATCAGATGAATAATGAAGTAAAACACTGTATTATTGTTTATTACATCATATCTATATATATAAAAAAAATGAATTGCTGTTCGTTAGTCTCGCTAAAACTCGAGAACGGCTGAACGGATTTATCTTATCTTGGTCTTGAATTATTCGTGGAGGTCTAGGGAAGGTTTAAAAGATGAGAAAAATTCGAATAATTACCGGGAAAATCCTCAAAACAGCTCTTTTCTATAGAATAAAATTTGACATTGAGATTCAATCATAGTTATAGTTAAATAGTTGAATTCGAGATGGCGCGCTGAAGTACATTATTGACAAAACTTTATATAATTAATTTCTTTAAATTAAAATTGCTAATCTTATTGATAGAATTGACTCTTACTACGAGTATGTCTAGAACAAGAGAGTAAAAACGAATTACATTTTTATTAAACACTGCCGGATCGAAGTCGCGGGCAACAGCTAGTAATGTTATAAATATTTTTTATTTTATAAATAGGATATAATATAATGAATTATTATAGTGTTGGAGGCTGTAGATTAAGGTTAGGACACTGAATGAAATTAAAATTAAAGTTAAAATTAAACCTTTCAAGAGTATTATTAGGAACGGATGTTGTTGAGTTTAATAATTATCACATGTATTCTGTTGTGTTGTGTGTTATTATTTATTACATTATGACAAGTATCTGTGGCTGTGGCTGTAGCTGTACAGCGGTAACATTGTTAAATTGTAACTTTTGCTTTCTCTCAAACAAGTTAGTCGTGGACGTAGAGGTAGACTAGAAGTCTGGCTATAACTAAATGTTAATGTTTCTAGTTCAAGTGCAACGGAAACACTTACGAGGTATGATTCGTAATTTTTGAGACCTATTTTTAATTATAACCTAATTTTTGGTCTTTTAAACTTTATAACACGGTGTATTTATGAAAATTTTATAAGTTTTTACTTAAATTTTAATGTTTTTAGTTACACCCTGTATAAATTTAAGAATTTATTCGTTTTTACACAATTTTTAAGTCTTTTTCTTAATTCTAGAGACAAAATGTATGCCATATCCTATTTTTTGTACTTCTAAACATTATATTTTTCAAAATTAATCTCTTTTCACTTTAATTTGATTATTTTGTTATATACCCTGTATAATTTTATGAAATAATTTATTTTTACATTATTTTAAATCATTTTTTTACTTTCCGAAACAAATTTTCGACCATAACTTAATTTGTATGCTTTTTAAGTCTTAAATATGAATATTTTGGTACATACCTCGTATAAATTTATGAGTGTCACCGTTGTTACATAATTTTTAAGCCTCATTCATTCATATTATGCCGTATACCTACTTAATTATAGCTGCCGTAAATGTTTCTTTCATGCGACATTTCATTGCTCATAAACTAGAGTAATTTATACGCGTTATTCGTTAATAAACTTAGGTTAGATTACTTAACTTAGTTTAACTTGACTTAACTTAAGTAATATAAACTTATTAATAAGTCACATGACTTCCAATTTGGTAGTGACTTTGAAATTCTTCGATTTCATTCGTTTCGGTGATAGTTTCTGCATAAATTAGTTGTTAACATTATAAAAATTAAAGTTGATTAGTAGAGGTTATGCAACACATTGAACTTAAACCAGTTAAGTAAAGAATTAATAATGCAGATTTTGATCTGATTTAAATCATTGGTTACATGTGTGAGCTTTTGATCCTTTGATATTTTAATTTTTGTAGTTTTTAGAGTGGGATATTAAGTATAAATAGTTATTTGTGTTGTGTTTGGGGCATATTCACTTGAATAATCAACCAGTACACATCCCAAAACAAAATGGCCGCTAAGGTAGGTTATAAGTGGATATCTGTGTGATTTTATGTTTAATTTTCATTTTTGTTTAGTTTGTTGTTTTCTTCGCCGCTTTGGCCGCTGTCAATGCCGGAGGTATTGCTCCATTGGGATACTCTGCTGGTATTGCCGCCCCCTTGGCTTACTCTGCTGGTCTCCATGCTTCTCCATTAGCTTATGGAGCTGGTTATGCTCATGCTGCTCCATTGGCGTATTCAGCTGGTATCCATGCCCCAATTGCCTCCCCATTGGCCTATGGTGCTGGTTATGCCCATGCCGCCCCTCTGGCTTACTCCGCTCCAATTGCCCACGCTCCAGTTGTTGCTAAGACCATCGCTCCAGCTGTTTCTTCTTATTCGACTGTTACCAAATCGATTGCTAGCCCAGCTTACGGATATGCTGCTCCAGCTATTGCCAAGACCATTGCCGCCCCAGTAGCTGCTTATTCTGCTGGTTATGCCCATGCTTCTCCATTGGCGTATTCAGCTGGCATCCACGCTCCAATTGCCTCTCCATTAGCTTACGGAGCTGGTTATGCTCATGCTGCTCCAGTTGCCTATTCTGCTGGTCTTCATGCTTCTCCATTGGCTTATGGAGCTGGTCTTGCTTCCCCATTGGCTTACTCTGGTCTCCATGGTGCTTATGCTGCCCCAGCTCTTGGATACGCTCACCATTATTAAGAAGCCTACAAAATTGTTATTTATTTATTATATTTTTATTAATTGTAAACAACATGTATAAATATCTGAAAAAAAAACAACAAAATGCAATAAAAATATAGATTAACCAAAAATATTGATATTTTGTTTATCTAAACACTCAGTATAATAAAAAATTATGTAAATTTTCTATTTTTGAAGTAAAATATGGAAAACTTGCTTCGTTTAAGGTGCAAAGTAATTATTTTATGCACTAATACAAAAATAAACATGTATACTCTTTGTTAACAACAATTAACAACAAATAACAAATGTATTATTAAACTTTTAAAGTGTTTTTTAAACTATTTAATTTTTTGCGAGTTTTTATCAGTTTTGAAGTAATTATTACCTACACTATATCATCTACTCTAATTGTGGCTATAATTATGGGAATTGTTATAAACAATCCAAATTGTTTCAATTGTTTAATAATTACCATTGAGTTACGAAACAAAAACAATTGAAAGTGTTTTAACGGTACCGTTATTGACCTTGCCTCCAATTTTTTATTTAAATTTATTATATAATTATTTGCAGCAGGATACACTGAGTGTTGCAAATTATATTAACAAAAGAAAAACAAAAAATTTGCATTTTATGTTTTTTATTTTAAACTAATGGCATTTTAAACATGTACAAAAATTATATACAGAGTAATACACGAAATAAATTACTATTTAATAATGGAGACCGGAATAAGCCAATGGGGCGGCAATTGGGGCGTGGATACCAGCAGAGTAAGCCAATGGAGCAGCATGGGCATAACCAGCAGAGTAGGCGGCGACTGGAGCATGGATACCAGCAGAATAAGCAGCAATTGGGGCAGCAGCAATGGGGGCGGCAATTGGGGCAGCAATAGCCGAACGAGAGATTTGATGACGGTAAGAGCTGGAGTAAGCTGGGGCAGCGATGGTCTTAGCAACAACTGGGGCGGCAGCATAGGCGGCAACGGGGGCGGCATGAGCATAACCAGCAGAGTAAGCCAATGGAGAAGCAACAGGGGCATGGATACCAGCTGAATACGCCAATGGAGCAGCATGAGCATAACCAGCTCCATAAGCTAATGGAGAAGCATGGAGACCAGCAGAGTAAGCCAAGGGGGCGGCAATACCAGCAGAGTATCCCAATGGAGCAATACCTCCGGCATTGACAGCGGCCAAAGCGGCGAAGAAAACAACAAACTAAACAAAAATCAAAATTAAACATAAAATCACACAGATATCCACTTATAACCTACCTTAGCGGCCATTTTGTTTTTGTTTTTGTGTGTTTACTCTTTGTGAAGTCAACAAAGTGAATATGTTTTGTTCTGTGGTCAACACGAGTATTTATACTAGAACACCACTACCTTCCCTTGGCCGCCAGAAAACAAAATGGCGAAACGTGCGCGCATTACACTTTCTTCATGCCATTAACATTTAAATCTCGATCGAGGCGTTACGAAAATTCGGTAACACACTCACTCAAGTATAATGCAGATAACATTTGCCATAAACGCAATGAATTCGTTTGTTGTCTGGAATATTAAACAAATGACTAATACCCATACATAACAAGTGACAATCGGATAAAAAGCAAAAAACTAGTTTACGTTTTTTATAAATCAATTTTTTCGCTTTTAAAATTACGCAATTTGCGTTAAATTAAATGTCAAACTGTTAAAATACACATGGTTGATATTATTGAATAATTTTATAAATGTTTCATTAGTTATTTTGGTAATGAAATGAATTTTTTAATTAAAATGTTATAATTAAATTCGAAAACAATGAAAATCAATGAAATATTTGCATAATAATTATATAATTAATTTATTTGTTTATGAGTTTTATTATATGCATGGTTAAGAAACTAAATATATTAAATTTGTTCATGGTCAGTGATTGTTTTGTTAATTAATGGCGAATAAAAATAATTAAAGTCAGTTTTTGACAAAAGTATAAAAATTTCAATGATTTTTGCTATATTTTTGTTTATAACTTTGTTAATATTTTCTAAACTAAAAGCGCTAGAATCCAACGAATTGCAGATTATGAAAGATTGGAAAATTCTCTATTAGAAAAGAATATAAAATAATAAAATATCCTAAGTTGAAAGGTCGAAAATTGTGACTAAAGTGCTAAAAATTGAAATTTTTTTAAATTTTGAGGATTTTTTTCATTTGCGAATATCTCGTAAACTAAAAGAGATAATTAAGTTCTGATCGCAGCATCTTCATCTACGGACTATTTTCTATAAGATAGGATAGTTAAAATGGAAATCTGAGAGATGAAATTTTCATTCTTAAGAAAAAATTGCCAAGGGGTGCTTGATACTTTTTTTCGACGATTTTCAAAAATTCATATCTCTTAAACTAAAAGAGATAGCTACCAACGAATTGTTGACTATGAAAGATTGGAAAATTCTCTATCAGATAAAAATATAAAAAATTATATTTCCAATAGCAAAAGGTCGAAAAATGCGATTGAAAGTACTAAAAAGTGACATTTTGCAATTTTTGATGATTTTCTTCAATCGCGAATATCTCGTAAACTAAAAGAGATAGCTACCAACGAATTGTTGATTATGAAAGATTGGAAAATTCTCTATTAGAATAGAATATAAAATAATTAAATAACGTAGGGAAAAAGGTTGAAAAATGTGACTAAATGTGCTAAAAATTGAAATTTTTTGACTTTTTAAATAAGTAATGATTTTTTTTTATTGATTATTTATCAATAACTTTTTTACTAATAATTCTACAATATTCACTGAATAAACAATAAATTTCCATACAGGATGTTGGTGTAAATCACATTCAAAAAATATTTTTCAAATTTTTATTCTTTATAATATTTACAAAACAAAATAAATTAAATCATTTAGTAAACATGGCCATAAGTGGCACCATGGAGACCAGAGTAAGCCAATGGGGCGGCATGGGCATAACCAGCAGAGTAGGCGGCGACTGGGGCAGCATGAGCGTAACCAGCAGAGTAGGCAGCAACTGGAGCATGGATACCAGCAGAGTAGGCAACTGGAGCAGCATGAGCATAACCAGCGGAGTAAGCGGCAACGGGGGCGGCATGAGCGTAAGCAGCAACTGGGGAAGCAATGCTCTTAGTCACAGTCGAGTAAGAGGAAACAGCTGGGGCGATGGTCTTGGCAACAACTGGGGCGGTAGCATAGGCGGCAACGGGGGCGGCATGGGCATAACCAGCGCCATAAGCCAAAGGAGAGGCATGGATACCAGCAGAGTAGGCAACGGGGGCAGCATGAGCATATCCAGCTCCATAGGCTAATGGAGAAGCATGGAGACCAGCGGAGTAAGCCAAGGGGGCGGCAATACCAGCAGAGTATCCCAATGGGGCAATACCTCCAGCGTTGACAGCGGCCAAAGCGGCGAAGAAGACAACGAACTAAAAAAATCAAAAATTTATTAAAAAAACATCAAAAAACATCAAAAAACAAAAAAAAACAATAAAACTTACTTTAGCGGCCATTTTGTTGTGTGGGTTGTATTGCGTTCTGTGATACTCGACAGAATGTACTTTCTGCAACAAGTCTCGATTATTTATACCAATGTCGAAGGATTATCTGGACCCCTTCTATTTTTTCAACTCGCAAGAACCAAAAAAGAAAAAGAAATAGCAACAATTGTTACTACCGGTTGTCTAGCAACAACACTCAAGCATGTAATAAAAAAATAAAAATGGCATTTGGTTGATCTGCACGCAGAAACAAAAAAAACGAGTTATTTTTTCTATCCAGAGAGCAAGAAATAAAAATTAACTTTTAATTTTATTACATTTAGACGTTTTTGGCAAATGCAAACCACATGTTACTACTTGTTACCATTTTTGACAGAAAGTTTAAGGTTAACCATTCATTATCTACTAATAACTCACGATTCTATCACTTGTAATTAGTATAAATCAAAATCACAACTAAAATAACTTAAAATTTAAAATTTACGTGTTTGACGTTTTATTATTTGACATTTTTGACATTTATGACTTTTGACATTTGACATTTGACAAATAGGTTAAAATTTGATCTAATTTCAAACAATTTAGTTCTTTTTTTATTCAACTGCTCGTATTACTTAAAATTGGGTTTCGTAATGTGAGTTAAGTGTCGCGTTTCGAATGTTGATCGAGTTGATTAAATTTAATTGTGTTTCGTTGACACCGCATACAAAATGTCCGCCCCGCCGGCTGTCAGCTGTCATTTTTGTACTGAATTCAATGATTTATCGGATTATCACGCCATTTATACATTCAATATGTTAATATTTGTGCAACAATAACAAAAACGCCCAGCGTCGATTGTTTAAACTGCGTTTTGTTTATTTATTAACAAATCGTATTGTTTTTGAAGGTTTGGAGTGATTTAAGGCAAGTAAACATTCAAAATTAATAAATTTCATTAAACAATTGAGAATAAACAAACAAAATATTATTATACAGGGTGTTAATATTGTTTATATGATTAAAATAGCAAAAATCAATTGTTTAAACATTAAATTGTTTATTTATAATTGTTTATATTTATTTATAAACAAATTTTTATTTATTTATTGCTTTTGAAGGCTTAAACCAAGTAAAAATTAAAAATTAATAAATTTCATTAAACAATTGAGAATAAACAAACAATATTAATATACAGGGTGTTACTATTGTTTATATGATTAAAATAGCAAAAATCAATTGTTTAAACATTAAATTGTTTATTTATAATTATTTATATTTATTTATAAACAAATTTTTATTTATTTATTGTTTTTAAAGGTTTAAACCAAGTAAAAATTAAAAATTAGTAAAATTCATTAAACAATTGACAATAAACATAAACAATATTAATATACAGGGTGTTTTTATTGATTTTATTGTTTATTTTGTTAATAATGTAAACCACTTTTCGATAATTGTGCATTTGATAAACTGTTACAGTTTGCGATTGAGTTTAGTAACAGACGCGCAACACGCCGTGAAACTTGACATTATAAATCACGAATCACGACATCGAGCGAGCGAGTCTTGCATATAAATCAGGTATAAATCACACTTTAACTTACACGCATACAACACACCAAACTACACTCGTAGTGTTACATCAATTATGTAACGAAACGATGGAAATTGCTTTCAAGCTGGTTGTGTATCAATATAATACAAACACTTAACTCTTAGCTTTTACTATTACTATTCAAACTGGTATGTGTGTTATGCGGCAACCCAATTTACACAGTGTATAATTACATGCAATATAGGTATACGAGTATTTTAAGATGGGAAGTATGGAAGTATGGGTTTAAAATGGATGAAAACAAGGTGTAATTATTCATTTTTTGACCTTTTACTGGAAATATGTATCAATAAAATCTGTAATTTTAGTTTTAGATTTGGTAAAAGATAAGAAAGATCAAATTTTAGAGGAATTAAAGGTTTTCATAAATTAAAATTGAGTTATTTGTGGTATTTTGATATACAGAGGTAGAAAAATAAATATTTAAGTTAATATGGATGAAATTTAAAGTAATATACAGGGTGTTCTTTAAAATATCAAAGACATATATTAATTTTATAATTTTTATTTATTCTTTTAAATATCTCTTAACTAAATCAAATTTTTCATGGAAAAAATTAATAATAACGGCCATATCCGTAGCCGAGGGCGGCACCATGAAGACCAGAGTAGGCAGCGACTGGAGCATGAATACCAGCTCCATAAGCCAAAGGAGAAGCAATTGGAGCGTGGATACCAGCAGAGTAAGCTAATGGAGCAGCATGAGCGTAACCAGCAGAGTAAGCGGCGACGGGGGCGGCAATAGCAGTCTTGGCAATCACTGGAGCAGCAGCATAGGCGGCAACTGGAGCAATCGACTTGGTAACAGTAGCATAAGAAGTAGTCACAGCTGGAGCAGCGATGGTCTTAGCAACAACTGGAGCATGAGCAATTGGAGCGGAGTAAGCCAGAGGGGCGGCATGGGCATAACCAGCACCATAGGCCAATGGGGAAGCAATTGGAGCATGGATACCAGCTGAATACGCCAATGGAGCAGCATGAGCATAACCAGCTCCATAAGCTAATGGAGAAGCATGGAGACCAGCTGAGTAAGCCAAGGGGGCGGCAATACCAGCAGAGTATCCCAATGGAGCAATACCTCCGGCATTGACAGCGGCCAAAGCGGCGAAGAAAACAACAAACTAAACAAAACACAAATTAAACATAAAATTACATAAATATCCACTCATAACCTACCTTAGCGGCCATTTTGTTTTGGGATGTGTACTTGGTGATTATTCAAGTGAATATGCCCCAAACACAGCACAAATAACTATTTATATCAAACAAATAAACCCCTACCAGTAATATAAAACAAGTGAAACCATAAATTGCATAATTTTATTTAAAACAAGAGCAGAAGCAGAAATGGCGACAGATCGATTGCGATAAAAATAAAAATCGAGCAAGCTTTGATGCTTTGACATTTATACTACGAGTAATAAAGCGTACAAACGCGGCTAACAGAGTTACACAAGTCGAAAATTTACATGAAAACTTGTTTTCCACCAATGTACTGCTCAAATCAAAGAAAACAGCAACATGGCCGACCTGTCAAACGTCAACTGTCAATTTTCTAACCTAATTTTTTAATGCAATTGAAACTATTCATTTGTCACTCAAAGCGTGGTATTTTTTAACATTTAGGTCATTGCAAATTATTTTTTGCAGCGAATTTGTTTATTAGTGGTCTAAATATTTATAAATATTTGAATAAACCACTTTTAAACCGCAGAAATTTAATTTTAGTTTGATTCAATCTTGGTTTTTACAATCAATGAATCAAAATGGTTTATGCATTCAGTTTAAACTTGATTTTTTAATTAATGCACAACAGATGTTAATAATAAATAATAAAAAGTAATAAAAATAATAAAAAATGAGTAGTATTATAATTTACGTTAGAATTTACAAGACATTGGCATTGATTTTATCGATTACAACCATATTCATTCAAAACATTGAAACATTCACATTCACTTGTTCTTTATTAATAACAATAATAACAATAATGCTTTGGTTTATACTCATATTGGATCAATGTCAATCTATTTTATTATTATTATTATTTTATGTTTTAATGAGTAAATGAACAAATTCAATGTCAATTGTTAATTTATTCTTGTGCTATGTATTTAGTATAATATAGGCAACCAATTATACATTTTAATACGTAATAGGAAGAAAATGATTTAAATGAGGTTATGTAACATGCAATTTGTATGATATTTGTAATGAAAATCAAGTTTGACATAGTTACGTCTTGAATTTAAGTCACTTAACCTAAAAGGCGTGTCTAAAACTCTCAAAATGTGTATCGATATGTCTTGCGAAAAATCTAACATTTAAAAATGTTTATGTTAATCCAAAGTAAACTGGTTGTTTGTTTAAATTTATGCAAACGAGACAAATGTTTCACTTTACTTAACTTTACTATACTTAACTTAAGTGCAGTGGAAGGAGTTTTTAGTTAAGTATAAATAGTTATTTGTGTTGTGTTTGGGGCATATTCACTTGAATAATCACCAAGTACACATCCCAAAACAAAATGGCCGCTAAGGTAGGTTATAAGTGAATATCTGTGTGATTTTATGTTTAATTTTTATTTTTGTTTAGTTTGTTGTTTTCTTCGCCGCTTTGGCCGCTGTCAATGCCGGAGGTATTGCTCCATTGGGATACTCTGCTGGTATTGCCGCCCCCTTGGCTTACTCAGCTGGTCTCCATGCTTCTCCATTAGCTTATGGAGCTGGTTATGCTCATGCTGCTCCATTGGCGTATTCAGCTGGTATCCATGCCCCAATTGCCTCCCCATTGGCCTATGGTGCTGGTTATGCCCATGCCGCCCCTCTGGCTTACTCCGCCCCAATTGCCCATGCTCCAGTTGTTGCTAAGACCATCGCTGCTCCAGCTGTGACTACTTCTTATGCTACTGTTACCAAGTCGATTGCTCCAGTTGCCGCCTATGCTGCTGCTCCAGTGATTGCCAAGACTGCTATTGCCGCCCCCGTCGCCGCCTACTCTGCTGGTTATGCCCATGCTGCTCCATTAGCTTACTCTGCTGGTATCCACGCTCCAATTGCTTCTCCATTGGCTTATGGAGCAGGTATCCATGCTTCTCCTTTGGCTTATGGAGCTGGTATCCATGCTCCAGTCGCCGCCTACTCTGGTCTTCATGGTGCCGCCCTCGGCTACGGATATGGCCGTTACTATTAATTTTTCCATGAAAAATTTGATTTAGTATAAGGATATTTAAAAACAAATAAAAATTACAAAATTTATATACGTCTTTAATTTTTTGTGTAAAAACAAAAATATTTTAAGAACACTCTGTATATTATTACAAATTACATAAAACAAAGCAGAAATATTATACAAACACGTTTCAATGAAGAAATTTGTTTTATATTACTTATATTCTTCGATATTTGATTAAACAAATGTTTTGACCACGCCCCACGCCTATTAAAACGCATGCGCGTAAAGTTCAAGTTCAATTATTACCTCACACAAGTTATAAACGATCGCATAATACCTCACGCACTCAACGCAGCTCTTGACATTAATAAAACACGCATTTACAACATATGCTACAATTACATAACCTCAAACCTTAAAATAAAAATAAAAATTAAAAAAAAAAACTTAAAATTTGTTTATAACATTTTTATTTTACACATTTATACATAATACATATAATACTGATTATCATGAATACAATCCTTAAAAATGATATTTAGATGCGTAACCATAAGAAGGATATCCATAACTTCCATAACCCAATCCATAACTCTTACTAATAATCGGCGTAGACACATGAGCAGAATACAGAGATGGCGCTGCATACGCATGAACAGCCGGAGCGTATGTTTTATGAATCACCGGAGTAGAAACAATGGTTTTGTGTACAACCGGAGCAGCGACGACAGTTTTGGTTATAATCGGTGCGGCAACATGATGCGCATGAGTAGAATACACACTAGGGGCGTGGTAATGCGACAAACCAGCTGAGTAGTGGGAGAGTGGGGTGCTATAAGCCAGTGGCGCAGCAGAAATTGTTTTGGAGATAATCGGCGATGAATATGAAGACAAATGCGCATGCGCACCACTATAAAGTCCAGCTGAGTAAGCCAGAGGCGTGGCATACGAATGGGCGTAACCTAAGTTACCATAACCTCCATATCCAAGGGAACTGTAGCCCAGGGAGTTGTATCCGCCAAGGTAACCAGCATTTACAGCTGATACCAAAGCAATAAACACAAAAATCTAAAAATAATTATAAATAAATAATTTATTATTAATAATAATTAATTTTGTTACCTTAAAAGCCATTTTTGAGGTTATGTTGTTTGTTGGAGAGTATTCAGTGTGTGACTGATGATTCCTCATAGTTTCTGCGTCCTTTTATACAGAATTTCATCGATGGAGCTTTGGAGAGCAAAAACAAGATCTTGATAAAGTTGCAAAATATCCATATCTTTGGTTCTTGCGTTGTTGCGTTGCGTTAATTACGCCGAGACATTGAAATAGCATGTGATCGACGAAGCGCAACGACTTTGCTCTGCTTGCATTACCAAACATTAAAATTAAAGGTTTTCTCAGTGTTTAATTGAAATTGTTGGGTTAAATAACGATAAATGCTGCGTCACGTTGAACATATGTTAAACTTGAAATCGTCGCATGATGTTGATTGAATTTGGCAATAATTAACTGGTTTATTTTTGGGCCGCGCAATAAAATCTGTTGCGATTAATTAAAAGTGATGAAGAAATGTATAAATTATTAAAAATAGTTTAATGGTGTCTAGAAGGTATCAAAATAGGTTAACAGTTACAGAAATCTGTAAAAATAGGTTAAAAATTATAGGAAACTGTAAATTTTTTTAAATATTGGTTAAAAAATTACAGGAAACTGTAAAATTTGTTAAAATTTGGTTAAAAATTACAGGAAACTGTAAAATTATGTAAAAAATTACAGAAAACTGTAAAATTTATCATTTTTACAGGAAATATTAACATAACCTAATATAAAACTGTCAAAATATATGAAAATACAAAAAATAAATAGATTTCTATATAAATTGACAGCAATACAAACGAAAATAGCGAAATTCTTATCATAATAGCATTCAATTTTAAATTTAAACGCTGCAACAGGTTATCATTGGTTTCAAACTCAACTGCACTCGTACTGTCATCCGCACACACACCCATCACATGTAGATAAACACCCTACGAATGAATAATGGAATAATCGTGCGCGGGGGCGCGTCGGCCGGCCGGAAAACTGGGCGGAAATGCGGAAATAAGCAAATTGCATTTCGAATATGCATTGCGACCGCATTTCTCATTTCATATTTTCCACATTTCACATTTCACATTCATACATAAATATTTCTCATTTTCTCATATTAAATTCTATTTTTATTTAAATATCATAAATACACACTGTATATTTTTAGATATTTTATTTTATTTGCGGAATATTCAGGTGTATGTTGGTTAAATGTGAAATTTCTGGCTGTTTCTGTGTGTTTGTAAACGTTGAGTGCTTTCAGCGGTCACTCGACCGCCCCACAACCGCCCCCATTGACCACAATCATTCGCAACGATTAAGAGCGCAAATTTTCAGCCAACACAAATTACACCCAACGTGAACCATGCTTCACACCGAACCACAAATGACGCTCGCGTTTCACAAACGCCACACACGTTACAATAACGTGTACGTTTGGTTGCGTACGTTAGCTGCTTTACGAAATATATATATTTATGTCACGTATCTCAATTTCTCTTCGACTCTGAGCTGCTATTTTTATTATTTCTCTTTATTTGTTTCCACGTATCCGTTTTATTGCGTGTTGTGTGTGTGTCAACGAAAAAAGCGGATGAAAAATGTCGCCGGCGCAATTGAAAAGCTTGAAAAGCGACGGGAGGAAAAAAACATCGACGATACGAAATAAATACACATGCGGAGAGCACATGTGATAAACTAGAGTATAAAGGGCTGGAAAAAGGGATGAAAAATGTCACAAAAACGCTACGGATTACCATAACTCGTGTGTGATGCACACACGAGTGTAAAATCCGGCGGCCAAATCATAGCGAATCACCTGGGATGGGTTTTTGGTGTGTGAATAAAAGTCATCATAAATTTGTTTCACAATTTTTTTTAATGTCAAAATTTATATTTTGGACATGTTGTATGTTTGTTTGTGATTTTTATGTTGTGTTTGTACAGGTTTTATAATTCTTTGATCTTTAATTGAAGATTTTTGCAACGTAAACGAAGTTTTAATTAAAGAAACAGTAAAATGTCATTAATTATTAGTTTGTTTGTTGATATTAAATGATATTTGAATGGTATTAAAATTGTCAAAAGACTTTAATAATAATAAAATCTGTTTGTAGTAATTAAAACTGGTGTAAATACTGATAAGGGAATTATGAATATATAAAAAAATGGTTTTGTGTGGTCTAAAAGTCATAAAACCAGGTTAAAAATTACAGGAAACTGTAAAATGCGATTAAAAATTACAGAAAACTGTAAAAATCGATTAAAAATTACAGAAAACTGTAAAAATACTTAAAAATCATCATAAATTAGGTTTTACAGATTTTTTGATTATAAAAATCCAATATTTTGAACATACTGTATATTTTATGTATATTTTACTTTGTTTACATAAATTTTTATAATTCTTTGATCTTTAATTGAGATTTTTGTCAAGTAAAACGATTTTTTACTTAAAAAACACTAAAATGTCATTAATTATTATTTGTTTGTTAATAATTAGTAGTATAAGCTAAAGTGAGGTTATTTCTTGATCATTTCGGCTTTGGTAGCTACCGTAAATTGCAAATTACCTAGTTTTAAGCTCGAAACCCTTGTCTGTTTCACGTTTTCGTTTACGTTTGCTCTCAACCGCACTTAAAACTCAAGCAAATGGATTTTAATTATTCATTCCACTTGTATCCCTTGAATTTCATGTACATAGCTACATTTGAATTAATATGTTTTAATTAATATTTTGGGACGTATAGTACATATTTTGGAAATTAGAAATTTTTTTAAGTTTTTTAATTTTTCAATAAGAAAATGTGTGGCCCATTAGCTCAGTTGGTTAGAGCGTCGTGCTAATAACGCGAAGGTCGCGGGTTCGATCCCCTCATGGGCCAAGTACATTTTTAGTTAAATTTCTATTTTATTTAAAGACTAGCTTTAACCCATGGCTTCGCTCGCGAATATCTAAAATAATGAAGTTGCTTCCGTACGCGTCTGTAGTCACAGAAGAAGTAACAATGAAGTAGAATGGCGGGAAGTTTAAAATGGCTGAAAGTATAGTCTATGGAAGTATAGTGTACAGTCTCCATAGTGTAGTCAATTGGATTTGATGTTGACGTAGCTGTCGGTAATACAGTGTGATAATACAGTGTGATGGTACTATAGTACTTAGGTTTGAGCTTCATTGCTGGAATGCTAGATGGCGTTAAAGTAGTCAAATAGCCAGATGCAGAGGTATTATTTGCTAAACAATTACTTTATTTTATTTAAAAAATAATTTTTTTATTAAATAAAAAGTAGCCTATAACCATTCGGGGACCACTAAGAATATGTGTACAAATTTTCATGATGATCGGTTAAGTAGTTTTTGCGTGAAAGTGTAACAAACATCAGGACTTTCGCATTTATAATATTAGTAGGGATAATTCGACAAAAATGATAAATAATGAAAATTTGAATTTTTAATTTTTTTTCTTACTTTAGTTGCTCGTAATTAAGTTTCTAATAGAAAATTATAATTTGCTATCGTTTGCAGTGATTGCAAACAAAATAGCGACGCACAAATGCTCAATTTGTAATTACGCCGAGTTTGTTTGACATTGACGATCGCACAAAGCCCGCGACGCGGACAAAATGCCGCACAAAAGCACAAAGAATCATTCTGAGAATTCACTGAGACTCAAAAGGCGACAAAATATTCAAAACATTCAGAAACTCGAATAGAAATAGACTCCGAGCTTCAAAGCGAAGGTTTTCTTTAGTTTAATCAACACAATCTTGATTTTTATCAACACAAGACGAAGAATAAAGAAAAACAAGAAATAAAAGTTAAAAGTAAAATTGACAAAGTTTCCACACAAGATACAAACTTTTACTCTACATAAACTGTTACTTATGTAAATATAAATCAAAAGTTTCTTATTTACAGATGAGAATTGAACATTACGCTAATCTTATTTAATTTAACTTAGAATAAATTTAGATTTGCTTATTTATTACTTGTAATTTTTTATGTTGTGCGCATCTGGCCCATTAGCTCAGTTGGTTAGAGCGTCGTGCTAATAACGCGAAGGTCGCGGGTTCGATCCCCTCATGGGCCACAAATTTTTACCGAAAAAATTAATTATTTGTTCACATTGATTTTTGCCAGCCTCTCCGGAATTAATTTGATCGAGTGAGTTGATTTCACACCGAACAAAAGCGTAATAAAGCCTGTAGGGCCGAGAATAAGCCTTCATTAGTGTCGTTTCTTCAGGCAGTCGGGCAGTCGGGCGCAAACCCGTCGGGAACTAAATACGCGTGCACGTGCTACGTTAAATCAATCAAAATAACTTAATTAGACATGTATACTCACATACAGGGTGTTAAAAATACACAAAACCTAAAATAAACACAAAATATTTAATTTTTTATTAAAAAACATAAAAATTAGTTAAATTTTAAGATAAAATTATGTTTTTAGTTTAAAAATGTGTTATAACACGGACATATTGTATATTAAATGGTTTAAAACAGTCTTTTAGATGCTTTTGTATCCAATTTTGTTTTGTTTGCGTTGCAGAAGTGAAAGAAGCAAGGAAAAAGGGAGAAAAACGTGACAAATGTTTTTAATTTTGAGCTGCGACATTGCCCCCGTTATTTTCTTCTCTTCTTGGTGATTCTTGTGAATCGTGCTTGCCGATCGCCATTAATTGCTGACTGTTTCTATTTTTATTTCAATTTGTTGTTTGTTTCTTACATAGACTACTCCTATTACATTTTATGTGATTATTTGGTTGCCTACCATACTTATGAAGTCAAAAAACAAAAATTAAAAAATAGCTTTTTTATCAAAATTTATGATCAGAAAGGATAAATATAAATATATTTGACCTAAATTCTCTTAATGATCACCTTGAGCGCAATAAAAACCAAAATTTAACTGCAATTAACAAGAATAACAACACTTTGTGCTACGTAATTAACGCGTTTTAATTTTACGCGTCGCCATCTTCCTTTTTTCCCCGCTTGTGATTTTTTACTTTTACTTTTCGGCTGTGTGAATCCAGCTTCCGGTTTCCTACTTCCTTCCGGCGTCGCGCTTTTAATTAAAGCCTAGCGAAAAGTGAAATGCGCGTCAGGCCGGAAAATTAACCTTTAAACTTTCTTTTTTTTATTTCGTTTAACGAAAAGTAAACTTTTGAGAATTTTTCGAAAGAAAAACAAAATTAATATGTTTTACCCACGAGGTAATGGCGCAGATAAACAAAATAATTGAAATAAATAAGTTTTTATCAATAAATAACTGTGAAAATACTTAAAAATGCGAATAATGTATTTCAATGGAAGAAAACACTCGAAAACAATTGAATATCGAGTTGTGTGCTTGAATTCAAGAGTATTGACTCTGTAAACGTCATGTCAAACATCAATTTCGCACCCAGAGACGAGAAAAACCAATTAATTCTAAATTAAATGGCCGCCTCCATCACACCACAACCATTTCGTGTTCAAATCGTTGAAATGAACAAACAAGTGATGAGTGATAGGCTTTAAAAGTCCATACATAGATGGTGCAAGTGAAAAATTACATTTTTAATAATTTTGAGGTTAAAACAATATTTTATAACATTATTTCCGCGTTACTGGAAAAACCGAATGAAATACGATTAAAAAATAAATATTAAAGGATGAGTGTGACTGTCACAAGTCTAATATTAGCTTTAAAAACACATACATAGGTGGCGCAAGTGAAAATTGTAATTTTTTAATATTTTTTGAGGTTAAAATAATATTTTATAACCGTATTTCCTCGTGACCGAGGGAAAATTGTGAAATGCGATTAAAAAATATGTATCGATCACATCAAATCGAATTTCGAGCGCAAATATTTGCTCGCAGGCGTGAGAATTGAACGAAATTGAACGCTAGAATCCAACGAATTGTACATTATGAAAGATTGGAAAATTTTCTATTAGACTAGAATATAAAATAATTAAAAGACTATTTTGATGAATTTTTGAAACACCCGGTGGATATTTGGCTGTATCTCGAGATCAGATGGTACGATAGTTTTATCCTCTCTGTATAGTTGCGATGCAGTTTATTACTGATGTGAAACATTATATTATATTTTATTTTAGTGCACATCAAAAATGTTTCGATTTCAATTCTGCGCGATTATCGGGGTTTGTGTATAAACAAGTTTTTATATCGCGATAAACGCGCACAATATTGCATTTACGCTACGAACGTTCGACCGCTTCAGTCTGTTCTTACCTGCACGCGGCTCGGCATCTTCCTTTTATTTATTTCGATTATATTAACTACATTACAATTTATTAATTAAAAATATCGGCACTTAATAACAATAGACGTGTATAGTGTTTTGCGAAAGATGAGTTTCGGGTAAAATGATAATAAAACTTGTGCTTTATCTATGTGTTGGTGGTCCGCGGGCTATTGGATTATTTTGATGGTGAGAATTAGAATTAGAAATATGTATACTTTGGATAGTTTTGAGTAAGTGTAGTTAACGTCTGTCATTGGCAGGATGTCGCTGGAATATTGTCGGTTAAAATAGTGTAGTCAAATATTGACGATGTTTTTCAATCGCGAATATCTCGTAAACTAAAAGAGATAATTAAGATCTGATCGCAGCGTCTTTATCTACGTATTATTTTCTATAAGATAGAGTAGTTAAAACATAAATCTGAGAGATGAATTTTTCATTCTTAAGAAAAAATCGCCGGGTGCTTGATACTTTTTTCGACGATTTTTGAAAATTCATATCTCTTAAACTAAAAGAGATAGCTACCAACGAATTGTTGATTATGAAAGATTGGAAAATTCTCTATCAGAAAAAAATATAAAATAATTATATTTCCAACAGCAAAAGGTCGAAAAATGCGATTGAAAGTACTAAAAAGTGACATTTTGCAATTTTTGATGATTTTTTTCAATCGCAAATATCTCGTAAACTAAAAGAGATAATTAAGATCTGATCGCAGCATCTTAATCTACGGACTATTTTCTATAAGATAGGATAGTTAAAACGGAAATCTAAGAGATAAAATTTTCACTCTTAAGAAAAAAATTGCCAAGGGGGGGTGCTTGATACTTTTTTCGACGATTTTCAAAAATTCATATCTCTTAAACTAAAAGAGATAGCTACCAACGAATTATTGATTATGAAAGATTGGAAAATTCTCTATCAGATTTGAATATAAAATAATTAAATATCATTGGGTAAAAGGGCAAAAAATGTAACTAAAAGTGCTAAAAACTGAACTTTTTCAAATTTTGACGATTTGCTTCAATTGCGAATATCTCGGAAACTAAGCTTGATAATTTTTTCGACGTTTTTTTATAGTGATAACAATAGCTGTGAAGTGTAAACAAACTAAAACAAACATGGCTGAAACATAAACCGGTGAAAATCAAACGTGAAGTTGAAATAAACGAACAATAAATTCAATAGAAACAAACTACGAGTATGGGAATAACTGATAACACTATGATTTGTTTTTTCATTTGTTTTATTCCTCGCATGTTTAGAAACGTGTTTTATCTACTAATAAAAAATTGAATTGAATTGGAAATTTTGTTTTCGTCCAGTTTCGTTGAAATCGATTTTCTGTTTCAATTCGTGTATAGTTGGTTGCGTTCATGTTTTCAATTTTACGTGATTCTACTCGTACTGCAGTGATTTTAATAGCAATGTCCGCAGTGTTCACATCGACCACAAATACGATTACAATAATTAATCCGCGGTGCGGTTTACGAAATTCGGCGCTCGCATCGATTGCAGCTGTCACGCGAAGCTGAGCGATGTGTTGCGCCGGAAGCGCGTGGCGTATATAACCGGATATCTAATGCATTTACGCGGCGTGTTCAATTAAACATTCAAATAATGATGAATTTATTTGTTTCTGTTGCAGTTTTTCGTCAGGGCGACACCGGAAAATGTTGGTATGCTGTCATGAGTGGAATATTGGATGTGCGGATTGTTCAACAAGACTCTGAACCAAAGGTAATTAGGAATTAATTAATAAACAAAGGGAAAAAGTTGGGAAAAGTGAATTGTAGACTGTAGGCAACCTAATAAACATGTAGCGCGTGTATAAAATTAAATTATCTTGAGACGTGGTTAAAATTTGGAGTTTTGAAGTGAATTTACGTGAAAATTATGCAAATTTGTTTACTTATGCAAATGTTTTAATTCATTTATGAGGTAGGCAACCAAGTAGACAGGATTTTCATGCTTTGGCACTTGGGATTCATTATAATAAATCAATTCTTAACTTAAAAAACAAGTAATCCCTACTAATATTATAAATGCGAATGTCCTGATGTTTGTTACACTTTCACGCAAAAACTACTTAACCGATCATCATGAAAATTTGTACACATATTCTTAGTGGTCCCCGAATGGTTATAGGCTACTTTTTATTTAATAAAAAAATTATTTTTTAAATAAAATAAAGAAATAGTTTAGCCAATAATACCTCTGCATCTGGCTATTTGACTACTTTAACGCCATCTAGCATTCCAGCAATGAAGCTCAAACCTAAGTACTATAGTACCATCACACTGTATTATCACACTGTATTACCGACAGCTACGTCAACATCAAATCCAATTGACTACACTATGGAGACTGTACACTATACTTCCATAGACTATACTTTCAGCCATTTTAAACTTCCCGCCATTCTACTTCATTGTTACTTCTTCTGTGACTTCAGACGCGTACGGAAGCAACTTCAGTGATTTCTAATATTTATTTGATGGATTCAACGCGAGCGAAGCCGTGGGATAAAGCTAGTTAATAATAAAAACACAAAAAACGCAAAAATACAATTTATTTCATTTGAAGTTGTTTTTTTTACTGTAGGCAACCCAACAAACATGTTTTTAATGTACATTATTAAATTATCTGGAAACGTGGTTAAATTTTAGAGTTTTAAACCAAATTTACGTTAAAATTATGCAAATTTATTTACTTATGTAAATGTTTTTAATTCACTTATAACCTATGCAACCAAAATCACATAATTTCACATTTTGACACTTGTGATTCGAAATTCTCCGAAATTCATTATGACAAAATCAGTCCGTGACTTAAAAAAGAAACTACACCACAAAAACGCTTACTGAACAAAATCCAGGCGCGTTTAGCTCAATTATGGATGCTGTGTAACTCACTCGACGCCGAAAACTTATACAACGTCGAGAATCTACGAAAAAAATCCCAAACACAACCTAAAAGTGAACCTGTCACACAAAACAGTGCTCCTACTCTCAAAACATACAAAACATCAAATAAAACCTCAGCGGAGACAGCATTATCAAGTGCTGCATCTTTAGGCACTTGTACAGTACCTATACAGAGTGATACAAGCACACACACGTGTAATAGTAATTTCTATCTTGGAAAATTTTAAAAAGAAAAAGAAAAAATAAAATGGACGAGGCGATTGTGGCTAACCTACCAAAATGGCGTCTGGTCACCGATGCGATCCGTAAAGTCTTCCGCTTCGTCACCGACCACTTCCTAACCTGGATACAATTATACATGTATTGTCGGCCTTCGATTCAGAATAATTAATATTCAATTCGGTGTGTTATGCAACCAATTATACAATAAAACAATATCTGGCGAGTATTCTCGTGGGGATGATTATACAGTTGAATAATTTAAGGTTTCTAGTGTTGAATTGTGTGCAAAATGGCAGCTGAGAGACATATCCGACAAGACAATCGAGAGCAAAGGTGAAAGGGTTGCATATATATAGAAATAGGACGCGACATTTACATCTAACCTAAATTGCGGCTGAATTCAAGATAACTTCGTGTTATGTACAGTGTGTCCGGTGATTATCGACCACAACTTGTTTGTTCGGGTTTTGCAGTTAATATTTAATGTGAGTGAAGATGAATAGACGTGTAGAACAGACTTGGATGTTTGTTTTGTGGTCTGGGGATGATTTTGATTGTTTTAGTCTGTCTAGGTCAGCGTTTAAGGTCAAGCAAGTTGAAATTCAGTCCAGATATAAATAATTAATCTAAAAATAGTATTAAGATGTGTTTTAAGGTTAGTTTTGCGGTTTTAAAGTAATAAAAATGTTGTTTTACGTTACCAGAGAGTTTAGTTGATATGATAGTCGTAAAATTAGTAATGTATCCCGCGTTTCAGGGATGAAAACGGTCGGTAATGTCGTAATCCTTTTAGGGTGCGCGTTGGGTTGCATACAGTATCAACTCCAATCAACAAAAAACATTTAAACTCATTTTATCTTAAAATTTGTTTTTTAGATTCCTGTAACACTCTGTACGTTAAGTGTGGGTAACACATTCGGTGAGTCGATCCTTCAGGACCTGCCCAGGGACACAACTGTCGTCACACAGACAACTTGTGAGTTACTACGCGTCGAACAACAAGATTTTAAACTCATCTGGGAGGTACGTATGGAAAATACACTCATAACTTAACATAGGCAACCATAAATACACATATTTTAACTTAGGCAACCCAAAACACACAAAACACGCATTTTACTAGCTTAAAATAAATTTTCAGTGGATTAATGCACATAAATACTGCACAAAGTGTAAATATGCAATTATTTGACTAAAATACGGCGTGGGTGACGTGTGATTCGCAACGCGCGACTTAAAATAAACACCAAAACACCGAACATGCTTCAGCGTTACCTGTTCCCGTGCCAATTAGGCTCCCACTTCAATTCCCGTCTCTATTTGAGCTTTTAATAATTGAACGCGTTCCAAACTTTGCTGTGTCGAACTAAACATGACAAAACAAATGCACGCGCGTGCCCACAGTCGTTAATTAACCTAAAAACAATCGAAAATGTTCACATGTTGTGGTGTTCTCTTGCAGAAGAACAAGGATCTTATGAATGAGCTGATAAGTAGCTGCAAATTCAAAAATGGTGAGTTTTTTCACTAAAATAGCCATTAAAACACTTTGTATATGTTACATAGGCAACCAAACATACACAATATGTGTGATTTATTAATCTCGAGGAGTTTATTTGTTTTATTTCGTGTTTCGAGTTTTCGTGTTCATTTGGTTGCCTATATTGTTTGTATGTTTGTTTGTTTAAGCGTCCTACTTAAACACAAGCATTGTTAATAACTGGATATTAATATTAAACGCAATGTTGTACGCGGCGTAGTAATCGTACACGTTTCTGTTTGGTCAAGTGATGTTAATTGCGTGCAAACAATGCTTACGCACGCGCTCGCGCTGCAATTAATACTAATTTAACTAATTTAACAATTTAAACCGAATTGAACGTAATCATTCATGTGCAAACAAACAAAACGAATGAAATACGTCCCGTTCGGCGATATTATATCCTCCAAGCACGAATAACCTAAATATAGAATTAATATAGGCAACCAAACATACGCGCAATTAAATATTGTTGTTTTGCGTGCCACAATTGGTATTTCACTGCCACTGCGCTGCAAAACAAATGATTATATTGACGATTTAGGTCAGAGTACTAATTTCCAGCGCGGTTAAACGTCGACGCGACGATTTTTCGACGTTTTCGGTGCGATAAAATGTAAATGCATGCAAATTCTACACAAAAACCAAACAAAACACGTGAAAAACAAGTGAATTGGATTGAATTACAGTGATTTACGCAGAAAACAATCCAGAATCAATCGGAAAACGATTCGAAAGTGATTAAAACAATACATAACCTCATTTTATAACTTTTGTTAGTGTTTATTGTGTTTGGGTGTGTTTTATTTAATGTTTGCAACATGTTGCGATCCGAGCATGTCGATGATCAGTTGTCGGCTCGGAATCTGTCGGTTTTCATTCGGAAATGGTCAACATCCGCCATCTTGTTGTTACCGTGGTAAATCACAGAGCACTTTCTACGTAGGTTTTGGACCGAGTGTCACTGCGTCTACTAAAATGCAACAACAACCGATTTCGCCGCCTCCAAGGAGGTCTTTATCACCAGATCAACCGAATCCTGCGGAACCAATTACAGACACGCCGAGTATTACCATCTCTAAGATTGGAAAGTCACTAAGAACACTTTTACTAAGTAAATATTAAGTTTTTTAATGTTTTTGGTTATAATTCATGTGGAAAACTTGTTTTTAAGGTGAAAATACCTGTTTAAAAGACAGAAAAGTCTCTGGACGGTTAGTGAGGCGCTGTGCGCCTGGAACGGAGCTCGTTGATTGGTTGCTGGAGCTGTCACCGGGGATTCACACGCGTGCGCAAGCCGCAGGCATGTGGCAAGCGCTTCTAGAAGAAGGAGTGATCGCCCACGGTGAGAATAATAAAAAAAACTTCTTTAAAACAATCAAAAACTGAATATTTTTGTATTTAAGTATCACGTGAGCAACCTTTCAAAGATAAATGCTTCCTGTACCGTTTCTGGGCGGATGAAGAAGGAACGGCACCTGCATTACCGACGCATGAAGACGTCGCTGCTGCCGAAGTGCAATTACAGGAATCTATAGTTACACTTATCAATCGTGGACCAGACGCTGTTCTGCGCATGATTATGCGTAAACCAAGTCATGAAAGAAACCAAGATGACTTGGAAACAATCTACGAGGAGTTATTACACATTCGTGCGCTTGCGCACCTTACTAATTCAGTAAAAAGAGAATTAGCAGCGGTTTTACTCTTTGAAGCACATCCCAAAGCAGGCGGTGTTTGTAAGAACTAATAAAACGCTCTAAAAACAAAGTTTTTAATTAAAATTTTGTTTGTTTAGTGTTTCATCAAGGAGATGAAGGCAGATCCTGGTATATAATCCTTCGTGGATCCGTTGATGTGGTGATTCACGGTAAAGGTACAGTAAATACTCTTCAGGAAGGCGATGATTTTGGTAAACTTGCTTTGATTAACGATGCACCAAGGTACGTAACCTAAAATAACCTAAAAATGTCAAAAAACATAACCTAAGTTAACCTAAATGTATTCCAGAGCAGCGACGATTGTTCTGAGGGAAAACAACTGTCATTTTCTACGCGTAGACAAAGAAAACTTCAATCGTATCCTCCGAGACGTCGAAGCAAACACAGTCAGATTAAAAGAACACGGAAAAGATGTGCTTGTCCTTGAAAAAATCTCCCCACAGCAAAAAACAGCGTTTTCCTACTTTAAATACACCGTAATGGCGGGCACACCGCAAAAAATGCTTGAACATCTGCTTGAGACACGTCTGGATAACCTCGCAGGACAATCCAACACTGCGCAGGATCCTTTCCTCGAGGATTTCCTTCTTACGCATATTGTTTTCATGCCGACGCATCTACTCATCGATGAATTAGACAGAAAATATCCTTTTCATGAATTTTGTGTATAACTGGTTGCATAGCATGTTTTTATATATTTCCTTAATGTAGATGTTTACTTATCATTTAGAATCACCGAATCAGGATCGGGATTTTGTCGTGGCGTGTAAAAAACGCGTCGTACAATTTGTTTACCGCTGGATTGTGATCATACGACATCCGGTGTTTGAGGATGAATCCGCCGTGGAGTTTATCGAGGATTTAGCCGCGGAAGTGGAACAGGATTGTATTCAGTACGCTGAGTTACAAGAGGATTGCTCGATGATCCATTATGTGATGACGCAATTGAGACGGTATCAAGAAGATTTGAAAATGCACGAGCAAAAGTGGAAATTGCCACCGTGCGGACAACCGATTAGTTTGTTCAGTGGTGGGGATGAAGAAAATATACGACAGATGATACATCCACAAGATGATAGTAAGTTTATGCAACATAACCTTGTTTTTTTATGTTTTTAGTAACATAACCTCAATTTTGAACTATTTTTAGTTATTTTTCGTGTGTATTGCGCTGATCACACATTCTGCACACTGCGATTACCGATTGATAGCACAGCGGAGACGATAAAACTCATTGCAGCGGATAAATTGAAGCTGCGCGCGACCCATGAGCTTTGTTTGGTTGATGTGCGCTCGAATGGCGAACGTGTTTTCTTCAAGGACAACGATATCAGCGTGCCGACGGCTTTGACACTCAATGGGAGGATATTTGTGTCTCCTAAAGATCATTTAGATGCTTTGGTAAAAAAATTACATCATTTTATCTAACATAACCTTAAATTTAATAAATTTTTGTTTTAAGACGCCATTAGCTGAACAAGAAGAACCTACACAAGGAATTGACAGTGATATTGAACTCTTCAGCACAAAAGAACTTGCGTATTACATGACTGTGTTCGATTGGGAGTTGTTTTGGTAAGTTATGTCGGTATTATAGATTCCTGTATTAATATTTCACCTCTAGGTGTGTTCACGAGTATGAATTGATCTACAACACCTTTGGTCGTCATCATTTCGGGCAAATCACAGCAAATCTCGACGTTTTCGTGCGTCGCTTCAACGAAATTCAATATTGGGTTGTGACGGAAGTCTTGATGTCGATTTCTCTGAGTAAACGCGTCGCCATCTTGCGGAAATTCATCAAACTCGCCGCATAGTAAGTGCTAGGCAACCATATATACATATTGAGTTGATTTGTGCTGTTTTAGTTGCAGGGAATACCAGAATTTGAACGCATTCTGTGCGATTGTAATGGGTTTGAGTAATGTGGCCGTGTCACGTCTGTCAATGACTTGGGATAAGCTTCCGTCGAAATTCCGCAAGTTATTCACCGAATTCGAGGCGCTCATCGATCCCAGTCGCAACCATCGAGCTTATAGGTTAAGCGTGGGGAAAATGCAACCGCCCGTTGTGCCATTTATTCCACTCCTGCTGAAAGACATGACTTTTACGCATGAAGGCAACAAAACATGTCTGGATGGTTTGGTTAATTTTGAAAAGATGCATATGCTTGCGCAGACAATGCGCACGATACGTTTTTGTCGAAGCCGCCATCTTGGTAAGTGAATTTTATTGTAAACTAGCTTTAACCCTTGGCTTCGCTCGCGAATATCTAAAATAATGAAGTTGCTTCCGTACGCGTCTGTAGTCAGAGAAAAGTAACAATGAAGTAGAATGGCGGGAAGTTTAAAATGGCTGAAAGTATAGTCTATGGAAGTATAGTGTACAGTCTCCATAGTGTAGTCAATTGGATTTGATGTTGACGTAGCTGTCGGTAATACAGTGTGATAATACAGTGTGATGGTACTATAGTACTTAGGTTTGAGCTTCATTGCTGGAATGCTAGATGGCGTTAAAGTAGTCAAATAGCCAGATGCAGAGGTATTATTGGCTAAACTATTTCTTTATTTTATTTAAAAAATATATTTTTTATTAAATAAAAAGTAGCCTATAACCATTCGGGGACCACTAAGAATATGTGTACAAATTTTCATGATGATCGGTTAAGTAGTTTTTGCGTGAAAGTGTAACAAACATCAGGACTTTCGCATTTATAGGCGAAATTAGTAGGGATGTGTAAAAACACACTGTATATGATGGTTTCTAATTGTAATCAAGCTGGAATTTGAATGTGAATGATGCGTTGATTAATTTTCGCAGTGTTGGAGCCGCCGTCGCCGAAAAGCGAGGGCGAGGTGAAGTCGTACATCTCGTGCCTGCGCGCCATCGACAATCAGAAAGTGCTTACGAACATGTCGCAGAAATTAGAACCGCGACGTTCGTAAAACACCAACAAAAAAACCAGTAAAACAGTAAAGGTGAAGTATTTTGGGGGTCCAAACATTAAAACTGCGTCTCAAAATGTCTTAAAATGAACAATCAAATTTGTAACACTAGAAAATTAAACATTTGATCAGAAAAACGTGCAGAATTCAAGGTGATGATGATGTAAAACAAGTATTTTAAGTAATATATAACCTAAAAATCTATAAAACTATAAATATGAGATGAATATTGTTGAAAGCAATAATAACTTTAAAACTTCTTGAAAATTTATCGTAAAATTGAAATCAAAAGGGCAAAAATGTTGAGAAACAAATAATTTGTTATGACAATCAATGCTAGTCTTGTTTAAGTCGTGTGAATCCGTGCAAGAACCATTTAACCCCATGAAATTCTTAGTTTAGAGGCGTTCAAAGTTTATAATCCAACTCTGTCTTTGTCTAGTCTAGCAAAAACAAACATTTTCTGTATATTTAATGTGAAACGTCTTCAAATTTATAATCCTAACCTAACTAGTGAACTAGTTGTAGATAGGCGCCATCTTGCTGAAGATTTAGGTGTAGCATAACCTTTTTATACAATCTCTGTGTATATTATAACAATTTGAATGTTTTGTTGAGATTTTTTCATGTTGCGCTTCCATGTTTTATGTTTTTATGGATTTTTTTTTGTTTGTTTTCAAGAGTATTAACAATTAAATTATTTTATTAGTATAGTATTGTATTGTAAAATAGTTCTCACGTCCGTTTATCACTAAAATCTGTAATTATTCCAGTGATAAAACTTGTAAGGTGACACTCCAAAACAAAATATGAATATGTGAGACTTTTAACACAGGAAAAACACGATGAGGTGAAAGTATGAGGTGCGTATGATATGTAAAATGATATGAAATAGGCAGTACATGCTATATATTTGTGAAAAAACGACATAATAATAAATAATAAACATCTAAATACATGATTTAGACTTGTTTATTTACTTTGCAGCTAACTATAGGCAACCTTACTAGCATGTTCAGTGTTCATGTTCCAGCCGTTGCCGGTGCAAGACGTGTTCTGAGTTTTTAATGAAAAAAGTGATAAATAAAGTGTTTTCAACGCTGAAAAAGGGTGCAGGCATACAGGTAAGGGTGTAAGCTATCTAAAACACTATAATACAACCCTTGGTACTTAGTTATTAACGATTTATCGTCAATTTTCTTATTTTTATTTACTGAGTCAGTCTGACCAATAGGAGCACAGCATTGCTGTCTTCCGATGTGTTTACTGTTTTGTTCGTATTCGTTTCGGTTATAAAGTCACTGTAAAAGAAAGTAAACAAACTCAAAGCGTTTATTATCTACCTGGAACATATTCATGGTTTTTGTTTTACAATTTAGTTTAATTTAGACTTGTTGATTTACAGCACACTATAGGCAACCCTATTAACACCTTTTAAGTTGAACTGAAATGCTAACCAAACAACATGGCCGCTCCAACCGTCGCAGATACAAGACGTGTTTCTCGTTTTTAACGAAAAAAGTAATAATTAAAGTGTTTGCGAAGCAAAAAACAGGTGCAGGCATACAGGTAAGGGTGCAGCCTATCGAAATCACTATAATTCCACCCCGATGGTCAGTTATTAACGAATTATCGTCAATTTTCTTATTTTTACTCACAGAATACAAACGACTAACACGAACCAAGCATGACTGTGCATTTCCGTCAAATAGTTCCAGAAAAACGTAAGTAATCAAACTCAAAGCATTTATTATCCACTTAGTATATATTTATTGTGTAACATTTTTTGCGTTTTACAATCCAGCATAATGAGTACTCGTACAATGTAACATGCAATTATATCGCGATTATTTATCTAGTGTTGCACTGACCAGTCACAAAGTTCACTTTGATAACATGAGTCTACTTATTTCATAGAGCTAGGCTAATATTCAGCATGATATTTGCATAATTTTGGCTAAAACAATCATAATTGAAACATAATTCATGACAATAAACTTAAACTCTAATGGAATCATGGGTTTCTCATCTAGTTTCTAAAACATTTACATCAGCACAAGATACAATGGGTTTTTAAAATAATAGGTGGTCAAAATCGGTAATAACAATAATTAAAATTTAAAATATTGTTCTTTGACTAAAGTTCCGTTGTTCCATCCTTCTGCTATTCGAATATCAATTTCGTGGCCATTGAAAACATCAAAATTTAACACCGCGTCTCATACAGACCGCTCTTACCGATGTACCGCACCCATTTGATCACATCATGATCCGAATAGTTGAGTTTCGGCTCGAAGACTTTGAGGTACCTCACTTTGAACCCGGACGGAGCGAAAGGTACCTCGAAGTTCATCGAAATCGGCGGACGCGTCCACTTTTTCTTCGTGTCTGTCTCCAATAATTCAATCTCCGCGGATAATTGCGTCTCTTTCATGCCTGCCAAGCGTTTAATCTTCCAAACAATCGCGTTTTCAGACGCTTTATACTTGGCTTTGCCTTTTAAGCAGATCAATTGTACACCAGAAGTGTTTAATGGCGTCGGGATTTTCACTTCTATCTTCTGACCCAATAAAGAAGGCTTAAAGTTGCTTTTAAGCACAACTTTCACCTCCATCTTGGTCCTTCCCACTTCCCTAACCAAGGGTATAACCCTAAATGGTAGGGAGATATCCTTAGTGGTGCGATAACGCATCAATTCAAACTCCTGATCGGGTGGGATGAAACTAATCGCGTGTTCGGTTTCGAATTTGCTCAGTTTCACACATTGGTGGAACTGGCAATCATCGATAACCACAACAGGTTTACCGGAACGTGTAGCTTCAGTTTCCGCGGGTCCACCAAGTCCTCCTTTACCCTTGGCTTCCATGACGATCTTATCATTGATGCCGAATTTACATTCGGGCATTCCAGAGAGATAGGACTTCATTACGACTTTCCCAGCAACATGAGCAGATAAAACTTGTCCTTGAGGAGACATGAGTAGATTAACATGCTCCAAAACATCAAGGAACAGCTCATTCCTTCTATACTTGATTCCTTCCCTTCTCCAGCCAATTTGTCCAGTAACTTGGGAGGTTATCTGAGCCTGCTCTTCTTTGGTAGCAGATTTGATGCCTTGCTGAGTAATAAACGTTTTCAAAACACCTGTGTCTGAGTTTTGTGGATACCCAAAGTCCAGGATCTCATCCAACAGCTCATAGATCAAGACAAAGTTGCTCTTGATGTTCTCCTCACTGATTTTTCCGAAATAACTTTTGCATTACTTGATGAATTTCAAGAGAAATTCAAAGACCATGGCAGCATTGACATTCTGCTTTGTCACTGCAGCTAGCCAAATGTTAGCTCTCTAAAATAATCATTAAATGGTTAATAATTGTTTATAAATTTAAAATTTGTGCTTACTTTGATGTGAAAGAAGCTGGTGCGAGCAATATTCGTCACTGGCGATCGCACTTGCTGCCTGGCATGGATGACATTCACGCGGAAAGCATCCACTGCGTTTCGGCCGATATCATCGCGATAAACGCGTGATATCAACACCTCGCCCTTGTGGTTGTAGATGAAGAGTCCTCCGATCATCTTGGAGGCTCTACTCTACCTAAAATTCCACAAGAAACATTAATAATCGACCTTAATGCGTGCGCCCGGAATTATTGATTTGTCAATCAATTTAGACTTTAAATTCAAATATTTAAGGTTTTGGAGTGAATTTATATGAATTATTGGGTTTATAAATTAGATAAGGGGTTAAGAAAGAGATACTTACAGTTTTTAGTAAACTGGAGTGATTTCTTCGGTGGTTTCGAGGGCGTTTGGTTTAGTTTACTGCGGACTGTCGCCGACAACGGCGGCCATTTTCCACCCACTTTTACACGTAGATTCATTGGTAGCCCGGGAGATTCTAGCAACTACCGAGTGATTCCGAAAATAAAGGAATTAAATTTTATTTTATTTTAGTAGTAAAATACTAAAATTTAAGGTGAGTAAAACAATATATTTTACTTTAAATATATTGTATTAAAATATTAGTTGTTAAAAGTTGTTAAAATAATTTTTTAACGATTTTTAATTATTTATTTTAAAAATGTGTTTTTAACACTTTGTATAAAGTGTTTAAAAGTTGTGGTACTTTGCCGCTAGGTGTCGCCTTTCATAAAAGTTGTAACCATTTGGAATCAACTTTTCAGTTTAAACACTAGAGGGCGCTAGCAGTATTAAAACTTGCTATTAATTCCAAAAAAACATTCGGTATCCGTCCCGACCGGTCGCACAACTCGCCGCGCCACTCATCACGCTCGACACTCCGCACAGTTGAATTCGGTTCGTGTTCTCGCGCGTATGTTTCGGACAAAACTCCGATAACAAACCTGTTGCGCCGCGTCGAAAGCAACAATGCACAACATGTGATCCTCAACGAAATAAAACCGTGTATTTTGTGTGTTGTTTTGATTGTTTGAATATAACTAAATAGTGGCAATGCGAATACAGCGGACGTGCGATGAAGTGAAACAACGCGCTTTTTATGTGCGTGTGAATGTGCAATAGTGCAGCAATACAACTTTAATCGCTGGAGTTTTAATGTACTATGGATGCGCACGGTGTTTGGGCTTAAGTTGCGGAGGTTAAGTTAGAAGATGGGCTCCTCGTCGTCCAAAGAGGAGCCGCCAATGATGCAGGCGCAGCATCCGTTGTCGGCGGGCGGTGACCATTCTCGGCCGGAGAGCGTGCTCAGCAAGCATCATGCCCGCCAGGCAAGCATTCGCGTCAAGAGCAAACCGATGCCGGATCCATCTGAGCTGGAGAAGCGATTCGGCAAAGTTCTCGTAAGTAATACCTACTTAAACAACTTAAAAACATTAAAAAACACATAAATATCTTACTTATCATACAGTATGTCCCCATTATGAAAATATCAGTGAGTTAGTGAGTAGTTTGTCCAGTTTTGGCTCGTTCGTTAAATATGCAATGTAAACAACTTTTGTTTTCGATGTTGCATTACATGAATCGCATGAATCATGTGCGACTGCGCAACCGTCTCTTCGTGTTCACATGTGTTCATTCATTTGAGGCGCTGGAAAGTAAACTTTTGTGGTTTTATGTGGTGTTTCATGCTCGTTGGTTCCGGGCTTTTAATTTCATCAACAAATCGTCATAGTATAAAGGAAAAATCACGTACATATTCTTTCGTGTTGAATTCGTTTATATTTATTTCTTTATCACTTCGCTTGATAAGGCAGGTCTGTAAAGGCGTGCAATTTGTGTTTGCAATCGTTCGATGCATATTTTGCCGCATGATAAGATTGCGGTTCTTATTAACTTGTTTTTGTTATCGAGGTATTGCGTTGTGGCGCGGTATGAGCGACTAATTATTTACTTGCGATTAGGCAACCACGGTTTTTAGATAATGATTGAAGTCATTGTTTAATTTGGATACTTTTTTATGTGAGTAATATCGATTATGTTTGGTGAATTCTCAGGATATTAGTAACTCCCGGTATTTCTATTTATTTAAAACGTGTTTGTTGCTTTCTGTCAATTGTAATACGTGAGTACGTGAGTTATTTCCGTTGGAATCAAAACCGGGTGCTGTGCATTCTTGTTTGTAACAGTCGCTTTGTGTTTTCGTGGGGTTTGGAAGAAGGGCTGTGGTTATTTTTACTTTCAAACGTCTTAAAATAACTCCCAGAGAATAATTTTTGAGATTTTTTGATTTTAACGTTAAAATAATTTAATATTTTATGGTAAAAAATCTGTAGTAGCATTTTTGATTGTTTTTTAGCCGGTTTGAGGTTATTTTTACTTCCCAACTTCTTAAAATAACTCCCAAAAACAAATTTAACTTTTTTTGCATTTTTTATTGCTAAAATAATAATATTTCACTTCACTAGTATTTTTATTTGTTAAATGTTCATTGAACCACGTTTCATGCGCTTTTATCCACATCAGTTCGTCAGGAAACGTTGGCCCTGTGGAGGGCTCGCCCTTTTTTCTATGTCTACGTACGGTAGTAAATTCCACGCGCGTTTTTTTTTTCAAAGTATTCCCTCAACTAGTTTTAATATACAGTCTGTCCTAATTTCAGTAATTTTCCTCATTAACTTTATTAATTTCATTATATAGTAATAGCTATATCAATTGCTTTGGGACCTGTCGGTGTTAGGATTGATTAGGTTACTTCTCTTGGGCTCTACCTCTTCGGGTGGAGGTGTAGACGACGGGGCGAAGCTCGAAGGTGCGATGCACTCGCCGGCACGTTCCTCCACACGCACACCAAACCAGAAGAAAGCATCGAACACACCTACGATTCTATGAACGTGGGTTGCTCTTGCTGTATACTGGTTGCTGGTTGCTGGTTGTCCTCGACATTGTGCGTTTCGTATCGCATTGCTATCGTATCAGAAATATGCATGGCATACGTAATATACAATGTGTTCGAATATTTAATTTTCTTTTATTTTGATTCCCCGTTTGCTGCTTCTGGTTATTGTTTCGGTTTGTGGTGAAATTTAATAATTTCATGTTATCCCTCCGCTTGGTTTTGTTTTTATTGCGAGCCCCACCCTGTCTAGACGATTCCGCGGCTTTGCGTGCCCTCGCATGTGCCTCCGGAGCTTGTTCACTCCTCGACTCTTCTTCGTTTTGCTTCTCTTTATGAATCGGACCGTATGCATGACCATGCGTGAAACGCGATGCCCATTTCATCCATGGCTATGAAATACACCTACCATGCCAGCCATGAGATTAAGGAATTTCAAAGAATTCAATTCCAACGGTTCATTCATATTATAACAACGAACACATTGTATACGCACTTCAAGGGGACAATTTGTGAACAGATGTTCGATGTGCGGTATTCAATTGGGTGCAAATTTAGGGTATTTGGAATTTCCGTGTTTTGGTCAATAAATTAAGGGTGGAACCGCAAATATTTGCACACAATGCATATTTCATGTTGAAAAATTGATAACGTAGCAGACAGACAATTTACATACGCGCGCACAAACATTTCGCTGATTGGAAAATAACTCGACTATAGCATTAATACCCATTGAAAATATAACGTCCACACAATAATAATTGAACATTCCCGAAGTTATTGGCCATCCTGTCACACGCTGGTTTAAACTCGAGACGTATAAATTAAGTTTATGTTTTTCTCGGCGTCGCTGTCATTCGATAATAATTTATTGGTGGCATCTTAAGTATACACGAGATTCTCCCATTGTCATTATTTTTATTATTATTATTTTTATGAATTTGTTGTTTGTCATGTGGTCAACCAACCACATAATATAAATATAGTCAGGTAAGTCTTTATTTAACAATTTTCTAGGTAATTCGAAATAAATTTTCAATTAAATTTCTTTTTAAATTATTGCTAATATACCGCGATTTTCTGTGGAATAGAAAGTTTAATTTTAATTTTATTTTCATTAACTTTTAATTTTATGTCATTTTCAATTCGACGCGGGTGTATTCATGGTTAATCGTTGATTCCATCGCGCACATTTCCGGTTTGTATTCTGTACTCACTCGAATTTAGTTCCTCTTTACTCTTTCGGTGCTTTGTAGTTAAAGGTAAAATGGAGTTCGTGTTTAGCGTGCTTAATTCCACCTTTCAACCGTCACCGCCACATCCGCAAATGAATATGACTCGGAAATATCATACTTATCAACATTTACGCATAAAACTATAAATATTATTAACACAACATGTGCTAAGGTCACTTCCTATTTGATAATTGTTTTATTTTGACCTAAAAACATTTGCTTTATTATTTATTTAATTAAATTAGTTTGATATGTTATGATTCAGTTAGGTACATAGGAAATACTCACCGAGATAAACAATTGTTAATATTTACGATATCGGTTCATATCTGTGACTAATTTATTTTTGCGGTTTGCTGGGTTTTGGCATGAAATAACGGCGTTATCAATGACGGCAGTACTTGACGCTTTTCCTCGAATAGAAACGTCATTTGCGGTTAATTTTAATTTCGCTAGTGCAAAAAGTGAAACGCTGACACAAGTGCCCACTTTAGGAACTTGCAGATGAAGCAATTAATTAATAATTGGCTTATTCATTAATGCGTGCTTAACTTTCATAATATTTATCTATCTATAAATTTAAAAAAAGAAAAGAAATTCATGTTTAAGTTGTAAAAATTTGCAAAAAGCCTTCAAGGTATAGGATAAAACAAAGAGTCGGTAATTGTATACTAGAGTTTACATTTACCAGCGAAGCGTACAACAAAGTGAAAGATGAATGCCGAACGCGGATGGAAGCGTAGAGGTAGAGGTATCACGCGAAGGTGAACAAATAATTAGAGTGAAACTGGCACATCGTAGACTCGTTCACCTTTTTTTTTCTATCTTGGGTTTTAAAGAATTAAAAAAATAGGTGAACCAGTAATAATTATTATTTTATCCATTTGCGAAAAAACGTTCTTTTGTTTTGTATATTAATTCCCCACAATGTGTTGGGGGACATGTTGGGTTGCTATAGTGATATATCCATCCTCATCATGATGGTGGTAGTGTTGGTGCACATGCCGGTAGTCATCGTTGTCATGTTGTCAAGCGTGAACCGATGCGCCTGATGAATTAGTGCATTGGCGGTGTTTACAAACGCCATGAATTCATGATCATGGCCATGAAGCGTGAAAACTGCAGGCGGGAAGGGCTTGGTACCGAGGGTGAGATTGATTATCACCAGCCCAGCCAACCCAACAAGTCGTTTAACCATAGGGGAATTTATATTTTTTTATTTTTTACAAAGCGGGTTGGTAATATAATATCCGTTTTAATTTGAGGGAGAAAACGAAATAGTTTTGTTCTGATTAGTTAACCAGCTGAAGAAAAGTGTCTACGATACGCGAAATGTAAACAGATGTACTTGAATGTTGCATATACTTTGAACCCACGCTTTGACCCGCTCACTGACGATTTACTGTGTGCATAGGAGTACTTATGCAGCGAAAAGTTAAAAGTTCAATTCGTGCTTGCATGCTACTCACTCCGCTCTTCTATCTATGCAGCTAGACTTTCTTCATTCAATTCTGTTCTCCAAGATGAAAGCTGCCACATGTCGCTACTCACAATGTGACATCTTAAATAATGTTAAGTTAAGCAATACAATGATGTGATAAATTATTTTAAACATAAAAAAGTTTTTAGATAAAAAAAGTGGTGACATCTATAGTTCACTAGCCTTTGCAGTATTTACTCATAGATGGCGCTACTTGGAAAGATAAACACTTATCTTGTATTCATTTGCAATTAGTCATTATTTACTGGCATGATTTATTATTTCCGTTCAATTAATATCACATTATCATATTGAGCAAATAAAAACACATTTTTGACCGGCTGCGTATTGTGAAATTGTCAAGAGAACATAAATTAAACCAATTGCAGTCACGCTATCTTATGAATATGATCGTGATGCATCCGAGTTGCACGTTTTATTGCGTCGTGATTCAACTTTTTTTATCGGTTTTAATACAACACTCTGTATAATACTCGGTTGAATACACTGTGAATTATTTGTCTGGGATAAGGATAACAATGAGATGATTGTTGGCAATTTGCAGTTAACGACTTAAGTTATCAATATCTAGTCGAGTGTCATTTCTATATAATAATCGCGTTGCAATATAAAATGTATGCACTTTTATTTAATAAGAAGGAAAAAAATACAAACAAGTGACACTATAACCAGTGCTGTGCTTGTACGTCAGAGGATTGAATTGAAGGAAGTATCTAATAATGCGTAATGATGCTCTTGTATGTGTACATATTCATAAACACGACGCCATTTATGTTTCATTCATGAATGATTAGTTTTAACAACAGAATATTTATATTTATTTCTGTTGGTGAGATTGTTGCGGCATGATATTTACTTTTTTAAGTTTAATTACTTTATTTCTGTAGTTTTTGTTAGTTTTTTTTATAACTGTAATTTATTTTTTTGTTTTCTTCTTGATGTTCTTCGCACAAATTGAAATTTTTAGGTGCCGTGTTAAATTACATCCGCGGACACCGTTCTCATTCAACCATCTGAAACTGGAAACTTGAAAAAAATAATTACAACCAACATTTGTCCTGTTATTTTGTGATATTTTCATATTTTTTACCGTTTTTTGTGTGATGTTTTAGTTGTTTTGCATGATTATGAATGGAAATCAAATATTAAAACAAGCCTGGAGATGCGAGATGTTTATGTAGACAATGCATTTTTCTCTTGTCTGACGAGATGCACGCGCGCAAAGAGCGTGACGAATTAAGACGTAATTTGTTATTGTCATTGTTTTATGTTCGCGATGCTTTATTGTGTGTCTGCGACTGTCATGGCAAATCACTGCAACACACAATGCATCATAACCTTGGTTAACCTTATTTTTTCCAAAATAAACTATTTCTGATTATATCTTTACAGGCTTCTATGGATTTACCTCCTGATAAAGCGAAACTACTCAGGAATTACGACTCTGAAAAGAAATGGGATATAATATGCGATCAGGTTTGTAGAATTTATTTTTTACGTGAAAAACTAGCATAAAACACATTTTTTTCATTATTTTCTCGTTTTCAAGCGTAAATTATGCGTGACAAGTATCGTTTTAATTAAATTTCATTCCCACAGTTGGTACTTATTTTCTACTATGCCTAATAAGGCAGTTAACTCTCGACATACATAAATTGACTTCATATATTGACGTGAATAGCGCACGTACCGACTAAAGTGGGGTTAGAGTACTATGGCCCTAAACTAGGTTACCTACCTCTACAAATATATATATTTTTTCGTTGCAAATTACATCTGTTTTGCATTAATTTGCGATTTAAATACAGCCGCATACGTTTTAATTATATTACAACAAAGAATGTATTTGTGTGCTTATCGTTTAATTAGTTGCCGAGTTATTTATTGCTATGACTAGGGGCTAGTTGCTTGTAGTGGCTGTATTTATCGACAATCGTAAAATTGCGAAATATTTGTGAAATGGACGAAATATTTACGAGACACGAAATTACGAGGTGCGGCAACTTATTCTACACTACATACGGCACTACTACTAATACATATTTTTTAATTTAGATTAAATGCCGAGATAAATGTAATGATAATAATGGTTTTAGTGAATTAACCAGTTAAATATATTTCCTAGGTTATTAAATATTTACGTTTTTAGTTGGAGATTTTATTATAGTAATGTTTGGATTGATTTTCATGCGATGATTCATCGTGTGTTTATGGCGGGAAATTCTGCGAATTTTATAGTTAAATATTGATAATGCTGCGATAGGTAACTTACACAATAACAACTACATTTATATGAGTGGAAGCAGTTGCAGCAAATAATACTTTATAATTTACGTTTTAGTAATCGATGAAATATTCCGCGGGAGTTTTTGATTTGCGTAAGAATTGATTATGGTTTATTCGCAGTTGTTGGTCGCATGATTTACGACTTTCACTTTATTCTGTGTCTAACGACGACATAATCATGGTCAATTTACGTGTAATAACTGTTATTAATTCAGTCATTCGTGATACGCACAAAACCGCGAAATTTTACAATTTATTTGAACACCCTGTATCTCCTGACCCCTTCTTTTAGTTTTTTAGTGTTTTTATGTGTAATTTTTTAGAATTATGGTTACTTTTTTAATCCTAGACTAAAATTAATAAAAAAATAATAAGAAACACCCTGTAGATCCTGCTATAACAAACTGTATTTCGAGATATTAGCGTTAACTATCCCAGCTAATTGACAATGATTGTCAATTTGTTGTAAGTAATCACCACGTTTAGCAAAGGTCTCTTAAACATGTGCTACTATTACTTAGTCTACTTCTACTTCTACCGTACATTTAATAATAATAATTCCCGTAGATGTAGATTGAAGGTGATTGAGCACGTTCAATAACTATTTTGTTTTCGTGTTTTTATATAGGCTATTACTATAATTTTGCCTATTCATAGCGTATTTGTTTTGTCTGATTTTTACGTGTCCACATTCATGTCGAAAATATTCTTACTTAAGTTAAGTCCAAGTTCATGTTTTAAGTCTTGCTGCTTTTACTGCGCTTGAGATCCAATAGGGAGTGAGGCGTTGACTGGCAGCACTACAGTGCTAATAATAATTCCGTGAAAATAAAGACCGGAGCTAGTCACCCGCAAGTCAACTTGACTTAAGTCAACGCGTACTCTTCTGCTTTACACATACGAGTACACATGTGTGCTATACGCATGGAATACGAATACCAAACTGACTTAAGTCATGTTCATCGATGACTCAACGGTCTTAACACAGTTCTAAACTGCACAAAGTCCAAAATTACAGTTTAAGCACTTACTTTAAATTGTATTTCAGTTATAGTTATTGAAGTGCTAAATTTAATTCATTGTACTTAAAATTCACGTTTTTTTATTTTTAGCAATTTTTTAGTTGAGTAAAAATGATTCATATGACATTGTTAATTATTACGTACATAACTACGTCATTTTAAGTAATTTGCATATACGCGAAACTTGTCAAGTTGACTCAACTTTAACGCAGAAGTTCTTGACTTAAGTCTTAAGTCAAGTCCAACTTGAGAATGACCACAAATTATTATTATGATTGTTTAATGTTTGGAGTTGGAAACGAGACTGAGGCCATGTTGCTGCATCCTTGACAACGATGAAATCATCAGTGAATTAAATGACTCGACTTGATTTCACTTTTTTACAATAAATTTCAATGTGTTTATAAATTTTTTAAATTTTACCTTTGTAAATTTAGGAAATGGTCCAAGCGAAAGATCCCCCTTCCTATTATCTCAACAAATTGAAGACTTATCTGGATCCAAAGGCTTCTCGAAGTCACAGGGTAAGTCATAATAATTTTTTATTTGTTTTATCAAGACGTCCTTGTACTTTTGTACAAATTACAATTACGAGAACGTGCACACGAAATTTACATTTTTCGCAATGCACCACATAAAACACAATCGAGTGCATAAATAAAATGCAAATTGTCTGCGCTGTGTGCAATTTGCATAATTTTCATGATGCGAATAAAAAATGGAAGAAAGAAAGTTGCATGTTGGTTGGCACAGATTTGTTTAGATAACAAGCTCTACAGTACTCTTATTGCAAATATGCAAATTTTCCCAGTGTTGTTCTAAAATTAAAGCGTATTTTTATGTCAAGGTGAAAATCCCAGTATATAATTTAACTGGAACATAGGGTTAATTTTATTCCCGTTGATTGATACAGCCTTGACTCTAATTTATTGGCCGGAAATGCAAAAACGTGCATTTCCTTTCTGCATTCTCTCCCTTTTAATTAATAACTCTTTCGATTCTATTCGCGTAATATGAGTTTTAATTATTTTTGAAAGTTTAAACACCCTGTATATATTAGTTCCGGCGTATGTTCTTTCTGGATGCGTTTAGGAATCGTTTCTTAAGCCAACCGGCAGCGTAAACAGACCGAATATAGGCAATAAACTCGTTCAACCGGCCACATCTGCGAACCTCATGAAACATCATGATGAAATTGTAAAATCCTCTCGCGGCTTTTACACTGCTCGTTAGAAACACACAATATTTTCCATTCATTTCATTCGGTTATTGCGTTATTTCAGAAACGAAAAATGGTTGGAGAATCAACATCGACACAAGTTCTCCGTGATTTGGAAATATCGTTACGTACTAATCACATCGAGTAAGTAACCCGTAACATAACCTCAATTTTGTTCTATTTTCTATGTTTTTGTGCTTTACTAGATGGGTCCGTGAGTTTTTAAACGATGAAAACTTAGGTCTGGATGTTCTCATTGACTATTTAAACTTCCGGTTGGGTATGATGCGGCACGAGCAGCGTATTGCCGAGTTTCGCAGCGAATCTGAAGAACATCTCAATCATAACACAACAGCAAACGCGACAATTGGTCATGTGGGAGGTGGAAGTGGTGAGAAATCGTTTAATAATGGTTATATTCGCCCGCCGCTTGACATGACGGATAGTCCTAGTATTCGGCGGCGGTCGAAACACGCCGCCAAATTAAATATGGGCGAAAGTAAGGATGATATACATGTGTCCATTATGTGTATGCGAGCTATTATGAATAATAAGGTTAGGATTTGTACAGATTTTGTTTTATAGATGGCGTTACTTAAGTTTTTTTTGTTTTCTTGTAGTATGGATTTAATATGGTGATTCAACATCATGAAGCTATAAATTGTATAGCGCTGAGTTTAATTCACAAGAGTTTACGAACGAAAGCTCTTGTTTTGGAACTCCTAGCCGCCATTTGTTTGGTAAAGGCGGACATGTTATTATTCTCTCTGCGTTTGATAATTTCAAGGAGGTTTTGAAGGAAAGATATCGGTTTCAAACACTGATGGAGTACTTCCTGAACCCCGAACTGTTTCATATTGAATTTATGGTTGCCTGTATGCAATTTGTGAATATAATCGTCCATTCGGTGGAAGACATGAACTTCCGGGTTCATCTGCAATACGAATTCACCGCGCTGCGCCTTGATGAATACCTGGAGCAATTAAAACTCACCGAAAGTGAGGAGTTGCAAGTACAAATCTCCGCGTACTTGGACAACGTCTTCGATGTGCAGGCGTTAATGGAGGATAGCGAGACCAAAACGGCCGCGTTAGAAAAAGTCAACGAGTTGGAAGATGAGCTGGGACAGGCTCATGATCGGCTCGGTGACTTGGAACACGAGGCACTTGCGAAAATTGGTGAATTGGAGACGGAACTTTGTACTCTGAGGCAGGAACGTGATGAGTTGATGGAATGGCGGCGGCAGGGCGAAGAGGAAATGTCTACGTTGCGTAAAAAGGTACAGGAACATCAGCAGGAGTCGCAGAATAGGCAAAGTATGCTGGAATCGAAGATTATGGAGCTGGAAACTATTACAAAGACATTACCCAAGGGAGCTACATGTAAGTATAATTAAAATTTGATTTTTAAGGACGAATTTTATGTTTTTTTTAAATTTAGTATCAGATATGACTCCGCCCAGTTCGTCGTCATCTACGTGTTCGCCAATCAGCACACCAGTGATACCCCCTCCACCACCGCCTGTAGCGCCACCTGTGGCACCACCTCCACCTCCTTGTCCTCCGCCACCACCTGCGAAACCAGGAGGTGGATTTTTACCGCCGCCACCACCTGCTCCTGGTTTCATGCAAGCGCCTGATGGGGCGATGACCATCAAACGCAAAGTACAAACGAAGCACAAGTTGCCTACGTTGAATTGGATGGCGCTAAAACCCACACAGGTATACTATTAATTTTTAATGTAATTACCAAACCTAATATTTAATTTTATTTGCTTTAGGTGAGAGGAACGATATTTAACGAATTGGACGATGATAAACTCCACAACGCGATTGATTTCAACGAATTTGAAGAGCGTTTTAAGATTGGTCCCGGCGGTGCGTTACTAAACGGCGCCGGAAACGAAGTTGATGGTTTAACGAATATGCCAAGTAAACGATACAAGAAACCAGAAAATATCTCAATGTTAGAACACACGCGGCTTCGTAATATTGCGATATCACGACGAAAATTAGAAAATCTTCCAATTGAAAAAATTGTCAACGCGATCAATCAACTTGATTTGAAAGTGTTATCTCTTGAGAATGTCGAACTTCTGCAACGGATGGTCCCAACCGAACAGGAAGTTAAGTCATATCGGGATTTCTTAGCCGAAAAAGGAATCCTAATCTTTTGACGGAGGAGGATCGATTTTTGATGCAGCTTGCTAAAATTGAAAGGATTTCCGCCAAGTTGTCAATTATGTGCTTCATGGGCAACTTTTTCGATAATGTGCACCTTATTACACCGGTAATTTGTTTATTTATTAAAACTTATAAACATAATATTAATATTTATGATTTTTAGCAAATTAATGCGATAATATCCGCTTCGAATTCAGTGAAAAACTCGCGAAAGTTGCGCAGTGTTCTTGAGGTGATCCTTGCCTTTGGTAACTATTTAAATAGTAGTAAAAGAGGTCCTGCGTATGGATTCAAGCTTCAATCATTGGATTCTCTGGTTGATACTAAGTCCAATGACAAGAAAACTTCATTGTTGAACTATATTGTTGCAACAATTCGACAGAACTTCCCTGATCTTGTTAATTTCGACTCGGAATTGAGTTTTATTGAAAAGGCAGCAACCGGTTAGTTAATTATTAGTATTTACAAATATTATTTTAATCAAATTAATTGATTTACAGTGTCTTTGGAGAATATTATAACAGATGTGCAAGAACTCGAGAAAAACATGGAGACGGTTCGTAAAGAATCCGAACTTCGTGGTAAAAACGCAAATCCTATTTTGCGGGACTTCCTTGCCAACTCAGAAGATAAGTTGAAAAAGTTACGAAACGATTCGAAAACATCTCAAGATGCATTCAGGGAATGTGTGGAGTTCTTTGCTGAATCACCTCGATCGACAGACGCCAATTCATTCTTTTCGTTGCTTGTCAGATTTGTAAAATCATTTAAGGTAATTCTTTTTGTTCTACTAAACTATGAACATTGCTTAATATCCTTTTCTTTAATTTTAGACTGCAGACCAGGATAATGAAACGAGGAGAAGATTGGAAATCGCCGCGTTGAAGAGTAATCAATCGAATAACAACGTGGAGAAGAAGAATAAAGTCAATCAAAAGAAACAACAGGTACTTTTTTTATATTATTTTTTATTTTGGGTGTTATTAACACAACTCTGCATGTATTGTTTGGTGGTTCAACTTGTTTCTGTTCTATTTTGAGCGTGCGACTGTTCCGTATATCGGCGAACTAAAACTTGTCTTAGAGGACATTTTGCTGAACGGTTACGCCTAATCAACGCCCCTTGCATTATTATTCATCTTTTCTAACACTTGCACTTTCCTGAGCATGCGTATGCATATTTAACACCTAACACACGTAATACAACTGTAAGTTAATTTATTTATTTAACACTTGATGTATACTTTGATTATATTTCGCTAATGTGTTTTGTTTTTCTTGTTCGATTAACAGGACGCTGTGATTAACGAACTCAAACACAAAACGAAGCTAGTGCAAGAAAAGAAACTGTTGCAACAGGATGAGGTGTACAATGGCGCGCTGGAAGACATCCTCCTGGAATTGAAAAACGAGCCCTATCGACGAGCGGATGCTGTCCGGCGCAGTCAACGACGACGAATCGACAGCAATCGACTTTCAAAAACCACCGAAGAATTGAACTTTTAACAGTTATCACATATTTTAATGCAAGTTAGCTTTTAGAGTGGATTGCGCACATTTTTTAAAACATTCCGCTTATATGAGACCCATGAAAATTTTTACTTATAAATTTATTTATGTTTTATGTTCAAACTTTAAAGAAATGAATTTTATTTGCACTTGATTAGAGTGCAACAACTTGTAAATAGGAAAAAGTATAAGAAAAGCTTAAAATTCTAATTTTATATTTTTTGATATCGAAATATTATAATTATCTCTAAACAAATGAACAAGACAATTATTAGATGCATAAAAAAATGTTAATGCAAATGCGTGATGAGAAATCACACAAGTGGAGTGATAATTCCAATTATGTACATATTTATACCTATGCTTATTGTTAGCAATTAGTAGGAATATGACAGTAGAACACACACATTCTATTTGTAAATCGTTACAATTGCAACTTAAACAAATTATATTACTCTTTGTTAATTCACTGTGTTTGATTTAATCAATAAACCCAATTCCTATTCCTTTTCTTTGAAATTTTCAGGAAGCGCCTTCAAATGGTTGTTGATGTACAAGTTCAAACCATTCCTCAATATTATTTTCTGTTGAATTACTCGAAAAAAGATTTGGCCACAAAAAAGGCAAAAGATTTCTCTTTTTTATGTTAAAAATTAAAAATTGAAATTTTGTATTTCTTTTTGCGGATTATGAACAAGGTAATTATTGTGAATAATAAATCTTAGTGACATTTGTCTCTACCATTCTTCCTTATGCCCTAAAATTTGAATTTAGTGAATGCATAAAAAATAAAAAATAAAAATAAAAAATTATATTTTTTTATTGCAGAATATTAAAGAATATGTGATTTGGAATGCTTTATTTTAATTAAGTTTTGTTCTACGATGTACCGTTTTGATAATAATCGCCATAATAAATTTCGTTTTCGTGCGAAGTCAAAATTTTTCTCAAAAATGCCAATAGGGCCTAAACTATCAGTGCTACAATGAAATTGTTCTTAAATAATTTAATCAGAATTAAACAAGCTATCCGAATCCGAAATCAGATTTTCAAAATTCGCATTTTTAATTCTGCATAAAAAAATGAAAAAGTTTTGCCTTTTTTATGACGAAATCTTTTCACGGTTTTATGTTTTTTATATCTCAAAAATTAAAAATTGGAATTTTGAAATTCTTTTTTCGGATTATGATAAAGCAGATGATTATAAATCATTTATTTTAGTAAACTTTTCTTCTACAACCCTTATTTAAGGCCCTATTGACGCCGGAACTTGAAAAATTGAATTCGCACCAAATTCAATAGTTTTATGCTTATATCTTCTAAACTAAACGTGTAATCAAAATAATTTACTAGAATATTTTACTTGATAAGATTCCTCTATAATAATCAGCAATAAAAACAATACATTTTCAATATATAAAAACCTGCAAATAATTATAGAAATTATGGAGAAAACTGACATTTTATCCAGTTGATTCTAATTGTTTCTAATAATTAGTAACACCATAGTGTAGAGAAACTCATAATTTCATTAGAAATATCATTTTAATTCATTAGATATTTTTGTTTGTCCTGTAGACACATTTATGTGAAATGTGTACTTCCAGCACCACTTAATTACTGATTATCTCAAGAACTAATAGAGATAATCAAAAACAGAAAACGGCGTTGCGTTCAGCAAACAATTCTACATCTGATAAGCTTTTAAAAATTTTAATTTGGAAGGAGTGAAAAGCGATTGACCAATGCGATTTTCTCGCAAACTATAAAAGTTACAGAAAAACTTTTTGTACTTTCTTCATGCCATGATAAGGATCTATAAAATGGCAGATTCAATTATTTAATTCTAAGAAGTTGACCAAAAACCACTTGAAAAGTATCAAGAGGTTACACTTAAGTATTTTGTGGCCTAAAAATTCAACTTTAAGCTACGAGAAAATGGAAAACGCCATTCGATAGAGAATAGCAATGTGATGAAAGATATTCAGTCAGTTTTCTGATAACACCAATATTTCCCAAATTACCTGTGAAAATTGAAGCAGGTCAAAAAGAACCACCACTCAGATTTTCTTCAAATTTTCCTATATGATGTAGAATGATGCCCAGAATCCATTTATCTAAGTTTTGTTCCGATATCTTAATTAGTTTTTGAGTTATTGACCATTTTCAATTATTACATAAGTGTTGAAATTTTCAAAATTTTAAGTGTTACATGATGTATAATTAAGTGCTGATTCCAAATCTGAAAACCGTTTTTCTTTATCTTTGTTACTTTATGAGATAAATGCAATAAACTGGATTTTCAGTTTTCTCCATCATTTCTTATGAGAAAAATAAAAATTGAAAATGTATTGTTTTTATTGCTGATTATTATAGAAAGTAATCTTCTCAACAAAATATTTTAGTAACATTTTTTATTTAGACTTTTAGTTTAGAAGATATAGGCATAAAACTGTTAAATTTAGTGCGAATTAAATTTTTCCAATTCCGGCGTCAATAGGGCCTTAACTAATGGCTGAAGATGAAAAGTTTACTAAAATAAATGATTTATAATCATCTGCTTTATCATAATCCGAAAAAAGAATTTCAAAATTCCAATTTTTAATTTTTGAGATATAAAAAACATAAAACCGTGAAAAGATTTCGTCATAAAAAGTCAAAACATTTTCGTTGTTTTATGCAGAATTAAAAATGCGAATTTTCAAATTCTGATTTCGGATTCAAATAGCTTGTTTCATTCTTGTTAAATTATTTAAGAACTATTTTATGATAGCACTGATCGTTTAGGCCCTATTGGCATTTTTGAGAAAAAATTTGACTTCGCACGAAAACGATTTTTAATATGGTGATTATTATCTAAACGATGCATCATAGAACAAAAATTTACTAAGATAAAGTGTTTAAAATTACGCTTTCTTTAATATTCTGCAATAAAAAAATTTCAATTTTTTTTGAGGTCGAAAACACTCGAAAAAGATTTCGTCATAAAAAAGGCAAAACTTTTTCATTTTTTTATGCAGAATTAAAAATTGGAATTTTTAACATCTGTTTTCGGATTCTGATAGCTTGTTGAATTCTAAATAATTTATTTCAGAACAATTTTTCTCTAGCACTGATAGTTTAGGCCCTATTGGCAATTTTAACAAAAAATTTGACTTCGCACCAAAACGAATTTTAAGGAAAAATACGTTCCTGTCTTTCGGCCGAAAAATTTTTTAACCAAAAAGTCCGACCCTGTTCTTCGGCCGAAAATAATTTTTTCAGATTCTCTTTAAATTAACATTTCGTATAAAATTAAGTCATTTTTGTTTATTAATGGGCATTAATTAAAAAAACATGTCAAACCCAGTGTTTTTGGCCAAAATATTAACAATTTTATTACAAAAAGGGCATTTTATGGCACTTTTAAAGGGTTTAGGAAGTTTTAACAAAATGCAAAGGGTAGAGAAACTTTCCTTCTATAATCTGACGTTGAGAAAATACAAATCCATTGATTATTACAGGAGATACAGGGTGTTTTGTATCCAAAATTGTTAAAATTTTGCATCGTAATTATTTTTGACTGGCATTTTCGTGCACTTTCAAAGGGCTTAAGAGGTATAAAAGGTATGCATGTTGTAGAGGGACTCTTTATCTATCATATAACAATTAAAAACCCTAAATTGCATTTGATTTACAGAAAATACGGGGTGTTTTCCAAACATATGTTTTGAGACATGCAACAAATTCCAATGTTTTCTTACCTTTAAGGGCACTATCTTCGGGTTTCTGTAATTTATAGGTTATGTATGCTATACAACAGTTAATCAAGAATTATATGACGCAGATAAACTTAAAATTGCTTTATTTTTACATAACATATAGGGTATTTTAACAAGCTTAACATCTAAAAAGTGCATCTATGACATTGTTTCATTAAAAATCCTACTGGGTGTTGCCGATGCAGTCCCAGCAAACTGAATAATAACTATTATATAAGTCGCAATTAAATTTACAAACATAAACAACATTGCATGGTCCACATTGAACAATCCAGCCGCTGAGATATTCGAATGTGTGGCGGTTGTCTGCTGAGCCAAAGCAAACATGGCGTCACGCAGAACCGGAACTGATGCAAAACGATTCACCATTTTATATGCAAGAGCAACAGTCTTCCGGCCTTCATTTTGAACTTGTTCACACTTTGATGCAATGGCAACACCATGCGCTATTGTAAATGTTATCCAAAAGGCAGTAATCAATATGTCTGTTAAGGTAGTCACAAAATTATCAACAAGGATCATATACAAGTACATAAAGATGTATAACATGATATGCATCATCAACACAAACAAATGCATACCAAACGCCTGCTCAAAATGGCGGCTGGCCATCATGGCTGTCACAAACGCCATTTGGATTGTCTTAATCTTCTTCAATATACTCAGAGTGTAGCCATCTTGTTTTCTAGAATATACTACAATGTGTGATTGTTTTGTCTCTTTAAGATTCTCAAACAAATTATTAACATCAACAAATCTAACTTGAATTTCCCCAAGAAAATCCTCAATAAACAAGTAAGATACAACACGTAATAACATTTCATCGTATCACAAACAAAATACATTTGTTGTCCAAGAGTTGAATAGTAATGCCAAATACTATACTCGTAACAAGTGACACTTGTCATTACAATAGCAGCAAAACAAAAGATATAAGTACCATTTTTAGTTTTGTTTGTTTTTGTGTCTTTCGTGTACAAAATGGCGTCTAATTTGGTCACAGAATTAAAAACGTCACTAAATTTACAAAGTTCCACGTTGAAGGACCAAGAATCAACCAAATATCAGTAATATAATTATAAACAATTAAAATCTGCAGGATGATTCCATTGTAATCACCAGCACCCTCTCGTGTCATTGTTAAATAAGAACTACTCGAGACAAAAATCACAAATGTCACCACACAAAACGCTGTATAAACTTTAGTTTGATAAAAACAATGTTTCCTTGCGTTGTAAAATGGTAAGAAACAAATTAACGGCGCTGTTTTTATGTAGAACCATGGACACAACATGGCGGACGTTCTCAAAATGTCAGCGTATCCGCTTTGTGTAATCACAACAATGTACAACGAGGAATAATTACTGTTTGCGCGTGGTTTTCTATTCTTACGTTATAATTCTACACTAATCAATCATAATCTATTTACTACATGTTACACAACAATCAATGTTGTTCATATTCAAGCCTTCACAATCAAAGCTTTCCTCAAAAGCTCGGCCTCCCTGTAACCAGTCTCAATAGCGCCGTGGACAGTTGAATAGTGTTGGAAATTGGTTGCTTCACCAGCAAAGTGTAAATTCTTGACTGGTTCAGCGATAATCTTCATTGCGTCCGGTTGCATTTTGCGAGACGCTACAGTTTGGTAGGAATATGTTCCACGGAAATGTGGGTTTGAGTACCAGTTGTTCCTGTATATATAGGCAACCAAATATACATTAATATACTAATAGTGTTATAGGATGGTTATATTTACCGTAAAATTTTATCAGGTTTCTGAAGTTTGTACAAATGTCCAACGAATCTCTCCAGGGCATAGAAAACACCATCCATGATTTCCTCATCAGACATTTTTTCAATTTCCGGGATGAATTTGCCGGAAAACCAAGCGGCAAGCACGTTGGGATTTGCAGGTTCATCAATAACACTGAAAAAGTCATTCAGCCATGATTGACCATTCTAAAACACACAAAAATAAATATAAATAAACAATTATATAAATAATTTAAAAATTTATACCTTTCTAGGTCCTTTTGGATACTCCGCAGCGAGAGTCATTCGATCCTCACAAGTCCACGAAAGAGTTATATCAGTAAAGTTGTTTTTCGGCCACCAGGGCTCAGCAAAATGCATCCACACCTTAGCAACAGCCCCAAAACCATGTGCCTTAATCGCCTGGACTTTCTGCTCACTCAAAGGAGGTTCAAACAAGTTCTGATGATCATGTTTCAACACTCCAAGAGACGGAGTGAATAAAACATACTTCGCTTCATATTTGAAGTCATTTCCTTTGACAACTGCCTTGGTACCATCGTATTCAATACGTGTGACCACTTTATCAGTAAATACTCTCCCAGTGGTGTTGAAATCCTTCATTAAATACTCCAGTGCTGTAAAATATCCTTTTCCGTTCCAATGTGTGAAGGAATCTCCTGACATTCTACATGATCACTGATTGCTGATGGTTCATGCCAGGTTGGAGAAGCTTCCAAACTACACACATACTTTTCAAACAACGGTAACGCTTTCAGTGCAATATGCATTTTTATTTTATCTTTTGCGTATTTTTCTTTGATGGTTTTAACGTATCGTCTTACAAATGTATCGTTAATTGTTTCATCAGCAGTCGCATTAGGATCATTTGTATCATACAACTCTAAGAAGAGATTTAATAACTCTCTACTGAATTCCCCACTGACGTCATCTCGGTTTGATGGGAAAATCTTGTATGGTTTATCATCTGGGTGATGGTGTAATAATCCAGTGTCTTTTAACATTTCATTGACGATGTTACCTTTTTCTCCGTGGACCCATTCTGCGCCGAGGTCTACTTTTGCATCACCAAAAGGTACGCTGTACACACGTCCTCCTAATCTTGGTTCTGCTTCCAAGAGGATTAGATTTACGCCGTGTTTGTTTAGTTTTGTCGCGGCTGCGATGCCTGAAGCGCCTCCACCAATGATAATCACATCTAAATCTTCTGTGCAGATAGATTTTTGGGTGAATATTAGTAATAGTAATGGTAGTTTTAGCAACAAAGACATTTTTGGATGATGTATGTTGGAGAATGGTTTGTGATCAACTGATGTTGGGAATAAATGGTTCCAAAGAGCAAAAGTTGGTTGCAGGGTTATGTGAATTATCTAATATGCGATAAGGATGGAATTTCCGCGATGAAATCCATAAAATAATCAGCTTTCGGTTTGTTTACTTGGAATGAAATGTGTTGTAAGCATAAATGTATTATTAATCGTTGTTATTAATTGGATTATGTTTGTTTTTGATAAAATATTCAGTAAAAACAATAAAAAATAATGTTTTTGAATTAATTTCACGGTTTTTCTTTGAATATCAAAAGAAAACATTGTAAAACAAAAACAAAAAGATGTTAAATGTCTATTGTCTATTAATTATCAATTTTTATAATTTACTTTGTCTTCAATTATCAATTTTTTAATTACTCTGCTAATTACAACGTTAATTTCGTTTAATTCTAACATCTGCAGTATTTTACACGCGTTTCTAGTATAAAAACACATTGAAAAACGAAATCTACATTTGATTCTGGCAAAAATGCAGTTAATCAAAAGAATGGAGACGTATTTCCGCAAATTTATCAAAGTGCAAGAAGTAAAAGACGACCATATTGCATTATCTCGATTCCTTATCAAATTTTTCACTCTTTATCATATGTGGGTACCCGGTGAGTTTACCCGTTTTCGCGTCGTGAAAGGTTATGTTGTTCTCTTGTTATGCAACACTGTAATCATCTGCCTTATATGGAAAGACATCTTATACATACGTAAATATAAATTAAATAAAAATATGACTTTTAAATATTAATTAATTTTCATACTTACAGGCAAAACAGATAAATTTAATTTTGATGACATAGCCAACGACATTTTGGTCATAGCAGGAAGTCCAGCTGGTTTTGCGTTCTTTCGAACCTTCTTCAGTCAACAGAAAGAGTTCCAGGCCTTGCTCTATGACATGGGGGATTTTACCGAGTATGAAAAACCGACTAATATTGAGTTTGTCGATGCAAGCTATGAATTCTACAGTCAGATTTCAATGTTGATTATTGCGGTACCACTTCCCTTTCTATTCATCACAATTGGTTTGTCAAATTGTCCGGATGTAGATGATCACAAATGTGGGATGATGTTTGGTGGATATTTTCCTGGTTGTATGTCACCACGTCCCCGGAAATTTTGCGCTCTAATGCAAATTGCCTCTGGGTATTCTCTTTCGTACGTTGGGTTCCTCTCATCGTGGTTTTTCCTGCAAATGAGTGAGCATATTGTGTGTTATATTAAGCATCTGCATGGATTGATTGCGAAAATTCCTACGATTGCAAAAGGAGAAGAACGTAGAGCTCATGTTATGAAAGTTATTAGATATCATCAACATATATTAGAGTAAGTTGTACTACTGGTAAATGCGAAATAAAAGAAGTTAATTTCAGTTTTTTTTTTGTAGGTTGTATGAAAGGTATCATAGTTTGGTGAAGAATACATTCTTGACGCATATAATTGTCACTCCGGTGGTTCTGGGCCTGCTGGCGTATTCAGTACAGATATATTTTGAAATACAAAACATTGCGTATGGTATGTTGTTTGTTTTGGCGCTTTCAGTGGTGTGTTTTATTGGTCAACGGATGATTAAAGAGGTAAAAATTGTAATTTTTTAATGTTAAAAAATGCTTTTAATTTTTCAACCATATTTCTATGGTGGATGTATCAGAAACTAATAGTAATAGAGAGTCCTAATCTATGGACAATTCTCTATCAAATATGCTAGTTAAAATGGAAATCTGAGAGATAAAATTTTAATGCATAGAAAAAAAAGGATAATTTTTTCGACGATTTTTGATAATTAATATCTCTTAAACTAAAAGCGACAGTAACCAACGAAATACTGATTATGATAGATTGTAAAATTCGCTATCAGATAAAAACATATAATAATTATATTTCCTACAGGAACAGGTCGAAAATGCGACTGAAAGTACTAAAAGTGACATTTTGCAATTTTTGACAATTTTTTCATTCGCGAATATCTCGTAAACTAAAAGAGATAATTAAGTTCTGATCGCAGCATTTTAATCCACGAATTATAATATAAGATATCTATAAGATAGAACAGTTAAAATGGAAATCTGAGAGATAAAATTTTCATTCTTAAGAAAAAAATTGCCAAGGGGGGGTGCTTGATACTTTTTTTCGACGATTTTTGAAAATTCATATCTCTTAAACTAAAAGCGATAGCTACCAACGAATTGTTGATTATGAAAGATTAGAAAATTCTCTATCAGATAAAAATATAAAATAATTATATTTCCTACAGTAAAAGGTCGAAAAATGCGACTGAAAGTACTAAAAAGTGACATTTTGCAATTTTTGTCCATTTTTTTCAATCGCGAATATCTCGTAAACTAAAAGAGATAATTAAGATCTGATCGCAGCGTTTTAATCTACGAATTATTTTCTATAAGATAGAATAGTTAAAACAGAAATCTGAGAAATAAAATTTTCATTCTTAAGAAAAAAATTGCCAAGGGGGGGTGCTTGATACTTTTTTTCGACGATTTTTGAAAATTCATATCTCTTAAACTAAAAGCGATAGCTACCAACGAATTGTTGATTATGAAAGATTAGAAAATTCTCTATCAGATAAAAATATAAAATAATTATATTTCCTACAGTAAAAGGTCGAAAAATGCGACTGAAAGTACTAAAAAGTGACATTTTGCAATTTTTGTCCATTTTTTTCAATCGCGAATATCTCGTAAACTAAAAGAGATAATTAAGATCTGATCGCAGCGTTTTAATCTACGAATTATTTTCTATAAGATAGAATAGTTAAAACAGAAATCTGAGAGATAAAATTTTCATTCTTAAGAAAAAAATTGCCAAGGGGGTGTGCTTGATACTTTCTTTCGACGATTTTTGAAAATTCATATCTCTTAAACTAAAAACGATAGCTAACAACGAATTGTTGATTATGAAAGATTGGAAAATTCTCTATCAGATAAAAATATAAAATAAATATATTTCCAACAGTAAAAGGTCAAAAAACGCGACTATAAGTGCAATTTTTCTGTTTTAGCCCTGTTTTTGAATTGGTAATATCTAGTGTCACAGATAGGTCGCACGTAATTAATGCAAAACTTGTTTATAAATGGCAAATGTAAATTTGACCGAAAAACATAATTGAATTATAAACTTACCAGTATACAGCTTATCGGACTGCCAGGCACAACAAGTGCTGTAACTAAACGAAAACATAAATTAAAACAAAAATATTTCATACAATTGAATTATGTTATAATTAACAATAAACACAAAATAAACAATCTGTGCTTTTAGTTAAAAATACTTCCACGAGCCTGATGGATCATTCTTAGTGATAAGAATCAACATGAAGGCGATATACGTATATCCGACTTGTAATATACATAACACATGCGAACCAAAACCGGCATTTCCAAACATTAAACAAATTACCATAGTCGCAAAGTACAAATAAATAGTCGATAAATAGTCGATATAAGTCTCTCAAAACACGACTGGATGAACAAGCGACCGGCACGAAACTGGCTGCAATTCACCGATAGTGCAAGCCGAAACTGCGTAAACAACGACGGGACAGAATGTGATAAGAAAGCAAGAGATGCACAAAGACGACGCGTCGAAGATACGCGACCTTGTGTGCGAATTTGCAATAGACACATTACCTGTGATCTAAACTAAACTAGATTTCGCTGCATGCAGCAAGTTGATGCGGCGCTAGGAGACAGCGCGCGGGACACATGCGTTAAAAACGTTGTTTACACCGAATCGCAGATAACAGCATTGTATACAAAACTATTCTCATGCCCACGTTTGTCGATAAATATAAAAATAAGCCGCAATAACTCGATTTTATGATTTTTAGTGCATCCTAGTGTCATCTATGAATGCGACAGATACTAGTCCCATAATTTAGACTTTTATAGTCAATAATTAATGCTAATGAGAGTCAGCTATACATTAATTCACTTACGGTGCCCTGAATACCTGCCACTTCTACCGCTACCCTCGTACGGTGCCCTGAATCAAGTCACTTCTACCGCTAACTTCATACGGTGCCCTGAACACGAGTCACATCTACCGCTACATTTGTACAATGCTCTGAATACGAGTCACGAGTAAGAATTAAAAATAATATAATTTCGGGGTAAAGAAGCGAAAAACGTGTCTAAAAGCTAAAAAAAAAATATATTTTTTTAATCACTTTTTGTATCTATCTTGTAATATTGTTTGTTTTTCTTTCTTAGAGTGAAAAAATAGTCACCATCGCATATGATTCAATCCCTTGGGACGGCGACATTCGCACTGGCAAAGACCTCGCCTTGCTAATCCTACGCAGTCAGCGAGTAATGCACACACCTGCCGGATCTCTCACGTACTGCGGGAATGAACTGTTTGTGTCCGTAATGAAAACAACATATTCATATCTCGCATTAATCCACAGCACCAGCAACCAACAGTAAATGTAAACACTTGGAATTATATAAATTACAACCACACTTATTCACATCACATTTACTTATTAATTTATTACTATATCAACGTATCAACACTATTAATATCTAAACACTTTACCTTTTAATTATAAAAAATATATCTATGTTATTTTATTGTACTACAAATAAAATAAATATTTAACGAATAAAACTATCACTATAAATACAGCAGATTTAATTTATTTTCCCTACTTGTGTGTATCTAGTCTCAAAATGGCGGAAATTGTAGCTTACGAAGATGAGTCCGAAGATCGTTCGATTGAAGAAATCTTCGAAGCGTTTCTTTTACGCTATGCCACCGTACGTGAGATGAAAAACAAACATGTTGAGCTAGCGACTTTTATCAGACGCTTCTTCATCTTGCATCAATTCTGGATTGAGGGCGAATTGACTTATTGGAAGTTGGCACGAGGATGGTTAATTTACACAGTGTCAAATACAGAGATTATTGTCACTATTTGCCACATGGTTCGAGTAACAAGTACAAAAACACAAAATTTTAAAATCAAAAACATTTATCACTAATATTATTAATATTATTGCAGTTTTAACAAAAGAATTTCATCTCGGTGACTATACAACCAACCTAACCTTAATCATAGCCCTCCCATTGGGTTTCTACCTCTTTCAAACCTTATATCTGCAGCAAAAAGGTTGGCAAGCGTTGGTTTTAGAAATGGGTAATTTTGAAGTGTACGAAAAACCTCCGGATTTAGAAGTACGCGCTGCCATGTCGGATGTATTGATAAAAATCACTTTATTGATCATATTTCTACCGGTGCCATTTTTGGCTTATTATATTATAACAGCAAATTGTCCGGATCCTGAAGATTATGCGTGTGGGATTATGTTTCCGGCGTATTTTCCGGGATGTATGGGACGTTTTCGGCCAATTTGTGGACTTGTGCATCTTGCTACTGCGTACTCAATTGCTTATATTGGATATTTATCTTCGTGTTTTTATAGTCAGTTATCGGAGTTTATTGTGATATATTTGCAGTATTTTCAAACAATGTTGAAGAAAATACCGACCATTGAGAATTGGGATGAGAGATGGGCACATATGAATATGACTTTGAAGTATCATCAAAGAATTTTAGAGTATTGATTTTTTATTAATTTTTTTTTTGGTTTTTTAATTTTTTTAAATTTTTTGTAGATTGTATGAAACTTATTACTTTTTGGTAAAAGATGCGTTTTTAATTCATATTTTCGGAACGCCTGTTGTACTCGCCGTGTTGATTTACACATTTTTGACAGATTTTAGAATTCAGAATGTTGCTCATTCTCTTTTGTGGGTGTTTTCATTGAGTTATGTATGCTTTTTTGGACAGAGAATGGTGGATGAGGTAAAATTTTTTTCTATTTTGACTAAAATTTACTTTTTTACGCTTTTTCTGTTAATTATGCGTTTTTAGAGTGAAAACGTTGTGGAAATTGCTTATCAATCTATTCCTTTTGATGGAGATAATAGAACAGCTCGTGCTTTATTGTTTTTGATCCACAGAAGTCAAAAACAATGCATACACCAGCAGGAACACTCACATATTGTGGAAAAAGTTTGTTTGTGGCTGTAAGTGCTAAAATGCTATCAAATTTTTATTTATTAATGTAAAATTTAATGTTTTAAGGTCATGAAAACAATGTATTCGTATTTGACAGTTATGCAGAGCACAGGCGCTGTAAATAAAGAAGTGGAAAGATTGAATGCAGAGCATCAACATTAGAAAAAAAAAAAAAGAAAAATGTTCTAGATGGCAATTTTCAGCTGCACAAAAATACACACTAATCAATTAATAATTAAGTGTTGGGAAATTTTGCAGCTTGCAAAATATCACCTTAAACACGTGGTAGAAGATAATTACAAAGCACAATGATTAAAAAAAATTAAATATTTCTATTTCTGCACATAAGTAAAGTTAAAAATGCAAAAATTGTATTTTTTCACAAAAAATAAAATTTTCTCTTTAAAAAGGCACAAAAATATATTCTTTTCAACTTCCACCTCTTAAACACCAGATTTTCCATGATTTTGAGACCCAAAAAGTGAAACTTTAAACACGGACGACCAAAACCGTGATTAAAGTACTTTAGTCACGGACTTTAGTCACAGTGTGGTGCTCCCTTAATACCTAACATACTATTTTATTAGGTTGATTATAAAACCACAAAAATTTAAATCAAAATGGCGTCCAAATTATAATTACAACGTTTATTCAATTATAAATATTTACAAACATGACTTACGAATGGTCCATAATCGCTATAATTTCTAATAACAATGTTGAGCAAAGTGTATTCCATTCTCACTAAGTAATATAGTAAAATTCGTGCTTACTAATCACGCCCAATTAAGAACACGCCCAGACTAAACTCATTAAACCACTACTACAACTACACACATGACTCGTTTCCTTTTTATTTATATTCGTGAACAAAAAAATTAAATAACTTAATCCAGTCGACGTGTAGACTAAAACTAATGCTACTACAATAGAAAATCATAACCTAACTTTCAACATAGCCTACATAACCTACATTTTGGGGTATTTACAGGGTGTGCATGAAATGACAAATATTAGTAAAAGAAAACTGGGAAATAAAAAATCGACTAAATCTATGGAAACCGTAGTTCCTGAATATACTTCGGATGTTGTAGGTTATGATGTGATGACGAGCGTTGTAGATCCTGTCGTCGACGTGCATTCGACGCAGGCGCATCAAATCTCCCTGCTGGAGGTTGTGCATTTCGTCTTGCTTCACGTCTTTGATACCAATCTCTTTCTGCGTCATTCCCGTAGATATCCAACACTTGCTGAGCGTGGAATTCATTCCTTGATACAGGGTAATCAGAAGCAGAACTACGTCTCCATCTTTCTCTATATCTTCTTTCAGTCATTTCATCTTCCAACATTTGTTTTTCTTTTGAATTATTTGATCCTGATTCACTAGAGTTTTCTTCTGATGTACCAAGTCCTAAATCTTTTTCCATATCGTATTGTTTATAACTTTTTGGTTTCAGATTCGTGGGTGTAAGACTTGCGTTTAAGGTGAATTGTGGGTGTGGTATGCAATATGGATGTGGAAGGGCTTTTTCAATGGAGGACATTTTAATAGCGTCGTCTTCATCCCAATCTGTGCAGGATCCAGGACCAAAGAGTGATAGTAGAACCGGAAGTAGGAAGAGGCCATGCATTGCTCCACAGAATACTACCAGGAAGACCATTTTGAAGAAGACGAGGAATATGTAGTTGTTTGCTAGGAGTAGAGCGACCATTCCTAAAATGGTACTGAATGCGCCTTGGAAGATAGGCAATCCAAGAGCGTAGAGGCTTTCACGTACACGTTCATCAGGACGTTTTGCTGTGGAAGACATGTAGGCGTAACAGATGTGTGCGGTGAAATCAACACTGAATCCTATACACATTATGAGGTTGATCATTGAGATGGAGTCGAGGTTCACGTGCCAGAGGGCCATGTATCCAATAACTCCGATTTCTATGGAGATTATACTGAAGGCTACCCAGAGGGAACAGAGGAAGTTGGGAATGAATAAAAATGAGATTATCATCATCACTACAGCTCCTACAACCATATTTTGGAGGGATAGTGGTCGTACTAGTTCAAACTGAAATAAAAAATGATAATATTATTAATAAATAATTTTTTAGTGTTTAAAATGAGTTTTTCTACTTCTACCAGTTTTTTCACGGTTTTGAGACACCAAAAGTGGTATTTTAAACACGGATGGTCAAATCCGTGACAAAAGTACTTTAGTCACGGGCTTTAGTCACAGGGTGGAGCTCTTGTATCAACACCAAAGTTTTTCCACGGTTTTTAAACATAAAAAGCGCTACTTTAAATACGATTGACTAAGGCCGTGACTAAAGTCAATGAATCTCGTGACTAAAGTGTCATTTAACTCCCTTGATACTTAAAACACTATTTTTAATACTGACCTGATCAAAGAAAACGAAATAAGGATGAAAAACAGTAATATTTAGCGCGCTGTCCTGACAAATTTTCCGCAGTGCCCGCACCATTTCTTTCTCGTGTTCAGTTCCGGAAATGTTTACCGCTTGGATGAGAAACCGCATGCCGATGATTTTGGTGCCGTCATCGTTGAATTTAACGTCGAGAGTGAAAGGACTCGCATCAGTCAACCAATACTATAAAAAAAAAAATAAACAACAACAAAATGATTGATTTCTAAAATTTAAACATAATTTATTTAATGAATAATTACCTCTTTAAGCGCGTCCAAGAATCCTTCCTCGGTTTTAATCGAAATGTTTAAATAATCTTCGTTACGTTCGGCATATTGCACGAATGATCGCAGCCATGATTCCGTATAAATACTGTTTGAGATATACGAAGTGTTCTCGAAAGTCTGAGTGATATTTTCTATCTGAAACTGGACTTCCGGATCGGAGTAATTCATTTCTCCACTGACAATTACTTGAACTCTAAATTTAAAAAAAAAAATTTAATTAAAAAAAAAATAAATTTTTGAGGTTAAAACTAACCTATAAGGAAATTCACGGAAATAATCATCTTCTCTGTCAAAGAATTCAATGGCGTATGAATCTGACTTGGCTACTTTCCGTCTTTCAAGTCCTTCCTCAATTTGGGTGACGCCATAACCCGCACCGAGGAGATAAACACCAAAAATTAATATAACCAATACTTTTATACAACTATTATTCAAAAATGCGGCGAAATAATCCCTGAACCAGACCATCATTGCATGATCACGATTATCTTCCGGATTGTTGATGTCTTCCGGGTCTACGCCGCCACTGCAGAAGAATCGGTAGAACCACGAACGATTTTCTACAAAAATTTAAAAAATTAAAAAATGAATTATAGGTTATTATTATTACATTTTAAGTAAAACAAGTTAAATTTATGTGATTGTCGAATGACTTAAGTAAGATGAAGGTGGAACTTTCTCTCAAGACTTGCAAGTTTTTACTTAACGTTACGTAAACAAAATATTTATTATTATTACAGAAGCAATATACACGATAATGATAATAATCATTATCATATCATCCAAGGCCGGAAGATATTTTTAATATTTAATTATCATTTCAAACACTCTGTATATTACCGTGTTGATTATGTAATTATTTTATCGGAATCGTTTCGGTTGCATATTGCATAATGCGCAAGAATAACTTAATGTGACTTAACAGTAAGAATTACTTAACATACAATGTGTTTTTGTTAAAATTTTATAATTCATTGAATAAATATTGATTTATATTTAGTATCACCTTGTATAATACGTTCATTGGCACACATAAACAACGGAACCGGTTGTCGCACACCGCACAACAATTCTCCGAATTATAATCAATAACATAACACAACATGATACGGTTACGTATTGTGGGGAAAATAACTTTCTTGTTGTTAATACCAGTATTTAAATTGATTATAAAATTACTCACTTGACTTCGATACTGGTTGCACACGAATGCACACGACGGAATGCAGATTCTTCTGCTCGCAATAACCAGAGATGGCGACGCATGCAGTGAAGAAGGTTATGTGCCATACAAATGTAAACATTGTAGCGACACCTATCGGCAAAAAATAAAAATTTAATTTGAATTTATTTTAAATTTTGATGTAATTACCTGAATAAATGCAGAAAATCGTAACAGATGGAAACGGTGAGAATACACCGATAAAGAAGCTAACCATGTCTGTGATTGAGGTTATGGTGATCGACACAGCAGCTTCACTCAACATTTTAGCCATGCGTTCAGGAACACTGTCTTTTATAGATGTACGACGCCATGCAGCCAACATTACAAACGTATCATCAATACCAATTCCTAAATAAAAATAAAATTAATATTTTGAGGTTATGTTTTGAAGTAATACTAACCTATCATAAGAAAAGGCGCAGCTAAATTTAAACCAATGAAATCAACGCCCATGTAAACACATAACCCGAACGCTGACAGTGTTGCCATTGACGCGGAGACGTTGCCAAGTAACCCGAGCCATGGTTTAGACCGTACCCAATCAGACATCATACAAGTTACTTAAAACATAAAAATTAATATAAAACAAAATAAAAACAAAGAAAATAATACGTACCTACTGAAAATATAGCCATTATTAAAAACGTTGATGAAAAATACGGAATAACTGAATTCGTATTCTTTTCGAGTTCTTTATCAAGTGTCCTAGATGCAAATCGAGCGATGCGGATGTGTTTAAACATTCCTTTATCCTGCGCTTCGCCTACTTTATCTAAAAACATATCTTCCCAGGCAACACCCCTAAAAATAGCAGAAATAAGAGGTTATGAATTGAGTTATGCAACCATTAATTTTCTTTTAAGCTGAACCTAATAATTAAGAGCAGTAAAAGCAGTTTATCGTATTAATTGTCTACAATGTTGTGAAACGACAATTTTCATTCGATTGCATGAAGCAATCTACAAGCTATAATCGCACGGAATGACAGGTTATGTAATTGAAAGTGTGCGGCTGCATGCGGATTAAGCACTTAAGTAAGTATGCAAATTACAGACCGTATAGGAGATTAATAAGTAACTAACGCCATCTATCGGGCAATAGGTCACTGGTGTTTTACTTACTTAGCGTCTAGTTTTTTATTGTCTGCGTTTGCAAAATAGACTAATTGTGTGGATGGCACACTGACTATAATGCCATCCCTGACGACTGTTCCGCCGAAAAACACCGGAAACGCATGCGCATCCCATGTTTCCGGGTTAAACATCAACGGAAATGTTAAATTCAATTCACCTCTTTCGACCTATAAACATATAACATAAAAATTTGTTTAAATAAAAATATCACACTTAAGTCATACACAAAATGACTTAACTTAAGTCATGACTTGAGTTGACTTAGATTTAGATAAACCGGAAGATATTAATAAAATACAATAGAATCGTGTAAAAATTCTATATGAAAGTACGAAATGTGTGAGAAATGTGTCGATTGTTTAAATTTGTTGTTAAATTACACAGAGTGTTCAAAGAGGAAAAAAAACCTAATTTAAACAAATAGAAAATCTGAAAGTCGTCGTTTTTTATTACAGTTTGAAGTGTTTAAGTCAGTTTGAGTTGCGTTCAGTTGACTTAAGTGTATTTACTCGGCGCAATTTTGCGTTTGTGCGCATGGTTATTACTTAAATTATGTTTTCTTGCTGGTCGATGGTAACTTTTTCCACGCAGACACGCGATAACCATCGAAACCGATATGCAACCGCGGCACACAAAACCGACTTAAGTCTTATTATAACCAAGTAAGTAAAATCGACACGAATGTGCAACGACGAAGATCGATCACGCACGATACACTTACATATATTATGTAAATTAACATAATTTTAAATTATTTTCATTTTCCTTTTATAGAACACCCTGTATAAATTTTACAAATAATAATTTTAATCTTTTAATATTTTTTCTTTAAAAATAAATAATTTTAAGTTATTTTAAATAATTTTTGAAAAATATTTTGAACACCCTGTAGCTTAGGTAGAATGTGGTACAATTTGTTAACTCGAGCGTTTTCGCACCGGTGAAAGTAGAACGAAATCGAATTTTCGGTGCGAAACGCGTAAACTCGTAAACGATTACACCGTTAATCCAGAAATCAATATAAAAGATGGCGCGATGCAAAAATAGCATTGATTTGAGGTTATGTGCACAACTTACGTCATCCAATATGTAATCAAGATTCAGAATGTCGTTTTTGAAGCATTCGTTGATCCACTTTGCGCAGATATCCTGATAAGTAAAATATTCATCTTCATACTGCACTGTGGTGTTTTGTATAATGTTGTCGAGCATGCGCAGTTCCGCCCACACTTCTTTACGTAGAATATTCGGGTCGCCATCTTTTGACGTTACTATTACACGTCCAAAACGACCTGGAGATTTATTTATTATATTTTATTTTAGTTAATTTAAAGAATGGGTTATGCATGTGTGTATATTGTGTTGCATAACTTACCAGCTCTAGTAATACGCGCCACATTGAATCTACTCGAATAGTTAACCTTAAAGTAGTTCTCCACCACCTGGCGTTCGTATTTGCCAGCGCCGTTGATTGGACTGAAGAGATACTCAGGATCTATGTTGAAGTGGATACGTTGGTAGCCAGTGATGAAGAACATTGTTAACAGGATGGGTATGATGAGGAAATAACCAGGATGGCGGCCGACGATTAAACCCAGCCGGAAAAAGGCGCGATTTAGTAGTGCGTCCAAGCATTTTAATCCCATCTGCAAGAAAATATAAAAAAATCAGTAAGGAAATTAAACTATCAGGAAATTTAAGTAATTTTACTTAAACTAAGTATAAAATGGATTTTTATATATGATTTAGACATATGTCCAGAATAGGTGACGGACAATGTAATTTTAGTAGGGATAGACCGCTCTCCTGGACATATGTATAAAAATATAAATTAAAAGAATGAAATAACAAGAAAATGTAAATAAATCAATAAGGAAATGAGTATTATCCGGAAATTAATTAAATAATGTTACATACGCGTTGCGTGTACAATTATGTTCATTATTGTTTATAACAAATTAATATTTCTACCTAAAATAATTTAAATAATTAAATTATTGCTAAATTTCACGAATATAAGTATCCATGTCAATGTCATACAATTTTTTCTAATTTATTCTTCCGTAATCACGATAAAAAAACGTTATAAACAAATTTAAGTAGACTTAACCATAAATTAAGTGTAACACATTACGCAATAGTAATTAATACCATTAATACCATCATTGACAACTAATAATTAATAATTACTTGTTTCGGCGCCATCAAAACTCAACTTAAGTCACTTAGGATGACCTTGACTATTCAACCATAGATGTCGCAACACATTAAGCATTCCAATTGGCGGAATTACTAAACACCGCCATTTTTGCATGTAAATTTCTTAATTTATTAGGATGTTGCATAAAATTATTTGACATTCCACCGGAAATATTAGTATGTTGATATAAATCTATATTTTTGATAGTGTAATTAACTTATCACAAAAATCTTATCGCAAAATTACATTCGGACAAAACAACAAAATTAAAAACTAATTTCATTTCGATAAATTTTAATTTTATTTCTATGAACAATGAGTAATAAATTGCAGCTGCGTTGTAATTGTGCATGATTCTTTTTGCGCATGCGCGTGAAAAAATCGCCGCAAATGTTAGCCAGCTGCTTGCGGCATTCGAAAGGAGGTTAACACTGCGGGTCGAAGTCGAAGTCTAAACCCTACTAAGCGCTAGTCGCGCTTGAATCGCTCGAAGAAGTCGAAGAACTCATTGAGTCGGTCTCATTCTTTGCACTTGCGCAATAGTGCAATAAAATCAACCACACACACACGCTGCATATACGGACAAAATAGGTTATTTATTATGGTTTTTCACTGATAGATGGCGCTTTTATTAAAATCATTAAATTCTATTTTTAACTTTGTGTCAATGTGCGGATGCAAGAGATGAAAATTATTAAATTAAATCCGGACGATTCAATTACGCCGCATGAAATCGTATTATTAAACGCTTGTAATTCATTCAACGATTCAACTGGGATTTATTATAGAATGGCCGACTTAACCTTAAATTGCATATTAAATAATATTCTTATATAATATGGATGCGATCGCACCGAATACGTATTGAATTGTATAATCTGTTACGTTTGAGTAAAGCGCGCATGCGCAACGCGCGCAGTGTGTGTACGTGATGGCGACCCACGGTGCGCTGACTTTCGCTTTCTTCCGATGCGCCGTCGTCTTCGATTCGTGCTTTCCACTTTCATCTTTATGACATAATAATCACCTGCAAATCAGCGCGACGCCATCTTGTTATACATTTGATTGTCTCTTTGTGCGTAAAATTTAATTTCGGCGAAGATGACTTTGTTGTCGCCCGATAATGATGTAATTGTAAGCTGGGCGTTAATACGGATGTCATAATAGAAGTGTGTGTTTGATGCGCGCGCTGCTCGTGATAAACTGTTCCTAGTTGGACGTATCAACACGTTAAGCCGACATTAGGACGTCTATCAGAGCGTGATTTTAACTTAAACAAAAGAGCATTGTACGGGGTATTAATGTATTGCACTTAAACATAACTAAATTTAAACAATTTCGATTTTAAAGTGCAGTTTTAGTATATGTCCAGAATAGGTGACGGACAATGTAATTTTAATAGGGGTAGACCGGTGTCCTGGACATATGATAATAATGTGAATCAAAAAAATGTTTTTTATTAAAACACAATAAAAATGCAAAAAATATTTAAATTCTTATAGAAACATTATAGAATGATTTATTAATATTTATTGCAATTAAACATAACTAAACTCTAAAAAATTAATTTTTTTGTTTTCAATTAGATATATGTCCAGAATAGGTGACGGACAATGTGTTTTTAATAGGCATAGACCGGTGTCCTGGACATATGAAAATAATGTGAATCAAAAGTTTTTTTTTTTATTAAAACACAATAAAAATGCAAAAAAATATTTAAATTCTTATAGAAACATTATAGAATGATTTATTAATATTTATTGCAATTAAACATATCTAAACTCTAAAAAATAATTTTTTTACGTTTCAATTTGATATACAGTAGAGTCCGGTTATAATGACATCGAAGGGAATTGACAAACACGTCATAATAAGCGGACGTCATACAAAGCGTTTTGTGAAATGAAAAAGAATATGTCCAGAATAGGTGACGGACAATGTGTTTTTAATAGGCATAGACCGGTGTCCTGGACATATGTATAAATGTGAATTAAAAGTATTTTTGTTATTAAAATACAATAAAATGCATAAAATTGCCACAATTTGCATAGAAAGATTGCAAAACGCCTCATTAAAATTGATTCGCTTTGTTTCATATTTAATTCCTCGATCTTTCTTTTGTTTTCCATGATATTTCTCCTCGTTTAGTTTCTCGTCGTTGTTGTGATCGTGATTATGATGAATTGCGGCATAATAACGTCCGCAATGATTGTAACAAACGCATGTCGGTTGCCGGAGAATGTCGAATAGATTGTCCCGAGAGTGAATGCAAAAATGTGCAAGAACGCAAGAAAATATAATTGAATTATGCAGTGAAACCTGCACTCGCGCCAAATTGCAAAATGCGCGCGCAGAAATAAAAAAGCGTGGCGCGCATTTTTCAATTTTGTTTAAATTTTACCATTTGACATTTACTTGCTGAGAAATTATTAGTTAGTGGTAGACATTCACTTCGGTTGAGTTGTTTAGTGGAAAACGATTATCTCAGGCACACTGGCCACGCCCTGCGCACGTTGCATTGCCGCCATCTTGGCTATACGGCGTTTATTATAACATCTCGAACGATTGCAACTATTGAAAGTACATAATAACGCGGTAATAGAGTGTTGGAGTGTGGGGTTCGATCTCGATATCGACCATGCACGAAGCACACGTTTTCAGACACGTCGTGTCTCGTTAAAATACCAAACAATACAGACTTAAGTCAGAAGTACTCAGCAACATACTTAAGTAGTGAAATTAATTTTGATAGAAAATTATTAATTGTACATGTACAGGAAGTAATTTTATTTCATTTTATTTTCATTTTAACAAAAAATTTTTTTTTAAATTAAAATGGCGGAATTTTAAAATTTAAAATGGCGACCTTGTGAATGCAATAATTTAGTTAAAAAATAGATCAAACGATTGAGATTGAGTTTAATATCTTAAGTTTTTACTTAACTTTTATTTTATTTTTTTTTACTTAACTTAAGTAATCTTTACTTAACTTAAGTCATACACGCAGAGTTTTATTTCAACTTTCGATTTCATATTTCGTGTCAATGGATAATTACCCAGATGATTTTAAATGTGTTAATATGACTTAATGCGCTTTTAATTTAAGTCAACTAATACTAATGCGGCCATAACGACTTAATTTTCGCAATCTGTGCAATGATATTGACATTCATCATAAATTACCACTTGAAATGTGACTTTTGACAGGTTAAAAGTAGGTTATGTCTAAATTTTGACTGATTTAAATAAATTTAAGTAAACAAAATGGCCGCTTGGTTACTACACGTTTTCTTAGCGTATTAGCTTCATGTTTATTCGATTTGTTGCTGAACAATTAGTCCGAACGTAGAAGTGTGGCCTTGTGACGACTTTCGAGCCAACGCAGTAACTGACTTAAGTTAAGTCAAGCAAAAAATCTAATTAATACATAACTTTACTCTAATTTATCTTAAGTCTTAAGTAATTTAACGAACAATTATCAATAAGATATAATTAAACAATTTTATTTGAGGTCAGTGTAATAAACATTTTGTTTTATTACAGAATAGACAATAAACAAACAAGTTTACGCATTGGATTACAAAATGGCCGCGGTCATAACCTCCTAATCCACGTCAGCACGTCTTCATTATTTAAATTTATTAAATTGTTTACTATAGAAATAATCATAATTTGTTTTGATGGAGTAGCTGATAGACTTAAGTTAAGTCAAGTTGAACTTGAGTTGAATTATCCAAGCGACTTTATTCAATTATTCGTTAAGTAATTAATAGCATGCGCGGTCGTTGGGACAGTGTATTGAAAATCGTTTAGTATGCAACTTGTGTGCCGCCTGGTGAACGCGCACGCCATTTACTAACCTCAAAACGTAACACGAGCGTTGGACGACGCCGGCATATTAAATTACGATGATTACTGAATAGAAATTCAAGATTTTAGAACTAAACAGGACAATTATATAATTATCTATTGTAAAATCAACATAGAATTAAATATTAACTTGAATATATGTCAAAAAATTGAATTTTGACAATTTTTTGACAGAAATTACAGAAAACTGTAAAAATTTTTATGTTTTTAAAGAAAAACTTAAATAAAATTACTTCTACATGCATTGTAATTGTTTTGTGATAAACATTGATAACCTCTAATCAAGGTCAAACCAACAACGCACATAAAAGCGATTGTTTAAGTGTTATCAGACGTTGTAACTTTCTCATTAAATCAAGATCAATAGGCACAATCGACGCTGTATTTTATTTGCATTGATTACGTTTATTACGTTTGATTCAGCGTTTGTAATTAAAGCAATACGGTTGTAAACAAACGCATAAACGCAGAACTTGTCTACGAAAGAATAAAAAATTGTTACAAGGCAGGCAGGTAAGAGAAAACAGCAAAAGCAAGGAAAACACGAGCTACATACGTAAATTTACACAATCGCATTCAAAATGGCCGATATTTTATAAATCAAAATGGCTGCTTCACATTTCTTTAATTTTTGAGTGGTTTTACTGGACATCCCTACTAATATTATAAATGCGTAAGTCCTGATGTTTGTTACACTTTCACGCAAAAACTACTTAACCGATCATCATGAAAATTTGTACACATATTCTTAGTGGTCCCCGAATGGTTATAGGCTACTTTTTATTTAATAAAAAAAATTATTTTTTAAATAAAATAAAGAAATTGTTTAGTCAATAATACCTCAGCATTTGGCTATTTGACTACTTTAACGCCATCTAGCATTCCAGCAATGAAGCTCAAACCTAAGTACTATAGTACCATCACACTGTATTATCACACTGTATTACCGACAGCTACGTCAACATCAAATCCAATTGACTACACTATGGAGACTGTACACAATACTTCCATAGACTATACTTTCAGCCATTTTAAACTTCCCGCCATTCTACTTCATTGTTACTTCTTCTGTGACTACAGACGCGTACGGAAGCAACTTCATTATTTTAGGTATTCGCGAGCGAAGCCGCGGGTTAAAGCTAGTGTTGTATATTTTTGAGTAAAACTTAGTGTAAATCGTGTGGAACGTCCGTTTCTTTTCGTAAATTAAACTTGAGTCACTATAATTTTGTTTCTAATTTATTTTTATTTTACAGCAAAAACCAACAACCGTTGTTAACGTTTACTAATGTCATTCGGCAAACACTAACAATTTTAAGCGGTAACGCATTTCACTTCGCTAATTTAACGTTATTTATACAGGGTGTACTCAAAAACATATTTTTAAACTAAAATCAACTAAATTTCCTTTTGTTTTACTTGTTTTCTTTTCATTTCTTTTCTTTGGCTTTCTTAACTGTTAGTTGGAATACAAAATGAAAGTTTTTATTTTCTTTTCTTCACAAATAATTTATCATTATATTATTAAACTAAATAAAACGTTTGCAAATCGTTTTACTAAACTAAACAATAATTTGCTACTTTTTCTAACCTACCTTTTACCAGTTTTATTATTTTTTTCTTTATAGTGAATAATGTGTATTAATTACGAGCAACAGACTGTCGTAACACTTCTCATTGTATTAAAAAAGAAAAAATCAATTCACCTATAAGAATATAACAAATTAATTACACGTATGTAAGTTATGTCAAAAGCAACAGGTGTAACATGTGGCGTTAATTAAAAGTTTCCTTTTGTTTAATTTGTGTTCGCCTCATGCGTAAATTACAATTTCAAATTTATTGTTTGTGTAACACAAACAATTGTTCGGTGACACCTCATTAAAACAAATTTAATTTATTAAATTACAGCTTTATGCGTGTAAATCAAGGTAACAAGTTGTGATACTTGGTTAGGTTGGTGACGTCACAGCCGGCGGATTACGATGACAGTTAAGTGTGAGTCAGGATGGCCGAGTGGTCTAAGGCGCTGCGTTCAGGTCGCAGTCCACTTCTGTGGGCGTGGGTTCGAATCCCACTTCTGACAATCGCTTTTTTCAATAAAATTTTACATCTTGTAATGAGTAATGTGAACAATCGAATGTTTTGCAAGTGAATCAATATGTGATTCAGTTGTGGTGGTCAAAACAACAATAGAAAATGAATATATTGAAAGGGAACTTGCAGATTTTATGCATAAGGAATGCATAAAATAATGGCACACCTTTTGATCACGTCCAGACGACGCCATCTTGATATTTTTCTTTTCTTTTGTTTTTTTTTTGTTTTGCGTGGTTGAAATGACGTGCAAGAAATTAATGATTCATTTTTGTGCGTATTAAACTCGTAGGTAAACATATTCATAAAAAATTTATAATTTTTTAAACAATTTCATTGTGTTTTTAGTGTTATACTTCGTAAATTGTTTAATTCAATTGTTTGAACTTGAATAACTTAATAACTAATTGAGCTACACGCGTGGAACAAACGTCATTTTATTAAGAATTTAATCAAGTATGATATTATACAAAAAATATAAAATTTAAACAATAATTATTGTTTAAATTAATTTTTAAACAAATTTTCATGTTTTTTATGCAATTTTTTGTTTAAAACAATTTTAACAGGTTGATATCAACAATTAAATAATTATTTAAAAAATGCTTTTGTAGCTGATAAAATTTTCTTTCGAATGACGTATTCCACGAACTGATTACTCTCATAGTTTCCAAGAAAATCATCATTAAAGTACGCATTCTTTGATAAAGAAAATTTAAAGTGCTTTCGATTAGATACCGACTTAAAAACCCAACAAAAACATACAAAGTGTTCACATTAATCCAAAAAAAAACTAATTTTACAGCTGTTTTACTAGTTTATCAACTTGTTAATGACTTAATCACTCATTTACAAAACTGCATCGCGTGTAATACCGTTGTGCATATTAGTAAGTAGTAAACTTACTTATGACGCCATTGACATTCAATCAATACAGGCATTTACAATGAAAATGAAGAATTGAAGAAATGCAGAGGATAACGGTAAACCATTAAACCACAATGAAAGCTATTTGACATGTTGGTTGCCTACCATAAACGGCACGCCGTTAAACTGCAAACAAACAGAATCACGCTCGGCACGATGGAGATCAATTAATATCGAATTAAATCTCTTGGGTAACACGTCTTTTCAGTTATGGCGTTGCGATTTAGCATGTTGTGTGGGCTGGTGGCAATTATTCGGGTTAATGTCTTTGCAAACATGTGTGGCTAACGTTCCAAGACGACGCAAATTTTTTTGAACTTGAAACTTGAAAACCGTTATAATTTAAATCAAATTTAAAAAAATAATAAGTTTTATTATAATTTTGAGTTTAATACCGGTATTTTTTAAGTAAATATACCGGTATTTCGGTTAACCGGTATTTTTCAATAAAAATTTTAAAATTTTGGATTTTTTTTATTTTTTGAATAAAAATATCAAAATAATTTTATACAAAAAAATACCGGTTAACCGAAAAACCGGTATTTCTCCAAAAAAACCGGTATTTCACTAAAAATCCCAGTAAAATTAAACCAAACCAACATAAAATTGAATTCAGCATAAATTCGATTACATAAACTGACACATAACACACCGAATATGTAAATATCTTCGCACATTGCTTTCTTGTCCGTTCGTTCGAGTTCTTTTCCGTGTGCGTTGTTTCACTTCTGATTCTGATTCTCGAAAACTCTCAATTCCCTATGCATACACATAACAGCAATCCACCTTGCCTTTGGCTATCTCCGGCCACTTGTGAAACGCCAATCGAAACGTTAAACTCAACTCGCATTGCATAACACCAAGCGGTAGGATTGAATATTCTTCGGTGCGCAGTGCGCACACCACGATTAATTTCACTTTAATGAACACGCCACATATTGAGCAGGTAGAGGTACGAGTAGAATCTAGAATGTAAGCTAGAGCTACAGGTAGAGAACCTATTCGAGTGTGCGATAGAAAATTTCGGAGCGCTTTAAAATGCTGACCCAATAAAATATGTTGGTTAGGTCACAATGTCATAGATTGCGAAGATGGCTGCCGGCGGACTACTTTCTTCTATGGTGTGTGCACTCGAGAATAATGTGTGCGTTACCATTGTAATTAAAATTTAGAGTTTGGAGAATTTTTTGGATTTTTGTGCGAGCGCAGGTATTTTTCGGTGGAAATCTTTAGAAAAAATTTACAGGGGTTGAAAAGGTGGGTGTGAAGGGCTATAAACTACCTAATCTGTAATCTACCTGCATTTTACAATGGAAACACCTGAATTTTTAGAGAAAAATAAAGTATACTGAGTGTTAAAATATTTTTTCATTTTTTTTTTTCGAAAAAATTGATTTTTTGCCATTTTTTCAATTTTTTTCTAGAAAAATAATTGAATTTTGCAAATTTTGTACATTTTACAATAGGAACACTTCATTTAATACCGAAAATAAAATATACTGAGTGTTAAAATATTTTTTTCATTTTTTTTCGAAAAATTTGATTTTTTGCTATTTTTTCAATTTTTTTTTAGAAAAATAATTAAATTTGCAAATTTTGTACATTTTACAATAGGAACACTTCATTTAATACCGAAAATAAAATATACTGAGTGTTAAAATATTTTTTTCATTTTTTTTTCCAAAAAATTTGATTTTTTGCCATTTTTTTTCAATTTTCTTTAAGAAAAATAATTAATTTTGGAATATTTGTACATTTTGGATGGTAACACTTAAATTTTTACCAAAAAAATAAATATACAAAGTGTTAAAATGATTTTTTCAATTTTTTTTCCTCTAAAAATCAATTTTTTGCATTTTTTCAATATTTTTTGCTATTTTTCTATATTTTACATTAAATATTTAATATCTGAGTAAAATAGCATGCACGCCATGTGCAATATGCACAATAGCAACAATAATCACAACGGTAATATTAATATTTCCGTTTTTACTACAATAAAGTGAAAATATTCAAGTTTTTGCAACAAAAATGCAATTTTTAGCAAAAAAAATACAAAAATAATTTAATTAAATACAATTCATTATTTTATTTTATATTTAAGTGTCTAACTTAAGTCTGATTCATATACAACGTGTAACGTGTAATGATCGCTCGTTAAACACGAAATTAAATTAAATTACGTCCAACACTAATCGTAAATACAAAAATAAATTCATCGAATCGTTGCGAAAGTGCATATTTCATACGTTTTAAACAAAAAATTAGAAACTGTGCTAAATTAATTAACTTATAAAATAATTTTACCTTTGATTTATTTTTCGTACGTAGAAAAAATTCCTTTTTTGTTTTTTACACTTTAAACTTCACTGCACTTTTTTTCTTATAAAATTTATTATTTTAATAATTAACACACATTTTATTTAAATTTTCTGTTTGAAAATAAAATTGTTTATAACTTAACTGTGAGTGCGCACTGAATGTTCTCAACCACGTCGAGCCTGCGCGAATGTTTTAAGCCGACTGGACTGAGTCACAGCGTCGAGCGCACAAGAACTTTCGTTACGAGCATGCGTGACAAAGAGCGGCGATAACCGAACGCACTCTACACACGCACTTAACTCAACTTAAGACGTCTTCTCTTTCACTGCGCATGCGCGTCAAAAATATCGCGATTTATTTTGATTGATAATTGATGTCTGTGACGACTTCAGACAACAATTAACAATTAGCATTCGTATATTTTATGCTTTATGATTTCTAATGTAGAATTTTTCTACGTCTGTCGAAATAATTAAATTGCTTTTATTACGAAAGGATGTTGATTATCTCAGACAACAAGCCGTAAATTTAAATATTCAAATATTAGCAATTAACTAGACAAAAAACGTTTACAAATACATTTCCTCAAAAAGGTCACGACAAGGTCAAACGTGCGGCGAATAAATTAAACGTCTCAAAACATTTTGATTGATTTTTCACTTCTTTAAACACACATACAAAGCGTTCATATATTTAATTACATAATATTTTTTAACATACAGTATAAATTTTTTGCTTCCGCGTAAAGCACGAAATTTCTTCGATTTCCGCGGTGAAATTCCCGACATAATTTTAAACACGGAGTTATTTACGTGAAATTGCAGGTTATAAACAAAGACATAACGCAGAGGTAATAACAAGTGACGAATGGCGCATTACGAATACCGATTCAAAATGGCCGCTGAGTAAACAAACGACAAACGATGATCGAGTGTGTAATCAGTTGCCGGACTTTCTGATGATCGGGTACTGCACACACGAGTGCGATGCGCATGTGAAATGTGAAATTTTATCGTCGAAGAAAAGCACAGCGGCGTATAAAAGCAACAAAACGTAACATTAAAGTTGTGTGGCATTGTTATTTATTTATTTACTCGACTCGATGGCATTGCTTATTAGTTGTTACGAAAAGTGCGAGTTTTGCGCTGGTTTTCATATGTTTTTATGGGTTAGAATAGCTGAGATTATTACACACTTGTTATGCAACTCTAAATACACATTATATAAATGTTTGATTTTATTTGATTATAACTTTGGGGTTTTTTGTTGGATTTGAGTGAAATTTTGTGCGAATGTAGAGGAGATTCAGAGGAATGTTTTATTTTAATAAAATTTTAAGAAATTTTTAGTATTTTATAAGATATTTGATGTTTAAATATAAAATTGTTAAATTTTATTTAAAAAATTAAATTTTTTATAATGTTAATAAAATGATTAATGTTTTTCTTACAAATTATTTTGTTTTACACTAGTATAAGCATGTTTTTACGGGTTATAACATTACAAAGTGGTTATGCAACCCAAAACACACAATATATAAACGTTTAACTTTATTGGTTTATAACTTTGGGTTTTTTGTTGGAATTGAGTGAAATTTTGTATGAATATAGTTGATAATCAGTAGAATATTTTATTTTAATAAAATTTCTTAAAACCTTTAATATTTTACGAGATATTCGATGATTAAATGCAAAATTGTTAAATTTTATTAAAAAAAATAAATTTTTTATAATATTAATAAAATGATTAATGTTTTTCTTACAAATTATGTTGTTTTACACTAGTATAAGCATGTTTTTACAAGTTATAATATTACAAAGTGATTATGCAACCCAAAATACACATTATATAAACGTTTAACTTTATTTGCTTATAACATTAACAGTTTTTATTGTATTTAAATGATATTTTGTACAAACATAGATCAAAACCAATAGAACATTTTATTTTAACAAAATTTCTTAAAATTTTCAAAATTTTCCGAGATATTCAACAATTAAATAAAAACCATAAATTTTTCATTATAAAACCAAAGATTTCTATAATATTAATAAAGTTATTAATTTTTTTCCCACAAATTATGTTATTCATCGTTTACATGCTTTGGTCATTGTGGTTTTTCAATTATCCTAGAACAAATTGTGTGCACAGAATGGATCTGCACCAGATACGAATATAATGATGATCTCCGGCAGCTCTCTATGAAATTGACCGCGTCGCGATTGATTCCGATACGGAATCGCCGATTCAAACACAATCAGATAGACGACTAGACAGATGGACACGCAACGCGATTGGAAGCGATTTCCCGGCGGCTGGAGATTCGTTATCGAGATTTCCAAACGCGCACGCCCTGCCTACATGTCTAACGACGCGCAAAATTACTTTTCCACGCTTTTGTGCGCCGCATCGTGCTCAATATCACCGATATGTTTCTATTATTGCTTGTTCGACATGTGGGTTGGATTCATTACATTGCTTCATCTTATTTGGTGATTAATCATGTGTAATTTACAATATAATTTGTGTTTTGTGTGTTTTTGAGTGTAAAATGCATAAAATTGTGTTTTATTGTGTTTTGTTTGTTATTGTAGTAAAATGTTATCGTGTTGGTGTGTTTACATGTTTTTATATCACTTTTATGTTCCTTTTATCTTTTAAAGTATAAACAATTCAAAATGTATGTTTAACATAGGCAATTCAGGCAACTTATGCATGTAATAGCATGTGTAGTATGCTATTCTACTAATAGGTGGCGCAACGTACACGTATACGACACAAAATATTCTATAAATGATCCGTACTCTGATTTACGGCAATAATCTCTAACTAACATGTAGTCAGGATGGCCGAGTGGTCTAAGGCGCTGCGTTCAGGTCGCAGTCCACTTCTGTGGGCGTGGGTTCGAATCCCACTTCTGACAATCGCTTTTTCTAAATTTATTTCAGTTTAAACAATTTTTACAGCTCAAATTATTTATTTACCACGTATAAATATTTAAAAAATATATAATCCACAAATACACTAACTATTCAGCTTCCTTCAAAGTTGCAGCATTGTAAAAACTAAAAATAAATAAAATAACGAAATAAATATACGATTTAATACAGAGTGGGAGTGAGCGAGAGTGAAGTCTGAAGTCGTGAGTCGCGAATGTATATCGCGCTGCGCCGCCGATCGCCGGTCGTCCTTGATCGGCATCGCGGCACTCTCGCCGGTTACAATCAGCAAACATCCACACATCTCACTTCATTTCAACCGCGACAACATAACACTCTCTCCCTCCTTAATTCACTGCACGCCTGCATCAGCAAAACTCACCAGTATCGGTCCTACAACACAAATCCCACACATGTTAAATTCCCCTAGAAGCGTACAATATAGATCCACCACTGTATCCTCCAGTAACCTACGATCACAACCGACGCGAGCCGAAGTTCTCGGCGTGCTGTTCGTGTTGCTTCTTGCTCTTGCTAGTGCGTCGCGTACCGTCTTGTGTGCATGACGCTACGACGCGTGGCAGTGCATCTCACACACACACACGAGCCAAACATACACCACACATGCGCGCAACGAAACGAAACGCGAACAGCCGAACAAAACAAAACACTCGCGTGCATCTGCATTCATATTCCACCAATCACACACATCATCCTAACGAGGAGCAGGGCTTCAGTATTATTCACGCAGCAACGTGTGCTGCGTGCGCGCGTGTGTGAATCAAAGAATATATATAAATAGCGTGAGTGAGTGTGATATCCGAGTGTGTGCACGGTGCATTTTCGCCCTCTGCGCTCGTGTGTGTGCGCGCCGGCGGGATGTTTACGCGCTTGCGATGCGCGCGCGTCGCGTATAAAATCCAATTGGAATTTTCGTTGCTATAATACTCTAGCAATAAAAAAAAAACAAGTGAATAACGCCAAACGCCAAACGCCGGGGTTTGATTGTTGCGTGTGCGCGCAGAAACAAAAACATACAGTGTGTGTTGTTGAGTGCAATTATACATAAACTTGGATATTGAATACTATATACGTTTTTATCATCTTGGACAACCAAAAAAGTGAGTATACATTCGTCCACCATTTTTGTTTTTGATTTCTAAACTTGTTCTCTCATCATTTGTGTGAATGACTTGAATAAAACGCGCGCGCGTGTGTGTTTCACATTCGATTATGATTATTATGTCCACCTACTTTCGGAGTGATTCAATGTTACACACACTAACACTCACACACAGCGTCTGCACGGAATTTTTTTCTTTCAACTTTTAACTTTCTTATTTTTATTGTGTGTGTGTTGAATCGTGAAAGATCGGGTGGTGGGGGGCGGCAGCGTGAGGCTCGGGGGGCAGACAGTGCGCGACGGCGCGTCCAACGCGACCTACTTTCGGAGGTTTTATTTTAAAATGCACGCCGCGTCGCACTACTACACATGCGCCGAGTACTTGCACATGCACATGGCTTATTAGGATTGTTTTTTCGAATTGGAATTGAATGTTAGGGGGAATTTGTGTTGGATTTTGATGAAAAATTTGGGATGTTGAAGTTTGGAGACGTGTAACTTTTTTTGTAATTGATATTATTTAAATATTTTTGAAGGGATGGGTTTATAAATTAATTGTTTATATGTGTAGGAAATTCGGTGGAAAAATCATTAAAAATGGCGGAGTTATCGCTATTTTATTGAAAAAATGCTGGTTTATTGGTGTTGAACTTTAAAGTCTTGTAACTTTTTTAATTCTTAATATTTTTTAAAACTGTTTGAAGGACTAGATGTATAAATTAATTGTTTATAAGTTTACCAAATTTGGTGTGGAAATAATTGAAAATGGCGGAATTATAGGCGATTTAATAATAAAAAAAGTTAAATTTTGATGAAAAATATTTATGTTGAACTTTAAAGCCTTGTAACTTTGTTAATAACTAATATTTTTCAAAATTGTTTGAAGGACTAGATGTATAAATTAATTGTTTATAAATTTACCAAATTTGGTGTGGAAATAATTAAAAATGGCGGAGTTGTACGCGATTTAATAACAAAACTTTGAAGAAAAATATTGATGTTGAATTTTAAAGTCTTATAACTTTTTTAATAATTAATATTTTTCAAAATTGTTTGAAGGACTAGATGTATAAATTAATTTTTTATATATCTACCAAATTTGGTGTGGAAATAATTAAAAATGGCGGAGTTATATGCGATTTAATAACAAAAAAAGTAAAATTTTGAAGCAAAATATTGATGTTGATGACTTTAAAGCCTTATAACTTTTTTAATAATTAATATTTTTTAAAACTGCTTGCAGGAATAGATTAATACATTAATTATTTATATGTCTGCCAAATTTGAGGTTATAATAATTTAAAATGGCGGAGAAAACATAAAAATTCTTGCAGTAAACTTTCCGAGACGACGTTTACTCTTAAACGAGTATTAGACGACCGGAAATTAATAATCGCCGGATGCGGCTTTTCTTTACTTTAAAGAATTTATCCGGATACATAAAAAACATAAACAAACCAATCCATTTACCTAAATACACAAAACAATCAATTTCCCTTCAGTAAAACCCTTAAAAACACCAAAAATTCGTGCAATTCTTACATTTTTCACAAAATCCTAAACTTTAAAAATCCACAACGTTCGTGTCTTATTATATTGATTGTTTTTGTCTCAACTTAAAAAAAGTCTCAAGTGAAAGCGCTCCAACTCGTTTCTCGTCCGAGACGTCTCGTCAAGACAAGAAATTATACTAATAATTGACTTTTTGCCAAAGCAGTCTCGTTTCATGCTTTATTAGCAAACCCACTCTACAAAACACACTGTATATTATTACCACGTGACACAATGAAATAGTAAAATTTACCGCATGTCACTCGGTGTTTTATGTACCAAAGCGTAAGTGTATCAGGAGACAGGAAGTAGCCGAGACTAAAACACAATGAAAACGAAGCAAAAGGGGTGTGCGGGGTTGGCGGCGGCGGTGAAGAAAAAGCTAGTTTATCGACCGCCACACGCCACCACCATTCGTGCAGCGTGTGCGACGTACAGCGCCGCAATTTATCGAACACCGAATTGCTGCTAATAACATTTGTTATGCGGTTACGTACGATTTGAGGTTAGTGGCAAGTGTCAGACTGACGCGTCATTAAATTAGTGAATAGGGTATAGTGGGTTGCATAACACACTTGGCAGCGGGAGGAAAATAAAATTAAATTTAAACTCATTTTTTTTAAGAGTTGAGACGTAGATGTGAAAAAATCTAGAGTCGAAATATAAAAAAATCATGTTACTTTCGTCATCGACGCGCGCGCGCGCGCTGCGACCTACTTTTACCTCGCGAACAACAACAACCAATGCCGGTGTGTCGCTCGCTTGGCTGGAAATAAAAGTTTAAACTTCTGAAATCGGTCGGCGAAAAAATATATACGTATACATAATAATTATTACAAATGGCACGAACGTAACTGTTATTTTTAGTGTTTGCTTGAGTAACTATGGAAAAAGATTCAAAGTAAATAAATATTGTTTAAAATTTTTATATTTTGCATATAGGTAGATGAAATATTTCTTAGAATTTTATTTTAATATGTTTTTTATTAGTTTTTCTTCTTTTTTGAAGATATTTTGATTTAAAAATGATTTTTTTTATAAAAGTAGCGATAACTCCGCCATTTTTAATTATATTAACATCAAATTTGGTGTGTATGTAAATAATTAATTTATTAATCTATTTCTGCAAGCGGTTTTAAAAATATTAATTATTAAAAAAGTTATAAGAGTTTAAAGTTTAACAACAATAAAGTAGTACTTTTTTTCATTAAAGTAGCGATAACTCCGCCATTTTTTATTATTTTAACACCAAATTTTGTAAACATATAAATGTTTAAATTATAAATTCATCCCTTAAAAAAGTTTTGAAAAATATTAATTACAAACAAAGTTATAAGACTTTAAAGTTTATCTTCCACATTTCTCAACATTATACAATGTGTCCAAAGAAAAATCTCCAAATATTTAATTTTAACACACAAAACACTCCCAATAAGACATCTGTATGCACGTGTACTAAGTGCATTTTCACTTAGTTATCACCCAAATCACTTTATCTAAATGCATATAATCTATAAACAAACTATTAGCGCTATATAAATATCCCAAATCGTTAAAATGCAATTAAAATAAACAAACAATGTTTTTTTCTTCTTCTAATTTTAATGAAATGAAAGTAACTACACAAGTTAACACTTAAGTTAAGTCTTAGGACTTAAACTTACTTAAGTAATTTATTTAATAATATCGAGTATTTGCATAAGACATTGCTAATTGAAAAGTTGTTGGTTGTGGTATAACCGTTAAAAGTAAAGAGTTGGCAGTTAAAATGTGAAATGTAAAATGGCACTTGTTAAGTAGGTGCTACGTGTCGGAACAATTACTCGAGCAACTTTCTCAGGAAGAAGAAAATAAAAATCGACAAATAATATTTATCACATTTATTTATCAGCCAAGTTAATATTAACTATGGTAATTGATACAAAGAAAGTTCATTTTAATTAGACAATACTCGTATACAGATAATTATTGTACACCTGCAAGAAATAATTAAAATTAAATTAAAATTAAAATTATTTCTGCTTATTTAATTTTAATTTCTTAAAAAACATAAAAACACAAAAATATTTTATTGTTTTATGCTGGTAGGAATTAATTTAATGCGTAATATGTGTGACACACTAAAAGCCCCTATTTTTCACATTCATTAATATTTATTACAAGTTATGCGGGTTGTAATCAAATTTCAATGAAAAACATAAAATAATTATTTATTACGGGAATAATTTGAGTTTAATGTAATGGGAGCTCCGCCTATATTTTTAGTGCGCATGCGCGGGAGACTTAGTCGGGTTGTGTTGGTTGAGATGTTCGCAGTCGCGTCGAGTGCAGCAAAATCGCAAACTCTTACACTCGTTCTCACTTGACCTCATTCTGCTGACTGGAGAATTTCTATCTGTGGAGAGGATACTTCATGCTGCATGCTTTATACTCGTTTATCATGATTACGATTATTGCGATGGTAATCACAAATTGTAATAATTTGAATCATAATCATATATTGCACAATTTTAAATTAAAATTTAGAATAAGAAAAAATGTTTTGGAGGTTATTCAAGGTCAAATTAAATATTCATATGAATACCGGTATTTTGATAAACCGGTATTTTTTTATGAAAAATATTGGAAAAATTATCGTGTTGAAGATAAAAATACAAAAATTAAAAAATAAAAATACCGGTATACCGGTTTTAATACCGGTTTTTCGATTAACCGGTATTTTTTAAATGCAAAATATGCGAAAAAATATTATGTTGAGAATAAAAATAGCAATATTAAAAGATAAAAATACCGGTATACCGGTTTTTCGGTTAACCGGTATTTTTCTAATGCAAAATATACAAAAATAATGATTTTGAGAATAAAAATAGGAATATTAAAAAATAAATTCATATGAATATTTAATTTGCGTGTACTTAAATTGCACCACTTTAGTGTAATGTGTAATATAAAATCAATAAATCATTATTTTTCATTATGGGTTCGGACACATTGTATATTTAAAAGGAGGTTATGTATAGGTAACATCAGTCGATCCGTTTTACGTCCGCCGTGTTTGTTTGTAGGCAGATGGGTAAATAATGAATGAGGGCATTTGCGTGCGCTCGTCCGCCCCGGTTTTCCGCTTTTCCTGTTCTAAGAACTCGCGCACGAAATGTTCTTATCGGTCACAAGTCACAGGTTCACAAGTTTTGGTCAAGTTGTTTCTAAAAATAATTTAATTTTAATTTTTTATTTTTTTTTGGTGTGTTTTATTATTATTGTTATTATTAAATAAGTGAGGCGCCTCATTTGTCTTCATTTGTTGGCACAAATTAAGTTTTCGGCGAGAAATTGCGAATTTACTGCGAGAGTTGATTAAATTAATTTATTCATAAGATTTCAGCGCCTTCGGGGGCGTGTTTTCGGCGGTAAACTTGTTTACGACTCAGTTTCAAGTCTGCGTCT